AATCAAAACTAGAATCTCCAAGCAATATCCCAAATGAGAACATCACATATTCCCAAAACAGAAGACATCCAAACACCGTTTTCTTTGCATTAATGCGTGTCTCATGGGCCATCGCTTCCAATCTGACATAAAACGTGGCCTCCACGACATACCTTGTTGGGATTAGACAGTCACTATCCCGATCCGTTCAATGCACAACACTATACACCATAGTTATTTGGTTAGTGTACTCAAATGTCTTGAACTAATATCTCCAAGACTTTCTTCCTTGGGATCAGAAGGTGCACTTTAGGAATGGTGGTCTACAGAGTGGCAATCAGTTTTCATAGTACACCTACTGGATCGGGTAGTAGCATGATCGCCGATAACGGCTCAGTGGAGCCCGCAACAATAAGCAGTGTATCTTAAGCTGGTAGCGCGGCACGCTACTCGGCAAGTGCCCGAGAGCCGCAATATTGCGGGATAATGGGATCTACCACAATATCCACAAAGGGGATGTATGGAGTAGCAATGTGGCTTGCTATTCAACCATGGAATGCACAAAATAACGCCTTTTTTCTTATCAATCCATAGCGGCCGATCCAAATCCTTGGGCTCGCTTGTCTCGCGCATTTGCCCCATTGGGAATCGTTGGAGTTGCTCATGTGGATTCCTACTTCAAATTTCGAATAAGGGGTGTACTCCATATTGCCATATTCAAACAGAATTGTGGACTCTGTTCGGCAGCAAGCGAGGCCCAGTAGTCAGACACGGTCCGTCGCGGTGGAAAGTCTGTGTTTCAATAAGCGACCTTGTGTCGCCTAACGCGCGCCACAAATAGCAGAGTCTGCAGGGCAGCCAGGCAGGGTCCCACCCTTGATGCGGCAACTCTGTAGGTGTAAGTTTGGGAGAAGGTTTGGGATTCGCTTCTGGAAGTATAATCGGTGGGACGGACGTTGTACAGGGGGTTTCCAAAATAAACATGGGCTTGTTGATCACCGGTAAATGACAGGCTCGAGGCAAAATCCTTTCGTTTTCGTTTTTCTTTACTCTACGGGTCTTCTTGGATAGGTCGGTGAGGGTTGTGGATAGACCCCTGTACTTCTTCAAGCCGCTACGTCTCAAACTTAAGCAAGACTAAATCACTAGCTTACCAGTCTTGGAATCAATACTTGTGGATATTCATGAGCTAGCCATTTGCACTTTTGCTGACCGATCTGCGGTCAAACACCGTAGTTCACCCGGAAAAAGCATCATGCTGCTATAGATCATAGCGTATTAGGTAACCGATTTTTGGTGCTACTTTTGACCATTTTGGGAGGTATCCGGAGCATCACGGAGGTATGTAAACATTGGGTTAAGCCATATCGTGGATCCAGATGCTTAACGGTTATGATTGCCACATGGAAACCTTGTGTCCGATAAGCATGGTCACCAAACTTCAAAGGCAGCCAGAATAGTCCCACTAACCCTTCATGAAGGAGTAGGGTTTATTCTCAGTCAATGTCACTCATTTGACTTGTCATGCTAATGGTAAAGATAAACGACAAAGCAAATTTACCTTTCGCTTGATTTTCTCAACTAGCCTTCTTCAGGGATTGTTAGGCGAGTTGCCTTGTGCCATGTCTCACTCGGATCTCTCGCCCGGCCTGTTGGCAGGAGGGCGGGCGGACGCGGGCGCGGCAAAGTTGGGCTTCTTAAGCGGGCCAACAACAACCGCCATGGACAGAAAGTTATAATTTGGCTCAGTTAGTAGTTAGTCACTTCATTGAACAAGCGCCCAATTTTTCCTCGGATAACTAACTATCCGGAGCTCCTCGGATAAACACACACCTTTCGAGTCGCGATGCCCAATGCGGTTGCTAACATGACAGCGGGCCAGTCGCTTGAATTGGTGGCATTATCACTTTTGTTGACGTGGACCTGATAACTCCGGAGTCCCTGGCAAACTAGCGATCGCACAAAAGCCGATCCACTTGTAGTTTCCACTTTGTAGTTGACTGAAACTCAAAAACTAGAATTTGCGATCGAAAAAGACCAGCACGACTCCACTAATAGCACAAGCGAGCCGCGAGCATCCATCCATCCCTTCTCCACCAAACAATTACAATACCGCAATCACGGGGCGGCATCTCGCAGGGCTTGGAGAAGCGCTAGCGGTATATTACCGCATTGAGAGAGCAGTGATCGCCCAGTTGAGTTGGGGGCCGGGACGAGTGAGCTTTGTGGTCGATTGTGGGACTGGATGGTTCATAAGATGCTAGCTTGCTAGGCGACGGTCGGTGCGAGACCGAGAGAGAGCTTCGAGCAGGGGCCGCTCACAGTTGGCGCGCCGCCGATCATGTTGCTAGGAGGGCCTGGATCTGTCGATTTAGATTAACGACGAGGCCTGTCACTCAATCATTATTGACCACCAGAAAAAGCCATGGGTGTTAATCAGGGTGAAAAAAGGATAATGGGGTTGTCGAATCCCTGCCCCTTTAACCCTGAGACCCAATATGCAGGATGCCAACCCAATTCCACCCATGCCAACCCGGCATTAGGGGCGTCAACTGCAGCAGGATGCATTCTGTCACTTTGGTCCAACCGTCTCGCCCAGTCCAATGATATCCGTCGATCGTCCGTGCTCTGCACACATGGCAGGACAGTGACACGATATGTGGAGAGACACGCGCATCCCTCCCCCTGATCACCCCGGGTGCACGAATAATCACCCCATCACATGGTCCTCCCACTGAGAGCCCCCCTGCATTCGGGAATGTAAGTAGGCACACGTCGTAAAAATCGACAGGGAAGGTCCCTGTCAAGCACCCGGGGGCTTGTCGTGATAATGGAGACGGGTGATTGGTGCCAGAAGGGGAAAAGGGGGCGGGATGCGGTGGAGCGCGGTCCGATCCTCGAACGGAACCATGTGGCCGGAGTTTGTATGGTTCAAATGTTCAAGTGGGTGAGAAGATAACCGATAAGTTATGGATCTGAATCGAAGAATAGGACAAAAAAAGATACTCGAAAATTAGAGCTTGCTACTTCCACTATGCTGCCTACGATCATGGCTGTAGCTATCATGAGTCCCTCAATAGAGATACACCGAGCTATGACGTGGAGAATCGCACCTCGACCAGTACTGAAAATCCAACCCCTTACCGAATTGGGATATCGTAGAATCCATAGAGTCTGTATTACAGAGTAGTATGTGCGGAGTACGACTGTCCACCACAGACGCGCCCCGGATTTACTCTACGGCGTTCGTTCACATCGAGCCCCTCCACCAAGCTCCCTAACTTGCCAGATCAACCACCTACGGGTACAATAGACAAGGGACAAGGCACAAAGGTGCAGGATGCAGGATGCAGAGACACAGTGCAGAGCACAGTGGTGACAGTGCCTGAGCGCTCACCCGGGTTCAACCAGACGAACCCCTTCCACGGGGCAAAAACACACACCCAATCACCCCCTAGGCGTGAACTGCCACCAGAAACACTATTCATGCAAGATAAACTTTGAGGGTAGAGGGTGAAGTGCGAGATACCAACTGACCTATCAGAGTCGGGGATATTTCACTACTGCATACCCCTCATTGACTAGCACTATGGCGTAAACCACCTTTTTCCACGAACTATCTATCTAGCAATCTATATTGTAGGCTACTGTTCGCAGTTATCTACTATAGATGAATACTCCGTACCACTTATGCAGTCGAGATCGTCTAGGATCGACCCGCGATCCGGATCAACAAACCCCGACTCAGTCAGTCTCCTTCCCAATTGGGATCATGACTCGGACCATAGGCCAAGTAACCAAGAGATCTAGAGTTCATATGACTGATAAATAGAATATGAGACTAGGAGACTCAAAAATGGATAGAACAAAGTGTCTTCAATATTTTATCCATCGGGCGGGCATAGCCGAGATAAGGCAGCCCGGCACTGTCTTAGACAAATATTCATTCATACACCAAGTAGTAGTACATACCTTGAATCGTGCACCTTGAAAATGGGGGCCATGGCATCATTTACAAGACCACGCGTCAACAAACATGCGCCGCACCCAGGTTCCCTCGGGCATAACTTCTACATTCAGGGAGAATGTATTCAAGAATTTTGAAATCGCCTCATCCTCGCTCTGCGTAACTCCCTAGTAACTTAGAGTCATTCTGAAACGGGGTTAGAATATACAATCCTTGCCACTGCCACCAGTGATCATCCATGATCGCCGATCAGATGATCACTCCCAAGACTAGTTAGACGGTGTGTAACCCGGGAACCTAAAAGGGAATGAACTTATTGTTGGCCAATCGGTTGGCCTCGGGGGAGATCACCTTCCAACGTGAAATCCTCGTTAAGTGCTCCTGGGTACTGTCCTCCGATCCAGAAAGTATTATCTCGGCGGGTGCGTATGTACGGGTATCTCCTCGTAGGTCTTTTTGCCAATTCTAGTGTGATTTCAAGTAGTGACTTGTTTAGCTAAGTCTCTAGGGAGTAAATAAGGGTTTTATCATTGCTCATAATTCTATTCTAGCAGCTCCTGATCGGCGGGTTTTGCGTCGTGACACGTAGAGTTCAGCGCCGCCAGAATCAAAATCAGAATCAGCATCACCACTAGTACTTGGAGCTAAAGCACAAGCACAGATGTAGCGAACAATCCGAAATGTCTTCTCTGGACAAACTAAAGCCGACAAAGAAAAAAAATAACTAACGGAACTTTCAGTTAGAACGTTATCTACAATTTTGGCCATATTGCTCTACGCCTTCGCCCACTTCATGCCCGCTTTTGCTTGGATTGCTTTCAGCCAACTGGCTGCTCCACGCTCTAACGAATCAAACAGAAAGGCGGATCTGGTGAAAATATCACCGCCCACGGAAGCAAACTCCGGAGCAGTTTACCGGGCAGTGTGGCTGGCCCAGTCTAGTCTGGGGTAATACGAGGTGAGAGCTAGGTGAAAGAGTGTGAAAATTTGGGTGTTCAGAGACAGTCATTCACGAGATTATGGTGCAGTTTTCTTATTGATCATCGGGGTCCAGGGAAACTGGGAAGTACTCGTCGAAGTGAAGTACACTGGAATTTGCCATACCGTAAGTGCTCCCATCTATCCATGCTTCCAAAGCGAGCAGCAGCTGATGAAGTTCCAGGACATTGTTGTCAGAGATGGTGGCATGCCTATTGGAGAATATCCCGCGGTACTCGGCCACGAGGGAGTTGGAATAATTCGAGAGGTTGGAACAGGTGTTAAGGACAATTCTCTGTCCCCGGGAGACATCGTTCTATTGTCCTTTCATACCTGTGGGCAATGCGGCCCCTGCGAAGAACGCCGACTCGGCGGATGTCCGCATATGACAGAAGCCAACTTTCTCAACACAGCCCGCTCTGGAGACAGGGGAAAGACTCCAATTAGCCTCCCCGACGGAACACATGTCCATGGACAGTCGGCTTCTGGCCTCGGGCGAGCCACTGCTTTTGCCTTTGCAAAGCAAGGCGCCTCCGTTGTTTGTGCAGATATTTCTCCCTTGTCGAGCCATGGGCAAGCAACACACGGGGTCATCATGCAGGAGGGTGGGAGATGCAGCTTCGTCAAGGCCGATGTGTCTAGTGAGGAAAGCGTTGAAGCGCTTATTGAAAACACCGTTCCCGACTTTGGAAAGTTGGACATGTCAGTTAAATGCTTTTAAAACCTATGGGGAATTATGCTAATACTGATCAAATAGAATGGTCAACAATGCTGGTGTTGCTCCAGAGGCGCATTCTCCAAAGCCCATTTGGAAGACGACTGAAGAAGTATTCGACAAAACCCACAGAATCAATGTACGGGGTGTCTTCCTCGGATGCAAATATGCTGGCCTCCAAATAGTGAAACAGGCAAACTAGAACAAAGGACAAAGAGTTGGTTCTATCATTAATGTGGCGTCCGTCCTGAGTGTGCTGGGAAAATCTGGTACACCTGCCTATGCAGGGTCCAAAGGAGCGGTCATTTCGATAAGTAGAGCGGCAGCAATGGACTTCGCGCACACAATATTTCCTGCAACGCGATACTTCCTGGATGTAGGTGGTACAACACAGTATGAATTAGTGTATTAGTATGAATAGACCACTGGGCGGATGATGCCTCTTGTTCGATTTCATTGGAACTTGACTTGCAGCTCTTTAAAAAACCCTTGGGTGCAAGCAAAGACATTTCAGCAAAGAAAATTAATTTGGGAATGGCGAGAAGGGAGATCTGGTAGCTGGCAGGTACACGATATCTGCGATTCACTTTCAATTTTTCCCATAACGTCCAGTCGATTATCGTCACCAAGTTGAGTCGGCCATGGCAGACGCTTATATGTGTCCTGAAGTATAGACTTATTTTTCTGATTGGAAAAACTTCAAGCGTGTTTACAGTTTAAAGACATCAATTTTCAATTTATTAAGCCCTTCGTAACTACTATGTCGCATAGGGGCTTTGGCGATTTGGCGCGACATTTGAGACGTATGCAAAATACAGTATCATGTGTGATAAAAGCAAAAAGATCATTCCACTGATAACTGAGTGATAACATTACACATCAAATCGAGAGAAAACATGTCTCTGTGCCACTTCCATTTCCTTCATGATGGTAGCCCGTCTAGCTTCTGACCTCGGCTTGATCACGCAAGGAAAGTCCTTCGCACACACCAAAAAGCCCTCGCTATACCTAGTCTTAGGACTAAAGTCATACTCAACCGGTTGATCATTTTCATCCGATCTGGGCTCAATAGAAAATGCCCAGATCAGTTTGGCAATCGCCAGGAAAAGATTCCGTTCACCGAGGTGGATACCGGGGCAGATTCGACGACCGGGCCCATAGCCATAGTGATCACGGCTTTCGCAGTCCGCTACTGTTGCTAGCTCGGAGGCAAGCGTAGTCTGGCCTTTATAGTGGTCTGTGTCGAAGGTATCCGGGTTCGGAAAGTGCTTTTCGTCGTGGTGCATACCCCACGAGTTGATGATGACGGTGGTATCTTTGGGGATGAGGTATCCATCGATCCAGTCATCTTTGACTGTTTGTTAGCGTTATTCCTTTATTCTCCTTCAACGGATGGCTTACCTTCAGCAGCTGCGTGGGGAAACACGAGAGGCACAACAGGCCGCCACCTCTGCGCTTCTTTCACGATGGTCGCTACATACGGCAGCTGTGCATAGTCTGACCAAACGGGAGTTCGATCTTCACCAATGACACTATCAATCTCCCTTTGCGCCTTCTGAAGTACATGACCCCATTTAGTCATAGCATGGATAAATGCAAGAATAAGGGAGCTCGTTGTATCGCAGCCCCCTTCCATCAAAACACCACCCAGGAAGTAGAGTTGATAACGGTTGAGACCGAGTTTCTCCTCTTGATCGAGCAGAGTATCCCTCAGGGATCCTTTACTCCCCCTCAACTTGCGACGCTCTTTGTCATGGTCAGGCATGCTTGCATATGGGCCGTTCATCTCGTCCCCGACATCCTGCGATCTAGAGACTCAGTTGCCAAAGAATTTCTGTGGGATGTAGTGGAGGAGGGGATAGATATCAACCAGGGGAGTAGCGCCCGGCTCCATTAACTGAGACCAGTTCTCCTGCATCACGAGCAATTGATTAGCTTGGTTCCCTGCTAGGCCAAAGCAACCATGTCTTACCATCATATCATATAGACGAGTCATGTGTGGGGTGGTAACCACCGAGGGCGTCCGCAACCCAAATACTATAAAACGCATTAGTCAAAGGTCAAGGGCACGCAGTCCTTGGATTGCTCCTGTGAGACAAACATACCTAACTCATAATAATGCTATTACTGAAGCGTTTAGGATGACGCATATGTTGATCCGGACGCACACACATATCACGAAGCATCTGAACTGCCTCAGCATTCTGAATTTCAACATGATGCCTCTCAACCATGGACTCCATGAAATATTGGTGAATTATTTTCCGAAAGGACCACCACTGTTGTCCGTACTGCATGACCAAAAGATGGTCTTCCGATGTCATGAGATCGTGAGAGACATATGAGGCTGGTCTGTTGCTGTATGTTGCACTCCTCTTGTCGACAAGTTCTTTGATAATACGGCGATATGTGATGACGACCGCTGTTGCAGTGCCTAGTTTCAAGGAGTATAGACCTCCATATTTCTTGGCCCATTCGGTGAATCTAGATCCAACTGTCAGCACTTGTAAAGATAGGGGTAGGTCGTAGGTAATTACTTCAAGTAAGATCCTTTTCTCGGAATTTGATAAAGATTACTAAGGACAGGGAAAAGTTGGAGGCTCTGTATAACATCAATCCTCTGTGTTAATATATCACCTCTTAAGTCCGCCATTCCTTGGCCACGTACCTGGGGGAAGGCGTTTTTCCCTTTTGCCTGTTGTCAAAACTAGAAATAATAAACCGAAAAGGGCGATCGAGATGAGCAGGACACTGAGCATAGTGGCGAGTTTGAAAGGGATTTGTGAGTTTGGCCCGATGTAATGAGAAGCCAACGACCGCTTGTTTATACCCGGTTAAAACCACTCCATATTTCCCCATAAAAAAGAATAGTGATTGGGGAGGCAAGTAAAGATGCGGGGCCCCGTGGGCAAAGGTCCAAACCATTCAGGTCAATTTCGTGCGGATTTCGTGGCTATTCTGCTTTTGCGGGTGCTCTACCGTGGGAATCGTACCGATGATGTCTGCTTTTTTAAAATGGTGCGGGAGGAAATCAACAAGCAGGTGGAAACAGAAATGATGATCTTAAGATGATCTTCATCGACGTTGTGGAGTGAGAAGAAGTGAGATATCCATGAATAGCGCCCTTGGTTTACCATAACGTGACACAGCCCATCAGTTCCTGCCATATCCAGGCGGCGTTAACTCGCTGCATCGCTTTTTACAGGAGACCACACGCACACCTTCAGTGTCAAGTAATTGAAAGATCGTTCGTTTCGTTTCACTAACAGCATTATATAATTCTTGGAATTGGTTTGTTTAAAACAAATCCAAAAACAAACTAATCCTACTCAATCCAAATCACCAAACAAAAAAGACAAAAAGAAACTCTCCCTCGGGGAATCGAACCCCGGTCTCCCGCGCTTCTCATTTTACTGACAAGCGGAAATCATGACCACTAGACCAAGGAAGATGACTAATGGTTAGGCTGTTGGCTTTAATGAATTATGACCCTTTTTTCACATTCTTCAACACATTGCCGGTTGTGGTCTAGCCAGAGATCAATACCCGATCTATTATCATGGGTACTCCCTGTAACAGATGTGCCATATGACCAGACCTTTTGGTTTGGGGGGTAATAAGGGAAGTAGGTCTGTGTCGTAGACTTGTGAGTATAATATGAATAGAGTTAGAAGTGAGAAGAGAATGAGAGTAAATAGTTACGGGAGATGAACCAAAAACCCCCAAGGAACAAATATACCCGAGCAAGGTAATGATATTGGGTATCGAAAAAAGCCAATAGATACAGTACAGCAGCAAAAAATAAAATAAAAATAAAAATAAAAATAGAAAAAGTAACGACGGTCGCCTAAGAATGCATCAATGCAAAGCGAGGGAGATATATATATTTCAATTCCCCGAGAAGCACCCCACCAGCCGGGGTATCAACTCCAAGGAAAGGCGGCACTGATAGCCAGAGCCATAGCCAAAAAATAATAAAAAAGCGAATGAAGGCAACGACCGCCAAGGTAAAAGCTCAAGCAAAAGTCAAAGCAAAAGCCTAGGGAGCGACTGCAGTCTGGTTATAGTATAAATCGCACGCATGCGGATGCTGCAGACAATACTTGGGCACCAGGTTAGCGGCCATCACACCATTAGCGACCAAATACTCCCGGAAATTCAGCAGACGCTGGGTGAGCTGCGTGGTACGCTTGTTACCGGCCGCATCACGGTTTCCAGACCAAGTCAGTTCGCCGAGGGCAGCGGCGCGGGGCCACATTTTGCTGGAGATGGTGACATCGTCGACCTGCTCGGACCAGAGGGGTGCTTCAGCGCCGAGGACGTGTTTAGCTTCGGATGCGGTTAGGTTGGCGGTGAAGTCGTAGTCGTAGATGCGTTGCCAGGATTTGTACGGGGCGCACCAGGAGCCACCACCGCCGCCGAAGTTGAAGGTCACGTCGCCGCCTGGGTTGGTCATGACGTCGTAGCGGGGGTCGTTGGTGACGAAGCCTGCGAAACCGCAGTCCAGGTAGAGGAAGTCGGATGAGGAGACGACCACGTCGAAGCCGCTGGCGGTCAGGTTCTTGATATTGGTCAGACCGTTGTTCCAGGATTGTAGGACGATATCTCTTGGAACGGTGTGCGCGGCATCGGTGTTGATGAAGATATCCTCCCACATCATCAGACGACGCTTGGGACCGCCGGTGCCGCGGAAGATGGGCATGGCATGGTCGAGCCAGTACTGTGACAGGTCGTTATAAGTGCGCGACGGGTCCTCGGCGAACCACTCGTTGATATACGAGCTGAAATTGAAGCATTGGGACTGGAGCTCGTCACCGCCGACGTGGAACCAGTTATCGGTGAAAATGGCCGAGAGATCCTTGTAAACGTTGCCGACCACTTCGTAGGTCTTGTTATAGATGATATCCAATTGACCGGGGTTCGGCTCGACGGCGGTATGCTTGGACCAGTCATCGTTGGACCACCAGGAGTTGGTGCAGGTCACGACTTTCGGGTCAACCTGCTTCCAGCCAGAGGACGAGTGACCGGGCATGTCGACCTCGGGAATCACGCGAACACCACGGGCCCGGGCATAGGCAATCACCCGGCGCATATCCGCCTCGCTGTAGATCTCCCGGCTCGAGTAGGCATCCTTGGTCATCTGGGGATAGGATCGAATCTGCATGGGCCAGGATTGGGTATCGTCCAAGTGCCAGTGGAGGACATTGAGCTTGGACAGGGCCATGCCGTCAATCTGCTCGAGGATCTTGGAGACGCTGATGAAGTTCCGACCCGTATCGACCATGACACCGCGATGGGGGTATAGCGGAGCATCCTGGATTTTGACGGGCTGCTCAATAATGAGGCCGCCCCGGCCATCCGAGATGATCAACTGCTGCAGAGTGGTAAACGCGTGGACCGCGCCCCAGACGGTCTGCGAGGTGATCTTGACGGTTCCCCCGGTTGCTGTCACCTCCAGAGTATAAGATTCATCCACACCATGCTGCAGATCGGCATCTCCATCGACCACGGAGAGCTGAACGGAGCGGATCTCCGTCGCGGTTGTGCCACGCTTCTTTTTGGCTGAATGGGTCGGGAAGGGCTCGAAGGTAGGGATGGGAGCTTCTGTCGCGGCGGGTACCCATTGGAGATCGGTAATGGCCGACCAAGTTCGGTCCCAGGCGTCATCGACCACGGCGTGATTGTGGCCGTGACTATCGGAGGCGCGCAGGGAGATCCTCTTGATTGGGATGGGACCGGAGGAGCCCCAAGTGATGTTGCGGGGGGCGGGAAGTGGGTTCACCTTGACGGCAGAGGCAGCCGAGGCCAGGAACGCCAGCGCACCAAGGATGGTGGCGCACTTCATGGTGTGATGGTGGAAGAAGGTGAAGAGATGGAAGAGAAGAGTAGAAAAAAGAGCGTAACGATAAGAGGAGGTTAGGGGTTTATTTATGAATATTTCAAAACTGCATGCCGATCCCCATCGCTGATCACTTGGAATGCTGCGATGGGGTCTCGATGTGGTGGTGGAAAAAGAGAAAAACTACGGAAACTACCCGTTGTGGCATAGTAAACACCACGATTACCACAGTAGAAGTCCACTGGGGAGATTAGCATCTGGCCGAGAGTTACTTACTACAGTATAGTATGTACAGCGAGATCGGATGTCAACATATCAACAATCACAATCTCCCTTGACCTCTCTCCAATGTTTCAGTTCCATCCCCTCGACCTGCAGAGGTTACATCCCTACCTTATGGCCCCATGCGACTAATCCCGTTTCTCCCTAGTTGGCCTCTTTAGCAGACGGGCTTTAAACGCGTTGGAACTGATGACCCGAGATGAAAGAGGAGGCCCTAACGGCTCTTCAAGATGTGACCTCCACATACGACATCGGGGTTGCTCCTTATCGTGCCGACAGACGTCTCGGCTATAGTGGATGGTAATTTCACGATCGCGATCGAGGGTTACTAGCGTTGTGACATGTCGAGAATAATCTAGAGTCTGTGCTCAAGCATAACATCATAAACGAGGCGGGAGTTAAAACTGACAATCAAGAAGAGATTAAAATGAGGCACGCGACTCCACGAGGCAATCAAAATGCCACTGTGACATTGCACGAGTCCCGTTGGGAATTATCAAGGCACATCGGGTGGCTGTTGGTTAGAAGCTACGGTAGACTTGAAATACACATATACGAGAAAGCCACCATGCGGGGAATTAATCATAGTCAAGAAGAAACTTGACTGAGCAAAGAGAAACTTAAGGTATCATGAATTCATTTGCGACGATATTCAACAGGTCGCTTAGTTGGATGGTCCTATCAACCCCGCCTTGGCTCATCTTCCTCTTTCTCCTTTCTTTCACATTCCCACCTCACCATCTCATCTCCCCTCTAAGCCGACTTCCCCAAAGATGCCTCCAACTCCATACCCTCCCGGAACTCCTCATGAATCGCCGCCGCCGCAGTCTCACTAGGCACCACACACGGCCGCCGCGGCAGAGCCCCATATCCACGATACGATTGCAGCGCACTCTTCACCGCAATAAACCCCCCATGAATGGCCGCCCAATCCGTCCGAGCCACAATCGCCTGCACCTTCTGCGCCTCCTCCACCTTCCCACTGCCATATAACTCCATCAGGCGCACGCACGCCCGGGGGATCAAATTAGCGGTACCCCCGATGATACCATCACCACCCGCAACAAGAGTCTGCAGCGTGAAATCCGCCGAACCACCAAAGGTGATGAACTCAGGCTTGGAGCCAGCCGCTACACGCGCCAGTTTACCCGTATTACCACAGGTCAGCTTGCAGCCGATGATATTGGGGTGTTTGGCCAGAGCCAGGATATCGTCCGAGGAGAGATCGAGACCCGACGATGCGCCGGGGAAGTTATAAATGAGCACGGGGACGGGCGAAGAATCCGCCACGGCGATGAAGTGTGCATGCAGAGCCTCAGTGTTGACTAGGCCCTTGTAGTAGCTGGGTGGTAGGACGAGGACTGCGTCGGCACCCGCGGCGCCGGAGTCCTGGCAGAGCTGGATGGTCTCGCGGGTAGACGCGGCGCCGCAGCCTGCAATGATGGGCATGTGTGGGTAGCCGGCGGCATCGACGGCGCGACGTGTAGCGCTTGTGATGGCTTTGCGTTCTTCGCGGTCGAGGTGCACAGCTTCACCGTTGGAGCCTTGGGTGACGAGGCCGGTGACGCCGCTGTTGGCGAGGTAGGTGGCGTGTTTCTCGGTGGTGGCCAGATCGAGGTCCTCGTTGGGTTGGAAGAAGGCTACGGTGGGTACGTAGACTCCCCTAGGGAGGGGGTTGCGCTTGTGTGTGCCGTTGGCTGTCATGGTGGGGGAATTGAATGTGGATGATGAGTGATGGGGGTTATAATATCGTATGCCAGTAGAGGGTCACTCGACCACTCGATCTCTGATGAGGTGTAAGTATAGATCCAGAGTATATCAGAGGAGGTAAGTCCCTTACCCAGGTAGAATTGAATTAGTAGTCCAAGAGTAAATCAATTCTCAGCGTAAGAGTTTCCTGGGGGCCCAGCTAAATAATAAATCTCCGCACTCTTTGGCTGATCTTCTCCAACCCCCACGTCCCCCACTGCCTCCGATCTGATTAGCCGTTGACTTGCACAAGTTCAGGGTTGAGATGTGCCCCGCGTGGGAGGGAAACACAGATCTCAGTCCCCCAACTTGAAACACTCGAACCTTGTACTACCCTTAACTCGGCCATTATTCATTTCCTCCTCCTTCTTTTCCTCCCCCCCCCCCCCCCCCACGCTTCTCTTCTTCTGATGCGGGGTTGAATACATCGGTCTTGGCTCACGGATTCTTATGCGATACCCAGTAGTCGGAGGGATGTCCGTGGATTACACCCTGGTCTGGAGTAATCTGATGAATTACCTTGATTGTAACTCCAGTACTATAGTATCATCTCATGACTCGCTAAGGTCATATCGTGTCTACAATATACCTTCGGATGGGAATTCCGGAGTGTTGAATAGCCAAGTCGGATTCAAGCTTGCGGACCACTTTCGGGCCAACTCCTCCCCCACTCGCTATCCAACGTGGGGGTGGTCATCGGTAATAGACTAATAGATGAATCCTGGGAGGAGTTACTTCCAAGATTGGTCAGATGAAATAGTCTGAAGTAAAGCATCTCGGGGGGAATAGTTTGTGGTGTACTAATCCTTGGTGTGATCAATTTTGTATGTCTATAGTTCTATAGTATAGTTGTTCTATCTCATATACCGTGTACTGTCCTCATTATATATTCTACGTCTTGCGAGCATCACAAGTCAACCCCTCCATAGTAGTCGCCTACTAGAATTAGTATTCTGTAGAAATACATAAATTTGTCCGTAGAATAAGTAAAAACTTCAAATTCCTTCTGATATCTCCCTTCAATCATTAATTGCACATCCATATCTTTGTCCGACTAAAACGGGAACAGCATCGTCCAGTTGGCTGCCAAGAACCTCCTCGCATCACCCTCACCACCACGACAATCCCCAACGAGCCTGTCCCGATCGCCCAGAGATCAAACCGCCTGGCATCGGACTCAACCACCCAAGCACACCACCCTCTCCCCCCCAATATCTCCTCGCGAGGATCCATCGCAGCATGACTCTGGACTAATCCCAACCCCCGTCGCAACCCCCCTCCCATCATCCAGCAAATGGCCGTCCTGTCGCGAACCTCCCTCCGAGGCTCCCTGCGACGGAACCCAGATGACCCCCAGGGACCCCCGATGAAAAGACAAAGGACCCTCCACGATCTCTGGCCCGTTAACCGTCGCCGAAGCTCCCCAGACTGCCTCGACGCCACGACCCCGACCCAAGACACCGCACCCAGCAAAGCTCGACACGCCGTGCCTCCAACCAAACCAGCACGTCCACGTCCCGCGACCCGTCGCACTCGCCGACCATCGGCTTCGTCCGTGGATAGCGTCGCGTCGGGCGATCAATTGACTACCCCGGCAACCCCCCGCGTGAATGGCAATGGCGTCACGACCCTTCGGCGTCTGCCCGACCGTGATACCTCTGCGGGAGGAGGTGCTCGCTCGACGACAGATTTGCTATGCGGCGAGCCAGAATCGCCCGATCCGTTGGATACAATCTCTCCTGTTGTGACGGCGAGTCTGGTGAAAACGCGTCCTGGTGTGCATGCGCTAGCGGGGGACTCGGAGACCAAGTTGTCTCAATCGCCGGCTGCGACGCGCTCTGCTCGGCGCAGTGACCATGATGCGAAGCTACAGGAGGCGGAAACGCGTCAATCGGTAGTTAAGCCGGAGGCTATGGATGTGACGACGGTACGTTCGTCCGATATGCGACCGGCAGATGCGACTCGGTCGCAACAGCAGCAGCACAAGCGCGAGGAAGCCGAGACGGAGCAAGAAGCTTCAGCTTCGACAGGGAACGAGAGGCGATCGCTACGTTCTGCAGACACTGGTTCTCGATGTAAGAGTGAGCTGGCGCAGTATTTCCACAATTACGAGCAAATCATCAGTCTGGATGATCCTAAACCTGGTAAGTCTGGTCCTCGACATGAGACGAGAGATATGAACTAACACAGGCATATTTCAGAACTCCTTGCTTTCAACACCATTGTCACATTAATTGACGACCTTCCCGAACCTCTACCACCTTCCTCCACACCCGATCCATCACCTTTCGGTAACCCGCTACAACAATTGTACGATTGTGACGTGGTTACACTGCCCGAGCCGGCATCAAGTACAGTGGGCATCGACCCTCTAAATGAGGACCTGTATTTCCGCGCACATCGCAAATTCGAGCGCCAGGAGAAACAACTACGAAACATTGAGCGAGATCGTGCACAGCACGAGAAGCAGCATGTCGATCGGCTGCTGGAGGAGCTACGCAGTCAAGACTGGCTGCGTGTGATGGGTCTCACCGGCGTTCACGAGAACGAGAAGAAGCTCTACGAGCCTAAACGGCAGATCCTCATTGATGAGCTAGTCGCTCTCGTCAACAAGTTTCAAGTCTGGAGAGACGAAGAGCGGAAACGCAAATTGGCCAGAGAGAAACATCTACAGACAGGCGACCCCGAGACCGACATACTTGGCCCTCAACACTCGCGCAAACACTCACGACCCGCCGAGGATGCCGCAGACGAAAGCTCCCCTTTACCAGATACCCCCAGCACACCCGATCCAAACGACGTGGACGCCTGGGCCGCACGCCAACTCCACCAAGAAGCGCGCTCAGCCTCCGTCGCCAAACGGCGCAAATCCGTCTCGGAGAACCGCAAATCCAAGACCGGACGAAATACAGAAGGAGATGACCACTCTGCAGCAGCAGAAACCAAAACCACCTCCAAAAACAAAAAGACACAAAACCAACATCCTCCGGCCTCTACAGCTCCACCTCCACCCGCTCCTCCTCCTCCTCCACTGCCTTTCCTCTACCCTCCACCCCCAGATAAACCCTTCACCTCATTCTTTGAACAGCCGCATCACCGTGAGATAGCTCTGGCCGCTGTCAATGGCACGCGACGGGGTCGTACACATACCATCCTCGCTTTTGGTCATCCTATGCCTGATATACCTGAGGAACGGGATTTCAATCCACCGGAAGAAATTCTGACGGACGAAGCGATTTATGCTTCGCAACGACAGCGACGGGCTTTGAAGCGGCGCAGTCGGGGGTGAACCTGCGTCTGTTAAAACTGTGTTTTGAACTGTTGACGATGACCTGTGTGTTCCTGGATATGTATTCCCTTCTTTCTCCTTTACTGTTACCCCCCTCCATTTCCCATTTATTCTTCCCCGCGGATCCATCCATGCTATCAGCATCTATGTATCGCGTCTGTATGATTTTGTACGATAGCATCTTGGCGTCTGGGCATGGCATTTATGGTGTGTTTTCGTGTTTCTTTTGGATGGGGAGTGGGAATTGCTTTTAATTGTGATTTTGGTTTACGATGGCGTTTGTGAAGAGGGTTTGCCTTGTACTGGGCGATTTTGGTGGGCTTTTGTATAGCTACTTTTGGGCCTGAATAGGCTTGTCGAATATTTCCATTACTTACAACCTGTGCTTGATTGTAGTATTTGTAGTATCTTCGAGGGTAGGGGCTTGTCACATCAAGAATTGCAAGCCACTTCGTATGAAAAGTTAAATTTCAGCGTTGGAACATATGAAATATCTAACTGATGCGTTGGCATCGCCTTAACTCGTGCTTACGCTGGGAAGGCTGAGGTGCGCAAGGCTGGAGGTGAAGATGTGGACGCCTGAATCCTTCAACCTGAGTGTTTTTAAGCCCGTTAAATAGAGACATACCAAAACTATTTATTTCTCCTTCGAGGGATTCCACTCATGAAATACTAGTCTGGTTTTTTCACTCTCTTGTATCTCTTACTACAATGCTTCTATAGTGCATTACTTCCCATGAATGAACCGATCGAGATCGACCTCTTGGATGCGGCCCAAGACCCACCAACGCTAACAATAACAAGCCCTGATTTAGATCCAATTAGTGCTAACATCAGCTTCAAGCCTCACTGTCTACATCAACTTAAAAACCCCAAACGACCTCACCTCTTAATCACCTCCCCTCCTCCCTAGTCCCCTCTCTCCCTCCCTTCCCCCTCTACACACCCAACAATCATGTCCACCACCCTCTCACCCCTAATCCCCCCCCGACCTCCCCCTCCTTCCTCCTAACCTCAACCCTAATAATCCTCCTCCCAGCAACAATCCTGATCACCACGCCCCCCACCTCCCCGCTACGCTACATAACAATCACAATCCTAATCTACCTCGCATCCCTCTTCATAACCCCCCACCACGGCGCAAGCACACTCCGCATTACGGCCACAGCCCAATTAGCCCTCATAACCGTCCAATCAGTCCACCTCCTCCTAATCGCCCGTCTAGATGACCGCGCCATAGCACGGGAAATTCCCGAACGCGCATTTTTCAAGTCAGATCGGCTATATCGTGCTGTGGAGCTGTTGATTCAACCGCGGGGCGTGCGGACGCCGAGGGAGATTAAGAATGTTCCTGGGCATCCGGAATACTATGCCTCGAAGAAGACGAAGGGTGGGGATAAGGATAAGGCGAACGGCGTCGACGCTATCCCCCGATCTAATTTCCTGATAAGACAAATCGCCATCTTCACATGGCAATATCTAGCCCTAGACGTCCTGCAAACCGTCGCCCGACAACAAGCATTCGAAGGCGGCGGCGGCGGCGGCGGCGGCGATTCATCCGGATTCACGCGTATAGATTGGTTCGTTTCTCCAGAGAAATGGATTGAGCGTGGCCTTACGAACTTGATTACTTGGTTTGTGACATCGCGCATTCTGATCGATGCCAGTTATCGATTTGTGTCTATCATCTTTGTCGGACTTGGATTTGATTCGCCTGAGAATTGGCCGCCGGCGTTTGGGAGGATGAAGGATGTTTATACGATTCGGAAATTCTGGGGGTAAGTTTCTAGCTATATCTCCTTTGCTTATATGACTCTACTTTTCATGAAACTTGATGATACCCGTGATATGTTCTGATCATTCATTTAATTGATACTAACATCTTCACAGCAAATTCTGGCACCAATTCCTCCGCGGCCCATTCACAGCTGTCAGCAACTTCATCGCAAGGGATATCCTGCATCTCCCCCGCCCATCCCTCGTAGAACGCTACACAAATATCTTCATCGTCTTCCTCCTCTCAGGAATCCTGCACGTCCTCACAGACCACATCCAAAACATTCCCTACGAGTACTCTGGCGCGATGATCGGATTCCCCATCACCGCATTCGGAATCATGTTTGAAGATGGCGTGCAAGAACTTTGGAAACGATTCAGTCCTCCAACGAAAGCAGGTTCAAAAGAGGGTGGGGAAGAATCTGATTCTGTTACGCCGGTGTGGCAGAGAATCGTCGGGTATGTTTGGACTTTTGTTTGGTTGGGTGTTGTTTCGACATGGTATCTTTATCCGATTTATGAGTTACCCGGAGAACTTACGTTGCTTGTTCCTGTGAGTTTGAGTGAGAGGGTTGGGGTGCAGCCGTTGGCAGGTGTTGTTTTGGGGGCTGGGTTGGTGGTGGGATATGTTTTTGGAGCGGAGATTTGAGAGGGATGTTTGATCCATTGTCAGGAGGTGGATTTTTGGGTACTTTGGGTACTTTGAGTATGTTGATCTTGGTTGTCATATAGAGATCAGATGTTGTTTATAGTAGCTGATCTAGAGCATGCTTATAAGATTGGAAGAGAAAGGATCGTGACGAGAAGTAACCAGGTGTCTGTTCATAAGTTGTCTGATGATGGAATGAGCGGGCTGCCTTGAAATCAAATACCGCTGTACTTCTTTTTTTCTAGGCACATCGAATACTTTTGATGTGTTTTGAACCCATTTACCCTTTCAATGCGAGGACCGCCACCCGTGGACCCGGCAGTCAATTTCATCGAAGTTACTGAACGTTCGAGTTGATCTATACCAAAGTCCGGGATCTTGAAATCCAAACTAACAAGAGCTGTTCTACGCTCAAAGGATTGATGCATGATCGCTTTTTCTTGAGGTGAGGGCTAGGCCTCGTTCACCAAATATTATGTGTACTACTGTACTTATACTACTAGCTCTAGCATGATTGAACTTTATGATATCCTGGCTTGTGAGGTTAGCATGCCTGGACGCGTGTAGTTTCATGTATGAGTAAAATTCTGCTATAGCCTCCATCGACAATTGATATCCATCTGGATATTATTTGCTGGAAGAACACGAGAGGCCGAGTATTTCTCGGTTAGATGGTAGAAAGTAACATCTTAAGAGTAGACTTGAAGACAGCACCACGTGGAACTTTCCAAAGATCCGTTTAAGCAGTCCACAGTCAAACAATCGTCAATACAGCCAACCAGATGCCGTTGAATCAGCCTTATGAGCCGAGATCCCGCACACATGGGCGAGAATTACGTTCCAGCACCAAATAAAGACACACAAGAATCTGCCCAACCGCTACTGAGTCACGGTGCAAGTGCGGTGACGCACCAAAAGTGGCCACCGAAGGAAACTTCGGAGGGAAACCGCACGATTTTGAAGGCCGATTTCGCAGCGGCAGATCTACGGCCAAGCCACCTGCATCAAAGGACACCACATAGAGCCTAGAGGTCAAATACAAGCCGCCTACACAATCTAGCCTGGTGGCTGAAAATTTTTGAGCCTCCAGTCCCTGCAGAGATCGGCAGAGTCTACCCGCCATATAAAATAGTTCATCGGTTTTCAATTCCAACAGCTATCCTCAAAGCTTGCATGAAAACAAGTTACAGTTCTACACAAATAGCCACGCCGGCATCGGCGACAAACTTTTTTTTTCATCGGTTTCCCCAGTTTTTCACAGAGGATTCGACTCTGTACTGCTGCCTTTTGCGTGGTTTCTATTACGTCTCGGGGCCGTGATTCGTGCAGACGGGCCGAAGGCCGGTTCCATCGGTGGCTGAGGGTCCACTTCCGCTCTGGACCGGCCCCGTTTTTTGCAGGTGAGGCCGAGACTGAAACTGTAGAAGATTGAGTCAAGCGATCGTCTTTTGAAATTTCCTGAGCTTGATAATTTCTCTTTCTTGACCTTATATCTCTCGCGACTCGCAGGTTTTGATACTTTGGTATCTTGTGCAGCTTTCGACTTTTTGCATCTGCCGAGAGTTGACGATTTGATTTACATACGACTTTCACAACTACAACATCGATTGCTAGGATGAGCCCTCAGGTGGATGGCCCAGCTGAAGCTGCGGCTGTGGATTTGGAAAATGCTCGCCAGAGGAGCTTGGATGTCGCGCCTGTTGAGTTCGAGCCTGAGAATAAGATGAACAATACGCCGGAATATAAGCAAGATGCTTTCGGTAATGAAGAATTTGCTGAAGTCAAGTATAAGATCATGAAGTGGTGGTATGTTCACGATTCGATCCTATCAAGCTTGGGATATTGACTAATTTATCACGATTCTAGGCAATGCGGTTTGCGTATGTGATATACAATTCGAATAACCAAACAACATCCAATCTAACTGATATCTAGTTATGGTTGCTGAAACCGTCTCTCTTGGTGTCCTGTCTCTCCCTGCTGCTGTCGCAACGCTGGGTCTTGTGCCGTATGTTTCAAAACACGACAAATTTGCGGTACAACTTTTTACTCACACCTCTAATAGTTCAATTATCCTCATCATCGTCCTCGGTCTCCTCGCAACATGGACCGGCTATATGATCGGACAAATGAAATTGAAATACCCCTACATCATGACCATGGCCGACGCAGGAGAAGTCCTCGGCGGCCCATTCGGACGCGAATTTATGGGCGTCTGCCAGATCCTTTTCCTCATCTTCATCATGGCGAGTCATCTTTTGACATTTACCGTCGCCATGAACACTATTACCAGCCATGGCACTTGCTCGCTTGTTTTTGGCATTGTTGGCACAATCATTTCCTTCCTGTGCTGTCTGCCACGTACTTTGGAGAAGATGTCTTGGTTGTCTCTTGTTTGTGAGTTTCAACCTCCCTCCTCTCTATATCCAAATTATGCTAATTCAATTTGTAGCATTCGTCAGCATCATCGTCGCGGTATTCATCTGCATGATCGCCGTCGGTATCGAAAACCCCGGCAGTGGAGTTGTCGCTGTTGCCAAAACCGATCTCTACCATGGTTTCTCGGCTGTCTGCAACATCGTCTTCGCTTTCTCCGGCCACGCTGCCTACTTCGGTCTGATGGCTGAGCTGAAGAATCCCCGCGACTTCACAAAGTCTCTCTGCCTGCTTCAGGGAATTGATATTAGTTTGTACATGGTTGCCTCCCTGGTGATTTACCGTTACGCTGGTGATGGTGTTACTTCGCCTGCCTTGGGATCAGCTTCGCCCTTGATTGCGAAGATTTGCTATGGCATTGCTCTGCCTACGGTATGATAACCTCTGTCTCTGTCGATTATTGAGAATTTTTGCTTATGAGTCCTGATTGTAGATCATCATTGCTGGTGTTATCAACGGCCACGTCGCAGTCAAGTATGTCTATGTCCGACTTCTGGCCGGAACAGACCGAATGCACAAGCGCGACTGGATCGCCGTCAGCTTGTGGCTCGGCATTGCCGCAGGTCTCTGGATCATTGCGTGGATTATCTCTGCCGCAATTCCCGTCTTCAGCAGCCTGCTGAGTTTGATTGTATGTTTCAATCCGGAGAAAAAACCTTGTTCTTGCTAACCTCCAAATCATAGACTGCTCTGTTCGCTTCCTGGTTCAGTTACTGCCTGGGTGGTGTTTTCTGGCTGTATATCAACAAGGGCCGTCTGACATCCTCGCCGCGGATGATCGTCTTTACTATTATCAACCTGGTCCTTATTGGAATTGGGTTGACTATTTGTGGTATGGGTCTTTGGGTGTCTGGAAAGGCTATTCACGATAATCCCAGCAGTGCGAGCTTTTCGTGTGCGAATAATGCTTGATTTTGGTCAAGCGAGCATATCATCTTTGACTGTTTATTTACATATTAATTAGCATTTACTGCGGCGTTTTGGCTTAGAGGGCATTTGCAAAGGCATTTTTATCTACAATATATCCCAGTCTTTAATTCAATGTTTGTGATGTCTGAAAAAAAATTTCCATACAACGGCTATGTTGTAGCAGGTTATTCCAAAGATTGAGTAGACGAGTATAGTGGGCAAACCACGGCCATCTCTGGTAAAAGGCAAGACGACGCAGGCGTCGAATCAGGCCTCCCACGTGGCAATACCTGATCCAGGAAGAACGGGGTATTGTTTGTGCTACTCAATGAACGAGATAGCAATGGGGTCTGAGATAATTGCGCAATGGTGACGCCAATCATCGATTTGGAGACGCTTAGTCAAATACATCTGAACGGCTAAAGTCGAGTCGGCGTTGCAGAAGGGACTCAACAATGTGGTTCAGCCGCACTAGGTCGATTTCATGTGACTCGAGGGGTCCATCACGGAAAGAGCGTCCAGGCTTAGAAAACGTGCTCAAGCCGCAGAATACTCTTAGGACCTGGGACACGGATGATGAACCTAGACCGACGTCAGTACGTAATTCGATGCAGTTTAATGTTTGACAACTTTCGCAAAGAGCAGCATTTCAGAGAGAAGATTAAGGTCGTCAAAGCCTTACACATTTGCTAGATGGTATGGTCTTCCGACTAAGGATGACTTGATATTTTTCATCATGTTGGGAGGGGAATTGAGAGAAAGAAATGTCTTTGCTTACCATAGATTTCTGTATGAAAGACCTGAGAATTCATCACAAGGTATTTGGTGTTCTTGTTTGAGATGGGATTGCCCTATTACCGGGTCCCTCCTTCAAACTCGTTTCGCATTGCAGTATTTCCACCAACTCGCAATTCAATCCTCATAAGAGATAATCTTCCGACCTGGGAACGGAGCCCGGGGGTTCGTCGGGCGTGGCTTGGGAGCCGCAGCTGGAGCCGGGTTCTGCTCAACATCTTCATAATCGAGGGTCTGCTCCGGCTCGTTCTGGGTTTCACGATAGCCCCTTTTCTTGGGCTTTGTTCCGCCCGGGGACCGACGACGACTGGGGCCCTGATTCTGAGCATGAGCTTCGTAGTGCAGCCCTTTCTCACCGGACACATTTTGCTCATCACGAACCAGCTCTTCCCGGGTGGTGTCTGCCCCGGCACTCACTACCTCACCAATATAGAGCTTGCGAGCCCGGTCTTCATACTCCGCCTCATCCAGCTCCAACTGTCTTTTGCGCAGCAGGGCATGAATCTCGCTGTGTCTGAACATTTGGATTTGCTCATCCGTAAGAGTGCGCTTCACACCGTCAGGATAGTAGCCGAGATCATCTTCGTCAGCGTAGATGTCGTCTTTGACGACAGGTTCTGCCGTAGGCGCGTGCAAAGCTTGGTGGTGGCCGGGGAAGTGGGCTACTTGAAAGGCTTGGAGGTCTTCCTGGAAGGTAGCTTTTGATTAGCTTGGTTGATCTTGTTAAAGGGTGACATAGGAACCTGATAACTGCTTACTAGAGTGACTGTTGGGACCTGCATCGCGATTTGGAGCGTGATGCAGACGTGAGGTGAGGGAAGACGCGTGGGGGTGCCACGGGGATGTTACGTAAGATCGGGATTTGGAAATTTCCTAATTGGGAGAATTGCGAGGAGGGTTACTCTTCCTTATTGAGAATTTGATGCTGCTAGACCACCAGAGTGTGCTAGTTAGTGCTGCTAAAATCTCATGAGCTTATAGATTAATCATCAATTACTTGGGTCAATATAACCCGAGGAGTATGCGGTCTGATTACACTAAACTTGGTATACTCAATTCTCCTTGAGGCCGCTCTCCACCAGATCGAGAATTGTATACTGTACGAAAATCATCCATGACATTCAGAAATCATCATTCGTAACTCTGTCATGTCGACTCGCTCCCGTGGAGTTCCCTCAAACGTCCACCGGAAGCGCAACACTCTCAACATGATTCCCAATCTTAACCTTCACACTATCAAACCTAACCCTCATACTCTGCACATCTCCCAACTCCAACCCCGCAACACGCTCCTCCTCCACCTTCCCGGGCTCCGTTAAGCTCCACGCCAACGAAACATGGAAGCAATCCGAGTAGTCGCCCGAGCCGGTCGGGCCCAGTCCCCGATCATGCGCACCCAGCGCACGGTTCCGGCGAGCATCACGCGATGACGAGGACGCATAAAGCGCCGGCTGGTCAAAGACAGCCAGAGCTCGGTTCGACAGTGCAAGTAAACGATTTAGACCATCGGATACTGGGCGCGCAACGTGGAGGACTAGGAACCAGCGCGTGCGCTCGTAATTGGATACCCATTTTAGAGCGTCTGGGGTGACGGTGAAGCTGGTTGAGATGTGTGTTAGCGAGATTTGTGCGTAAGAAAGACTCTGGTCTGAAACGGAACGACGAAGGGCGGTCTGGTCTGTCTTACGGTGGAATATGCGAGTCCCGTATACCCTTTGTCAGGGCCTCGGTGAACGAGGCACGCTGCTCGGTACGTAGTACCACGGGGGCTGATAAGCTGATGTGCAGCGGGAGCTGGGCGCCCAGATCACTATGCAAAAGGCTGTGCAGGCGCGGGGTACTAGCGCTACCAGCAACATCGCTGTCAATGTCATCGGACAGGTCTACCGGACACTGAGCGCGAGCTATGAGCTCTGCAAGGAGTGCAAGTTCATTCTTAGCCGGGTACCCTGTCCATCATCCATGATTAGCCATGAAACAATTCAACGCGAGGCTTTCGGGGCGCACACACATTCCACATAGACGTGTGTGGGCCAGTTGCCTTCCACATGGGGTATGACGCGTTTCCGGCCGCCATGGAGGCTCGGATCGTCTTTTACACTGACGCGCGTGCTTGAGGCATAGAGGTCGTGGAAAGCTGGTGGTAATGGGGGCAGTACTAGGCTCCCAGTAGTGGGAGCTTTAGCTTCATAGCGGGGTTTCTTGGCGGGAGGTGATGCAGGCTGGTCTGCATCTGACTCAGAGTCGGAATATTGCACCAGGGACATGAATTAGGGGGTGGTGACTCCTGCTGGTGAAAGAGTACAGATCTGGGGTTAGTCCATGTTTTTTTTCTTGGTGTGGGGGGCAGAATGAGTTTTCGGATGCGGAGGGCCTGAGGATCGGCGTGGTTGGGGCGATCTGGTGGGCGATCAGAGTGATCAGACTGTGCAGCGAGGAATTACACTAGTAAAAGTTGACAGAAATAATGAATCAATAGATTGTCTACATTCTCAATTTTGGTACATTAATTTCTGTCTTTCATACTGTTCTGTTCTTCTGATCATTGATTTGTTGTAGAGTTACTCGTGCTCTGAACTATGGGAACTTGCAGGGCCCAGCCACCCGGGATATCCCACGCCGGGAAGATCACCAATATACCAGGAACAATGTCCTGAACTAGTACATAGCTCCTGGTCATTTCTGGGAGATTAGGCTGAATGCCATCGATGACCGTCAAATCGCAGAAAACCTTTCACAAATTCCTGGTATTGCAGGGGCTGAGAATACGTAGCTGATTCCCATCAGCAAAACCGAGGTTTCTAATGTAACCCTAAAGCTTGCGCTGAGTCAAGTGGCCCTGGACAGGAGAACAGTGGGAATTGAAGTGATTGGATCAAAGGATCGGTTCCTTGCGAATTACGAGGAGCAACCTTTCTAGCCTCGCTCGATTGCCGCGCGACTCCGCCACGGTTGTACATACGAAGGGGTTTCGTTGATGTCTATGGATAGTTAAAAACCACCACGTCGCAGAGACACCTTGCGATGTTCATAGAATCAATATCATTCGATCGATTTAATACGAGGAACACAGGCCTCAGATTGTCAGCTTCATACTCACAGTCTGTAGTGATGGACAGGTCTCGACGCAAGGGCAACACAAGGGACCCATGCAGTCCTATCGACGACGATCTAGACCTGCAGCTCCTGCTCCGGAATGTCAAGGAATGGCACAGTGGAGGGTCTCTTGGCTGGAGATGAGCAAGGTCATCCACGCTATCCTCGCTAGTCGATAAGCTTAAGTGGTAGTGCACGGGTCATCGCGGCTGAACCAGAGCAATGGTCAAGGAACAAACTTTTTCTGAAACTTACTTTTCTTCATCAGTGCAGCATTTTGAGCCTATGAATCATCGCAAGGAACCGCTGGAACTCCGCGGAAGATTAGGCCGCAGCGTCATCGGGGTATAGCTGAGAGGAAGAATCGGAACTGGTGGATGCTCACTGAGTAATACAGTACTTGCCATAGTAAATCGCTTTGGAGCTCACCTGACACTTCCCGTGACTCAGCGTGGCTTAGTCTAGCTGGGAAGTTGGGTACCCACGCCGACGTCGACGTCGCGGGGCATTCTGGAGTTGATAGGACCCTTTTTGTGTGTTCTGTGAACATGGAGGGGGGGAGTGTATATCATAGTGGACATGGTCAGGGCCCATTTTGCCCCCGGATGATATCACAAGTGTGATCGTCATCATCGTGCAACGGAATTAGCGTACCCGCAGGTCCCCGAGCTAAACCTAAGGAGGATGAGTGGGGGGTGAAGGAGATACCCAAAGAGGAAAAGTGCGCACGATGAAAGGTTCTAGCGTGGACCCTCTTATCGATAAGGTCCCACTAGGACAAGATGGACATACGCAAGTCAGTCACGTCACCCTCCGTTCGTTCCGTCCTGGTACTTCTCTAAAAGGGTCTAGTTCTTTTAAAAGAGCCAAAATGGAAACTTTCCATTTAGGCTCCTCTCATCTACAGTTTTTATCTGTGCATCTTCCTATCTTCCCATCTTTCATCTCACTTCCTTCCTTCCTGATACCATAGTATCCCCTGCCGACTTACTACTCTACACCGCATCTGCACATCTCAGCTCTGTGCGATCTACCCTGCATACTCCCCTCTCTATACCTCAGCCCCACTCACTTTCTACCGAGTCACTCTCCGAAGTATATTTTCCTATATACCGCGTGATCCTTGCAAGGGACTAAACTATAACCATAACCCCTCGGTCTCTTTCTACTCTTTTTCCCCTCCCATCTTCTCCCCCTCGAAACATTTCAAACCAACTCTCTATATACTCGCAACAAATGGCTGCTGTCGACTGTATGTCGATGGCCTCGCGCCATCATCCACACCATCCCTACAACCACCAGCACAGCCGGGATCGCCGATCTAGCTATTCCACCCTGGGCAGTAACAATCCTTATGCCCGGTACATGTCACCAGCACCCTCGGGGTACTCCCACTCCAAGCGATCTCTCTCCGAAACCTTCCCTTCTGTACCCACAGTATCCATGGACTCCCTCTGGTGGTCCGGCTCTCCCGAGCACCAGCCGGTGTACCCGAGGCACCAGCGAGAAAGTTCGGCACCTCGACGCCGTCGCTCACAGCAGAGATACTCGCGGAACTCACACTTGGTGAATCCCGATATCATCGATGAGCTGGATGATGTAACCTCTTACTCTTATCACCATGAGGGTCCCTATGATGCGGTTTGCCCCGAGCGCAATCGCGTCAGCCATCATAGTCCTCTCGAGGCAGTGAGAGAGTCGAATGAGGAAGCTTTGCGCGCTACGCCGCGCGATAAGATTATCGATTGCTTGCATAGCCACCGCCCACTAGATGGTACGGCGTATTTTCCTCCCGGCACCACCGATCGGGATGGACAGACGTATGAGTATGAAGAAGGATCGAATATGATGGACGAATACGGTCTTTTTATGCGTCTTCCTGGTCAGGTATGTAGGATTTCTGCCGTTGATTTTCGCGATTAAACACATTAACCTTTCCATAGAAATTCACCGACGAGGACTTCAAGAATGACCCATTCTACAACCGCCCAATCTCCAATCCATTCCTTCAATTGAAGAAGAAACTCAGTCTGCGCCGGAACAAGAAGCCGCGGAGCACTGCTTGATCGGACTCTCTGTTTGACTTTCACTTGGATTTTCTTTATATCATGATACGACGACCTACGCAATCTTCTGTTATGACTGGATGAGACCCTGATAATGAGGTGTTTGGGATACTGGGAATCTGGTCTGGTTTGATCTTTGTCCTTTTTATGTTCTGAAATGTTTGTCTGCGCTGGCCTTGACCGCGCTCTTGCTTAGGTGTTTAATAGGGATCTCGGAGTTACGGATATTGGTATTATGTGTATCTAAAGACTACTGCAATGGATTGTGCAATAAAATCGATTGTTTTCAAAAAACAAATCCAAAATTCGCATAACCTCATGCTACCGTCATTCCACTTGAGGCTCTTTGATTTCGCCTCTTCGAATTTGCCTCCTAGCATCAACTTGATCTCACCACGAACAGTCGAACACCCCATACTCTTTGCTTATTGTAGTTTTACGAACACTAGCCATCCCAATCCCAGACTCCCATCATCGACGAAAAATCCCCCACTCCACCCATCTCTAGATCTCATCAAAAAATGACAGGCTACCAGCCCAACCATCCCCCCGAAACCCTCGGCCCCTTCCACCCCCCAAAAGTCGACAAACAAGCCATAAAACCCTCCATCGCGCAACGCATAACCATAAAAGTAACCGACCCCCTCAACCACTCAGCCCCCGCATTCCTCCACTCCCCCCGAACAACACCCACAACCACCTGCCCCCCCCAGCGCCGTAGTCCTCGTCTCCGGCGCCGGCGGCGGCGTCTCGGGTCCAGCAGGAATCTACCCATCCCTCGCCGACAAAATCGCCCTCCTTTTGTCAATTCCCTGTCTGCGACTGGACTACCGCGAACCCGCGCGCACAGAGTACTGCGTCGCAGACATGCAAGCTGCCTTCGACTATCTCCGCGACCACTTCGGTGCAACACACTTCGTCATCGTCGGCTGGTCATTCGGCGGAAGTCCCTGTTTCACGGTTGCCGCGCGCGAACCTGTTCGGGTAGCTGGTGTCGCGACGATCGCTTCGCAGACTGCGAAGACGGATGGTGTTAGGGCGCTTAGTCCGCGGCCGATGCTTTTGTTGCATGGGGAGGAGGATAGGGTCCCTGCGCCGTCTTGTTCGAAGTCGCTGTTTAATAGTTATGGGGATGATGGGGATCGAGAGATGAAGCTTTTCCCCGGGGATGATCATGGGTTGACGAGGCATGCTGTGCAGGTTGAGGGGAAGCTTTTGGGTTTGTGGTTAAGTGTTTGGGGTTGAGTGAGGGGTTGGGGTATGAGGTTTTGTGGCAGGCTGGAAGGGATTTGGTGGAGGGGAAGGAGGGGAGGGTTAAGGAGATGGAGATGGGGAGGGATCTTGAGGGTGGGGAAAGGTTGTTTTGATATGTAGTGAGACGGGTGGGAAGGATAAGGTTTTGTTTGGAGATATAAGGTTGGTTAGGATTGTAGATGTACATGTTGAGAGTACGACCCTGGCTATCCTCGAGAAGACTCACGAATTCGATGTTAAAGGGCTTCACGAAACTTAATTCGATCATCGTCGAACAAAGGTCTCAAGCATATCATTTTGAACAGAGTATATCTGCAACCTAGTCGTGAAGATGGCATCGTGGCTGACATCGTGGTCCATGGATAGACTTGATGCTCACTCTGTACCTTTTCAACATGAGCATCATCTATGTCCTCAGTCTTCTCATCTTCGATGGCCTTTTTGCCTTCACTCAAGGCAAGTTCATTGCGAATCTCAGCCATGAGCTAGGCATTTTCCCGAGCTGAACTTACCCCCAAAATCTTATTCATCCGTTACAACTTTTGGCCCACCTAATGTTAGCAAAGGGAAGGGAGAGCTTCATAGAAGGGCTTAGAGCCATTCCTACCACGCGACTCGGCCCAACTGCCTTGATATGGTTTCTGAATATTATTTTTCGAAATTCATCGAATTCATATTTACTGTCTATAACTTTTCAAAGTAGAGAAATGAAAGTCAGGAGCTAACATCACTGCTTAGCAAGAAGGGCCTCTGAGAAAAGACCTATAATTAAATCTGTTGATACTTTCTGGATTGCGCGCGAACATTCGAACAAAAAAGATCAACCCCAAGACCAGAGATCACTGAGGTAGATTTAGACAAGTAGGACCATAGAAAGAAGTGATTCTTTCGGTTGCTACTAGATCCAGTGACATGAGAGACTTTAAGAGGCGACTACCTCATAGTGGCTGATAAGAGACACTCCCAACATGTTGCCAATGCCATACTCCGAACACTGGTTCACCTCAGACCTTAACATAGAGAAGGGAGGAAGGCGCTTAGCATTCTGCGTTGGGCAATCTATCCGTGAGGACTTTTGTACTTCCTACTCAGGCTACTTCAAGGATATTGTTGTTGCCCAATACTCAGCCTGTTTGTTTGTCACCTCCTACCCCGCTTGGGGTTTGACAGCGCACCCACTTGGCTGGCACTTTCTTTATATTCCATCCTTTGAATAAATTCTCATCTGGCACCTCAGGTTTTCTTCTTGCCCTTCTCTTACATCTATTCAGTACAGAATACGGCTTGCAACCACTTCACCTTTCCGTCATCAGTATGGATACCCACGACGTCTCCGATGTTCCGGAGTACTTGGAGTATCTTCGAGGACATAAACAAAATCTGAAAAACGCGCAGGCTGTCAAGGGATGTCCAGCAAGATCCAAAAAATCCAGAGATGAGATCTTGATGCAGTTTATGGTTCGACAAATGATGAATAAAGAACCTCCTGCCCATCCGAACTATATCCGATCCTCGTTCCTACCACCTGCGTACACCCCTTGCGTTACTCCATTCAGCAAGTTGGAGAAGGTAATGATGAAAAGCCTATTTCTTGAAACTCATCATCGGGGACGTTATCTCCTTCTGAGAACGGTGACTCCGATAGATATAAGCACCGCCGTTATGGCCATCGTGGAGGATGAAGACGGGAGTGTTCTCATGATACAGCTCTACAACCAAGAGCAGGAGCTATTGGGCGCACAGAGTCTCAGAGAGGGCACAGTACTTGCTGTGAAAGAACCCTATGTGAAAGTAATGGCAGACGGGGACTACGGGATTCGAGTGGACCATCTCTCAGATGTCAGGTTTATCCCCGAATTTGACGACCTAGTTCCCTTATCCTGGAGGAAACGTATCACGCAGGCTGACGAGAGCGCCCCCTTTTGGAAGGAGAAAGGAAACGAGAATTTTACTCGGGGGGATTATAAGTCCGCAGTTCAATGGTAAGCCGAAAAAGATTGCTGTGCCTCATACGGATGCTAAGAATAACTTCAGGTATTCAAAGTCGCTGGAGACCCATTCCTCACCCGAATTGCTGGTTACAGTACAGCTCAACCGTGCCCTCGCCTTTTTGAAAAGCCACTGCTTTGATGCAGCGTTGAGAGACGTTGAAGATGTCTTGAAAGTATCAGAGCTATCGGAAAAAGCTCTTTTCAGAAAGGGTCAAGCTTTATATCAACTTGGAAGATTCAGGGAATCATGTGAAACCTTCGCAATACTCACAGAGAAGTATCCAAAAAACGCCACGGCTGCACATGAGAATGTACATGAGAATGTACATGAGAATGCACATGAGTATGCACATGAGTATGCACGAGCATCTGCTCGACTTGTGGAGCAGGAGAGCGGGAAATACGATTTCAGAAAGATGATAAAGGAGGCCAAGAAGCGTCAGCCCCCGAGACTTAATCGCGGTACCTACATTGGTCCTGTGACTGTTAAGCAAACTCAATATCATGGGAGAGGACTCTTCACAACACAGGCAGTGAAGGCAGGGGACCTTTTGTTCTGTGAAAAGGCATTTGCTCACGCTTTTCACGATGAAAATGCCTCGAAAGGTCTCCGTCTGTTACTCAATGTCGACATGAACAAAGCTACGATTGGCACCCAAGGGGAGCTCATTCAATTGATTGTTCAAAAGCTTTACAAAAATCCATCTTTGCTACCGGACTTTGTCAAGCATCATCATGGTACCTACAAATCAGTGGATTGCCTGGAAGTGGATTCTGAACCGGTCGTAGATAGGTATGTCAGTGTTTCCCCATCTTGATATGAAATCTAATCCCGTCCAGTTTCCTCATTGAGAGAATCATGCTCCTAAACGGTTTCGGATGCCCTCTTCTCTGCCGCGAGAGTCACATACACAGCATGAAAGGAGATTCTGATTCTGCCAAAGGGGCCAATGAAGTATTCCATTCCAATGGGGTTTGGTCTATGGCGTCATACATTAACCATTCTTGCCTGAGCAACGCTCGTCGTTCTTTCATTGGAGACATGATGATTTTGCGTGCTTCAAGGGACCTGCCTTCCAATGCCGAAATTACCTTTTGGTACAAATCGCCCATGAACTGTGACCCTAAAGACCTAACAGTCAACCTAGATCACTGGGGCTTTAAGTGCGATTGCATATTATGCCAAGATACACGAAGTCTTAGCAGGCATGTTCTATCAAATCGAAACAAGCTCTTGGCCGACCTTCAAAGATTATTCAAAAGACCCAAGATGGATTTGCGAAAGATTGAAGGCACAATTTCTAGCCTCGCAAGCACATATTGCCGACCAGCTTCTGAAGTCCCTCGCCTTGGACTTCATTCGCCATATCTGACCCTCGCTGCGATTTACGCTTCATCTCAAAAACATGGAAAGGCTGTGAAATTTGGAATAATGAGCCTAGAGTCACTTGGGTTCGTTATCAAGGGTGCAGATATTCCTCATATCTCAGACGCTCCATTGGTTGTCAAAAAATGGGGCCTGATGAATGATGCAGTTGTGGGGTGCTGGATGATTCTGTGCTATGCATTTCGAGAGTTGGCACCTACTCTCGCGTCCCAAGCTGAGGGCTATGCCAGAGTCTCCTACAAAATTTGCGTTGGCGAAGATGAGACTTTTGATCAGACATACAGCGGGCTATCAAATCGGGTAGATGGATTTTTAACAACGGCAAAGTAGCCATGCGAGCTCACAGCGTGACGAAACTAAGCAGAGAAGGTTTTTTGCCTGACATATTTGACCAAGACATAGCTAACTACATACCGGATTCATCGATTGAATTGATCAGTGATCAGACTTTATTAGTGTTTTCAGTCCAGAACGAGATAATCAGAGACCTAGCTTAAGCATCTCGTAGTACTCATGGAGCAATTTGGGGACACATCTGGAACTATGGTAGGGGTGGACCTCAACAACTACGTGATGAAGGAATGAAATTTTCTTGGTAACACACAAGTAAAAGAAGAACGATTAAAACAGCACCCGACCACCCTAACTAGCGTCGATATGTGGGTTTAAATGGTATAGCCTCCTCCGGTAAACTGAACTTTCCCAAACTTCGTCTCACGTCAACAAGGGCGAATTCCATCGATTTCAGAAAAAGACAGGACTCCTTCATTCTGGTCGGTGATCGACAACAAGGCGCTCATTTTTTCCCTTCGGGTTGACGGAGAAGAATGGTGGAAGACCTATTCGATAAGATTCTATTAGCCAAGTGCAAATGATTGATATGGTTCAGGACTTACAGTAATGAATTCAGCCTAGTATTGTGGTTGACAGTCCTCACCAGGCTTGAAGTTCCATTTAGGTGTGCACGGTGGCAGGTCAGACCGAGCATCACGAGGCTCGACTGGAGCGGCAATGGCCATCAAAAGAACGGCACAGAGGGCGAGGACAGAGCTGAGTTGAATGTACATCATCTTGCAAGAGGAAGATTGTTGCTGAGATAGAAATACTTTGGAGCGACAGATGACTCTCTATTTATGCCTCTGAAAATATCACCTCACCGAGCCTCTATACCCGGTCGAACTGTGGAGACTTTGTTTATAGAGATCACTATAGGCATAAGGCTCGGGACTATCGACTCCCATACGTCGATCAAAGTTTAATTTTAGGAAGATGTTGCGCTGTGATCGGATAGGGTTGACTATTTTTTGGTCCTTTGGTTTCTCGAACAAAGAAATCCGCCACATGGCAGCCAAAGCCAGATCATGCCACAACCTGCGGCTGACAGCAATAACCTAAAACGGGTTTGTATAAGATGTAACCATTGACTTTTGTAGCGTATCAGGTATCGCCGTTGGGAGATCGCTCCCTAACAAGGTAAGAGGTAGGTACAGTGTGTGCACTCTCATACTCGATCTCTAACGGCTGGTGCTTCACTTTCTTTCTTCCTCTAGTCACAGGATGGAGCGTTGCACTTGGAGATTCATTAATGATTTGTCACGGATAAGTAAGATCCATTCAAGGGTCATATCCGAAGCCACATGGGTGTGGAGCGGGTTGGACTTGTCATCATTCGGGAATATGTAAATTTGATATTGGAATGATGCTCACTGTAGACTACCAAATGATCTTGCTCTGCATTTCATCTATGAGAGCTTGGTAATGATACTTGGCCAGTCAAATTAGTTAGATATCTATCTAGATGTCCATGCACAGCATCCATGTCCCAGCCCCTAACTTTCTAGTAACTCGGGGGCTGAATCGTGTGATCTCAAATCAATTTTGTGACCAGACCACAGCATAGAGCCGCAGTATCCTGCCGGATAGATCATAACCAAGAATATTAGTTTCACAGCGAGGGTTCCCAGGTACCTCTGCTCTCATCGACCGTTCCATTCGGCAGCAACCGCACTAATTGACCCTCAAAAAATCCAATGTTGTCGAATGTTAGACCAAGTCTTCTTGGTCAATGGCCCGAACATGTGAAACAATCCCCCGTGGTGATGCTACCCTGTCGAGTTGCTCTGAATGTGAATGGTCGCTCTGAATGATCGCAACTCGCTGGTATTTCTGAGCCCACCAATGATGATGATGTGGCCAATACCTGCTACTTAATCCTCCTAGTTGCACTCCAATGTTGTCCATATTTGAGCCAATTTTTACAAGGAAGTGGGAAGTTGACTCGCAGCCAAAAGATGACGCCGTTGGGGTGTTAGCGTGCCCAATGCGGTTATCAATGAAAAGCGAGGCTGGAGACGCCACCAGAGGGCCTGTCACCAATGACATATATCAGTAGAAGAAGAGAATAGTAGTCTCTCCATGTGCCTCTTTCGAGTCATGGCAGATCTGGATTAGATAGCTATAGCGGGGGTTTTCAAGTGTGACTGGTACTAAGTTTGATGCAGCTAATTTGACTCTATAGGTACAGATTGAACGGTGGCAATAGATATACAACCCACTTTGTCCATTTCAAAATACTCATAGAAACTTTTCAACAAGTTCTTGCAAGACAATTTCTTAGGGCATATTCTACTCTGCGAAATGATTCTGACCAAGCAAAGACCCAGTTAGTTAGCCCCTTCCTGCCAATGGAGTACTCCCGAATACAAAAGATAACTTATCCGAGGCCTCCGGTCTGCTTATAAATAGAAATGGCAACTGAATGAATACCCACAGACCGACTGTTGAGATCTGTGACACCGACCAGGGTTAGACACAGTAAGCCTCACATCTTTCCGGATGTATGTTTTCAGTTGAGTCGTACGACAGGACATGAATCCAATTAAAATTGTACTATAGTTGTACAGTAGTTGTAGTAGTAACTTGTGAGACACGATTGACGATCGGCCCATCAGTCTGGCAATGCCGTTGTGCCCCAGACCGACGGACCAGTCAGCAGTCTCCAATCGATCAGACCACGGCATTTTCTTGGCATGGCGGATCGGCCGATCCATGCTGAATGGAAAGGAAGACTAAAAGTGTCAATCTGTCCACTTTCCTTTGTTGTCTTGGCCCATTCTTTCTTTAATTCCAACTCGACACCTCGACAACTACTACTTCTTTTAGATCAAGTTACCAGGCTATTGTGTTTTGATTCGCGCGACTCAGTACAGTTCCAACACCGTGTCTTTGCACTGCGACCGTTGCCGATTCTGCGCTCTTCAGCGCCACCTCGCGTCCTTGTCGCCGCATTCTTCTTGAACGACGCTCCCTTCGCAATATACCCTGCTATATTCCGATCTTCTTGATGGTTGGCGCCATGCGGTCAGCTGCAGGACTGTTCTATGCTGCAGTCTTTGCCTTTTCGAATCTCGCCACTGCGAGCAATCATGGCTCAACAAGCCTGGACACCATGAACAAGTGCGCGGTAAGTAGGAGCAGGCTACTCGTTGACGGTCAAGGCCTAGGTTCCAGCTTCCTGAATACTGACATGGCCCAACTCTCTCCTACAGATCGATCCAACAGCGATGGTATCCGACGCCTGTGTCTCTTACGGCACAATCAACAAACTCAACGATGAAATCTACACTCTCCTCCAGTCAATCACTTCCGAAACCGACTTCTTTTCCTACTACCGCTTGAACCTCTTCAATAAAGAATGTCCCTTCTGGTCAGATTCAAGCAGCATGTGCGGCAATATTGCGTGCTCCGTGAACACCATCGAATCCGAAGAAGATATCCCCCTCGTGTGGCGGTCGGAAGAACTGAGCAAGCTGGAAGGTCCCAAGGCAAACCATCCACCTCGAAAAGTCCAGGCAGAGCGCCCGAAGGAGCGGCCGCTACAGGGCATGCTTGGTGAAGGCGTTGGAGAGAGTTGTGTGGTCGAGTACGACGACGAATGTGACGACCGGGACTACTGTGTCCCAGAAGACCAGGGCTCCGCCGGCAAGGGCGACTACGTGAGCTTAGTCGACAACCCTGAGCGATTCACCGGATACGCAGGAGAAGGTGCGCACCAAGTCTGGGATGCAATTTACCGCGAGAACTGCTTCATGAAGCCCGTGGCCGAGGAGTTGGAGGAGCAATCGCTCATCGTGCCTCTCGGCGGCCTGCAGGCCGTGTCCGATTTCCGAAGCGTCCTGCAGAAGGAGTCGCAGCGACTGGATGGACTGCCCTTGGATAACGAGTGCTTGGAGAAGCGAGTTTTCCACCGGCTCATCAGCGGGATGCACGCCTCCATCTCCACACATCTCTGCTGGGATTACCTCAACCAGACAACGGGCGAGTGGCACCCCAACATGCAGTGCTACAAGGAGCGGCTGCATGAGCACCCGGAGCGCATCTCCAATATGTATTTCAACTACGCTCTGGTCTCGCGCGCCGTCGCCAAGCTGCGCAAGCATCTGGAGGGGTACACATTCTGTACTAGCGAGCCCGAACAAGACATTGAGACTAAGCAGCGCATCAACCAACTCACCGAGGTACTCTCACGCCCGCCGCAGATCTTCGACGAGAACCTGATGTTCCAGGACCCGAGCACGCAAGGACTCAAGGAGGACTTCCGCAACCGCTTCCGCAACGTCAGCCGGCTGATGGACTGCGTGGGTTGCGACAAGTGCCGACTCTGGGGCAAGCTGCAGGTCAACGGGTACGGAACCGCCCTTAAGGTGCTTTTCGAGTACGATGAGACCAAGAATGGAGAGAACCCGGAGCTGCGCCGCACAGAGTTGGTGGCCCTCATCAACACGCTCGGCCGTATTTCACACAGTATCGCCGCGGCGCGCAGCTTCCACGAAGCTCTGGAGGCGGGTCAAGAGAACGCTTTCCCTCTGCGACACTCTGCACCCTCGACTCATAACCACGCCGAGGCTAAGAATGAAGATAAGGGACCACGAAAGTTGTTCCACGACGGTACTGGAAAGTTCTACTATGAAAATGACGAGGGCGACTATATCTATGGACGCGAGAAGGTGGATCGCTTGCCCTGGGAGCGTCCTCCCCGAAATCCGGATGCTTCTGCCTTTGATGATCTCAAGAGCGAGTTTGGTATGATCTGGGATGTGACTGCATATGTTCTACGGAGCTGGTTGGATATTCCTCGGACATTGTAAGTGTTACTCAATTGCATGGTCACCTGGAGATCATCTATTCATTGACTAACTTCTTTCTGCAGAATTGAAATCACCGTGTGGGAAGGACAACGGCTCTGGGCGTTCTGGCTGGGTCTGCCTGTACCTCCTCGTGCCTGGAAGATCAAGGCTCCAGCATCGGAAGCCACTCGACGGCCTCAGGCCAACCCTCACAGCGAGCTGTGATTCTACTTATTCTTATCATACACCACTTGCATTAGCATTTGCTTTTTCTGTACATACACACCACACCGGTTACTGTACTCTGGCGTTAGGGAAGACGGTGTTTGTTTGATATAAGGGCTTGATCGTTTATTGTTTATTCTGGAGTGACGTTGACGAACCGCTAATACCTTGTTCATACCTTGGATACCGCTCTCGTTTTGACTTGACATTGGGTTTCGGCTTTTCAGACTTGCTTGTCTTCATATAGAGTTTTCGGGCGTCTTTAGACCAGCAAAATGGCATTGTTACGGTCAGCAGCCGAAGCATTCATACAAGTTCTGGTGGTGATTTTCTAAGATGTAAATTGATTTACTCATTTTTCTAGAATACTATGCTAGTCGAGTAATATGCTGAAGCTTGCCACTCGTTCGTATCTTCTATCTATAGCGTTTTCCGGCGTCGCTATGACCTTCGGAATGTTTGCCGCGGTCGGCCAGTCTTGCCCCAGGTAAAAAGGCACACGAGTTTGCCACTGCAGAGATTTCCTGCGCCCGTGAGAAGACTCGAAAAATATATACATGTAGAAGGAAGAATTCAAATTGAGATATCATATAGTCATTATAAGAATATCAATTATGCCTCGGGACGACTCGACGTAACCGAGTCCACAATCTCAACGCCGAGGGCTCCTTGTACTCCAGTATTTGTTCCTTCACCAACTTCCCCGGCGGTCGGCAAACGCCGACATCCTCGGCTTCTCCACTCCCGGCCACATGCGACTTGCAAGTCACGACTTTCCCTTCTTCTCCGCCCATCCCCCAAATCCATCGATCCACCTCCACTCTATCCCACCCCCAGTCCAAGTAGCAGTCCCAAGTCCATCATCTTCCCCATCTTCCCTGGATTGGACCCGATGCAAGGTTGATTCCGATTATGGCGTCGGTGTCGCCTCCAAAACCCTGGGAGAGAGCAGCTTCTGGTGGTGAGTCTTTCCTGCTTCCCTATCTCCTCTCGTTTTGTCTCCCAAACAACCGTTGAGCGGTTGACCACCCCAAAGAGTCACCGTCGCCATCCACCATCTTCCATCTCATCTCAGACTTCCCCCTTATACTAATACTCGACGGATGCACAGGGTCTGCATTGTCTTCACTACCCACCGCTGGTAACCCAGCTGCCTCAACCGCCATGACTACAACTTCGCCTTCAGCGGTCAACCCCGCAACAACGACCACCTCCTCCACCGCTCCCTCCCTGCCCTCCCGCCCTAACACTCTCAACTCCGTCGTCAACTCGACAGCCTCTAACTACTCTCCCTATGGCGCATCGCGCTTTGGGGCCACCACACCCTACGGGGGTTATGGCGGCTACTCGTCGCCCTACTCCCGCTTCGGCTCGATGGGGTCGATGTACGGTGGCTATGGAGGCATGGGTGGCATGTATGGCGGCATGGGGGGTATGGGAGGGATGTATGGTGGCATGCCTGGGCAGGATCCCAATGACCCCAACAGCCTGACCAACTCCTTCAGTCAAAGTACACAGGCCACCTTCCAGATGATTGAAAGTATCGTCGGGGCCTTTGGCGGCTTTGCCCAGATGCTCGAGAGCACCTACATGGCTACGCACAGTTCATTCTTTGGTAAGTGGCAGACGTTTTTACCCTCACAGACTACAATGGAATGCATTTCTGACTGTTTTGGCAGCAATGGTCTCGGTCGCAGAGCAATTTGGTAATCTGCGCAGCACCCTTGGCTCGGCCCTGGGTATCTTCACAATCATTCGGTGGTTCCGCACGTTGATCGCTAAGATCACCGGTCGGCCTCCCCCAGCGGATGCCACATCTTTGACTCCTGCTGCTTTCGCAGCTTTCATGGGCGGTCGCTCAGCGCCCGCCACTCTCCCCGATGGCTCGCCTGCCCCGGCCAAGCCATCCAAGAAGCCATTCTTCATGTTCCTGGTTGCCGTCTTCGGCCTGCCCTACTTGATGGGCAAGCTGATCAAGGCATTGGCCCGGTCGCAGGAGGCAGAGGCCAAGCGCCGGCAGCAGCTGGTCGGCCCCAACGGCGAGCCTCAGTCCGCGGCCATGGATCCGGCCAAGCTGGACTTCTGCCGTGTTCTGTATGACTACGCCCCCGAGACCCAGGAGAGCAACGGCATCGACCTCGCTGTTAAGAAGGGCGACATTGTTGCCGTCCTCAGCAAGTCCGACCCTATGGGTAATGCCTCGGAGTGGTGGCGCTGCCGTGCCCGTGATGGCCGTGTCGGCTACCTGCCTGGTCCGTACTTGGAGACGATCCAACGGCGCCCGGCCCAACAAGCCATCACCGCTGGTAGCGAGCCTGTCACTCGCACGAGCACTATGAAGAGCGGTGCCGCCAACGAGCGCACCCAGAGCCTGTCATCGATCTCCAAGGTCGGTCATCAGCCCCCCGAGCTTAAGGGCAAGATGGGCGACATCTCCCCGGAGAGCTTCCAGAAGAGCACCTTCTATTCCTGATAGACTTAACGCCCCAGGATCGGGCATAGAAATGTTTGGATGAAGCGCGATGAAAAAAAATCTCCTTTCTCCCCTTCACGTTCTGTCTTATTGTGGATACGCCAAAAGCTCTCCTCCCACCTTCACCTTTACCTCCTCCCTTCACGACATCCTCACTCCCTCACTCACCAATACAAATCCTCATACATATCCATGTCAATTACGAGCACGCCACAGTCTTGAAAACCGTCTTGACGGTCTACGGATCGGATCTAGTCACGTTGACAAATCCGATATCCACCGCCCATTCACCCCCTCATATTCGGGGTTTGGGCCCTTCTTGTGTTCATCCCACTATTCTTATCTTTTTTTTTTTTTTTAATGCCCGCCTTTTTTTGGGGATTGGGATTGGTTTAGCGATGGCCATACTCTTGGATTTTTTATCTGTATCTACTACTTTTTATGGGCGCAATACTATTCATATCACATATAGGGTTTGAACCCATTATCAAAGTTGAGATTTCATGGTCACGTAAGGATTTTTTAGGTACGGGCTATGTATATCTTTCTCTGGGCAGGACACTTGGCTAGATAGCATATCGAGGGTGATGTATCCTTCTACATGTATTTCTTTAGAAAGTTCTGTCTACATGTACACTGCGGTACTGAGTTCCTCACTTCTCCACCCCTTGCGTCCAAGTATATATGAAAGATAGAGGGTTGACAAGGCGCTTTCCTCTTGAGGAGGTTATTTTGGTCAACCGTCTTCCTAGATCAGGGACGGGGATATATATTTGTCGGGCATTGACTAGTATGTGCACAGGTAGGACCCGTTGCCTGAGGTAGACTGCGGAGACAAAGGAGGAGATGGATGAGAGTGGAAGTGTAATCTAATATACAGGATTCGACTGAAAAAGATGAGAGTGGAGGGGGGTAGGTATCGGCGACAACAACACAGGCCAGACAACGACAGTGATAATTAAAGATAAAGGAAAAGGCACGTCGAATAACGAGTTCCTGTATAGACCTAACCCCGATGTATTTCTAACTATACTTACCTGGATCACGGCAGTAATATATATCAATAGAGATAAACAAATCCAAAAATGATGCAGTAAGGTGGGGATATAACGTGCATGGATATAGAAATAGAGTTGAAGATAGGTAATGGCTTAGGTCGAGGATGAGGTACGAGGACCTGATGGAACGAGTAAGTAATGCTATGCACAACGGGGTCAGATCAAGCCAGGAAGGACCACTCTAAGCAAACCTGGCAAAGCAGGTAAAAAAAAACGAAGAACAAAACGCCGTTGCTATGATTTTTTCTTTCTCAATCTTTCCCTGTCTGAAATGCGTGGATACGTGATGATGATGGTGGGTAGGTAAATGAACAAGGATAATGGTGATGAGAATGATAAGAGGACAAATGAGACAAGAAATGAAGAGAAGAGAGGAGGAGAGAGAAGAGAGGACCAAGGAGAAAATGGGCTTAAGGGGAAATGGGCAAATAGGAAGAAGAAACAGACGCTCCAGATGAAAGATTAGACAGAAAAAAGGCAAAAAGAGAAACAAAAGGGGACGAAAAGAAGAAAAGACGGGCCATATACATCATAGAATATCAAGATCAAGATCAAATCACTCGATACAAAGAAAACAAACCCCCGGTCCAGTCCACTAAGTCGTGGACCAGGACCAGGACCATGAAATCTGCATCAACAGAAACAACTTCATCCACAACCAACTCACAACCCCAACCCCTCATGATGAGGAATCTCCTGATTAGGATCCCCCTCACGATTCCACTTCGCCATGGACTCATTAAGCGTATTCTGCAATTCGCCAAGCCGATTCTGAAACGCATCCAAACTGGAATAACTCCCCGCGCCCGGATGCGTGAATAATTCCGGTGGACCGTTCATGCCGCCTCGATGCTGCTGGTGCTGCGAGGTTCCCGGTAGCGGAAGGGCCACTGGGGGAAGGTGATCCGGATTCTGGGAGGATGGGATGCCCGCTGGGAGTGGTAGTTGGTGGACTAGTGAGTGTGTGACTGCTGAGTGGGGGAGTGGGTGTGCTGAAGGGTGAGATAGATGAGGTTGGTGGGTTACTGGTTGCATGGTTGGCTCTGAGGGGTGGTAAGTTCGTCGGGGTCCGTTGTGCATCTGCATTGGGTATGAGTGATGGTCGTCGTCCATGATGAGATCTGGGAGGGTGTCGATTGAAACAGGGTCTGGGAAGGTTAACCGAGTTTTATATTGATGAAAATGGGATGATACGTACCGTAATTGAGTGGGTAGCTCGATGTTTCCCTTGTGGGTGACTGGATGTCTGGTGGAGAGACTGGCGTGGCAACATTCTCTTCTGGTTCGGGCGTATAGCAAGTCATATCAGATGGGGTTTCTGCAGAGTATGATTAGCAATCTATTATCTTTATCAACAGAGAAATAGGATGATAAACATACTCGGCTCAGGACTTTGATCCTCAGCATCTCGATCTCGTTGCCGATCCCCCTTCTGATCCCAGGTTTCACCGTAGCGGCGAAGGAAGCGTGCAATGCGTTTAGGGTCGACATTTTGGCCATTTACCCGGAAAGCAGTCTCCTTTCCTCGGGCGGCACGCTTCTGCTGTTTGCGAATCATCAAGTGGACTTCTTTAGCCTTGATGTTTTTGCGAACATGCCATGCGGCAAGACGGTCTTTGTACTGTTTTTCTCTGCCAGCGAGGTGGGGAATGTTAGGGCGCTCTGGTTGTTAATGGAAGATGGGGTGGGCAAGGGGAATATGCAACAATAGGAAGTGGAGTATAAGAAATAGATCCATGGGCATTTGGATATAATCCAAACACAAAGTATCATATCATATGAAGATATCATATGACATTTGACAATGGGACATGGATCTATAAAGTTAGGGGGACAGGATCCGGAAAGGAAGGGAAGAAGCAAAAAGACAAAAATCAAAATCAAGGAAATCGGGAGCTATACGAGGCATAGAACTTGTAATCCCGTTCCATAATGCGCTTGACATCTCGCAACTTGAGCTGGTCGTTGCGGTAGAGTTGCTCGATGATTTCGCGATACTCGTGCCAGTCGTCGGATCGGCGGGGCCGGAAAACGGTCGATGGTTGACCGACGGGCGGTGATTGAGGGGAGAGGGTCATGGACGATGGTGGAGGGTACGGGTCCATGACTAACTGACCCTCTGAATTATTGAAGCGTTAGAAAGAAGGTAGGAATGTTTACAAGAGATAATGATAATGGTAGGTCGGAATTGGGGGGAAGAGGCGAAAATGGGGGTTTGCTGCTGATGATTGAAGGCGGAGATGTTAAGCGGACGAGAATGATGATGAGAGGAAGATCTTCAAGTTCCAACCACTTGGAGAATAATCAGTCCAGCAAGAGTTGGTAATATCCAAATCCGGGACGAGAATAGACTAGAAGGAGTAGGAGTCTAGCTGGAGGTTGAGGTCGATAGTCGAAAGGCAAAATGTGACGAGTGCCGGAAGAGAAATGATAGAAGAGCAAGAAAATAAGGAATTAGAAATAAGGAATCAGGAATAAGAAATAAGGAAATAAGGGAAATAGGCAATAATAATCCAGAGGCAATAATAATAATATAAAGGCTTCCGGGAAAACCAATGCCAAAATGCACAGTGCAGAGAAGAATGCGATCACCAGGCAACTTTGGACAAAAAGACCTTAAAAGACCCAAAAGAGAACAGAGACTCCTCCCTAAAAAAGACATGAAAAAGACCTCCAAATAGATCCCTCCCCCCGACCATAGAAAACGCCTCCCCTAAGGTCTAAAGGGCCCTGTAATCCCCCTCCCTAAAAAAAAGAAATAATTAGGATTAGGAATTATTTTTTTAACTATAATTATCAATATTGTATGTAGACTCCGTACTATCTCCCCGATGATCAATGATCTTGAAAAAAGCCCCCCCCCCCCCGAGCTTGACAAAGCCCAGAACCCACATAACTTGGCAACTGTACTATTTATTATCACTGTAACAGCCGCAGAAACTAACTTGACTAGCGACCATCATCTCATCTCATCCTCTCTCTTAGACTCTTACTCTTTTCTGCTTAGACCCCTTAGCCTCAGATCAGGGCCGGGGCCAAGGAATCTCTCGACTACTCTTTACGGCGAGCTGCGGCGCGCGGACGCACGACCCCCTGCTTCCCCGACCAAATCAGCGCCGCCCGGCATGGGCCCAGGTGTGGCTCCATCCTGCTGCAGCACTTGTCAGTGTCATGATCGCCAACGGTGACGGGGGCCCTGTCTGTTGCTGCCCATCATAAATCATGGTTATAAGATTTGAAGATGGGGCACGGAAGAAGATTTCCGTCGGGTTGAACTTGTAGAAAGGTTTGATAGTCTCATAGAAGTTAATGACTATTACGGGCAGAGGATATGATCAAGAAACAAGTGACAAGGTATAAAGTGTGGGCCGGGATTTCGGGGGCCTTGAAACTTTCTGAGATCGCGCGATGGTACAGAAGTCCCATTCTTACTAAGTACGAAAAGTATAGTCAGTAGTCTGTAAGGACGCTGGATGCCAAGTATACTGTACAAAGTATACTATGTACTAAGTTCACTCCATACACTATGGAGTCAGTGGGATTGAACTTGTAACGCCGGACATAGGGAGTTATACCAAGTACGACCGACGGGCTGACTCCGAAGAGTCCACTACGGCGTACTAAGGAGAACCCGCGACGAGGTAAATAATTAGTTGGCTAACTTATCAGCGGCTGATCAAAAGCACCTCATCATCATCAGAGATTAGAGGCCCAGAGCCTGGAGAAGGAAGGAGGCAACTCAATCGACGAAACAGCGGGCCCCATAGTTACGGGGCTCTCTGTATGGGGGCCAAAAAAGGACCACGATGGACCTTGTTCTTCCTCCTCATGCTTATAGATAAATATCCATCCTATGGGCACCACGGCGGCATGGCCACTATTTACTAACAGTAGTATGGGACCCAGCATCAGCATGGACCAGCATGGGGCTGGACAACGTCGAGGACTGGCACTAAAACACTTTCAGACTCGATGACAGGACATTTTGGCGAGTGGAGCTGAACATGGCGTACTTTTGACCGGAGCTACTGTACAGCCTAACCGAACTATTATTACATGCAGTGCACTGGCCGCAAATTGGATGCATTTTCCGCTGCCTTTCCCCTCCATTTGAGTATTTTCCTCATTTTCTTTTTTCCAAGTACTCTGAACGAATGAGCTGCCTGCAGGTCGTGGTCGTCAGCAACATGACAGTAAGTGTACATACTTGGGACAGCCCTCGGCTCAGTCCGACCGACCATCTCCTGACGGGTGGAGGGGGGATGTTTGATCACGTTATACTCGATCGGACAATCTCCCTTCTTCGATGGACGATGACATACCATAATCTGCTACATCCTAGATATGCGTGCCATACTCGGAGTTATAGCAAACAGGAGGTATAACCAGGAAATCATAAATCAAGGACCTTTACGGAGTACCCCATCTCCCACCCATGCAAAGGATCCATGGCTCCCCCATCCCGTGCTAATCGGGAGCGGCCCGAAACTTCCCTGACAGCTCTTTGTCTTTTCGTCTTTTTGTTCGACTTCCCCAACACTAATTGATCCCGATGCTGTGGTTCTTTTGCAGCCACCTGAGAAGTCCCTCCCGAAAGAGAGGGCCGCAGAGAGAGGGAGAGAGGAAGTCTTAGTGAAGGGAATCCATACAAAGTACCAGTACTCCTTAGTGACCCCATACATAATTTTAACGATCCTCCTTCCGGGGTGGTCCCTGTAAAGAATCCCTGGGTTGGTTTTAGTTATGTTTTATGTTTGCTTTTTTGATATTCTAGAGCCTACAGTGCAGAGTGCTGTATGTATGACCTCCTCGCTAAGAGTGAAGCTTTCGATGACTCGCCCTCGTGTGTTCTGTACAGTAGACGCAAGGGTGGGACAGCCGTTGGAACATGCCTCGCCGTTGAGAGACAAGTGTCATCCCCAGAAACGGGTGAAAAGATAAAAAAGTGGAAAGAAAAAAAAAGAAATTAGTTTCTCTGTAGGGTAAAAATTTGCAACGACAGTATGTTATTCTATTTTGCCTCTCAATTAATCGAATGATTGACTCGAATATGTACGATCCTCGCGTGGGCAACGTATACTACGTAGATCGGTCATCCTTATGATCATTGAGTCGCCACAACATCCATTCTTCCTCTCCCGAGTCCCTACTGCTATCTACCCCCGATAGAAATCCACGTAAAGAATTGAACGAATAAATCAAGGGGGGCGCAGAAGATGCCCAGACAGAAAAGGATTCAATCCATTCAGGCAGGCGGGGAATCCCCACGCGCGCATTCTTGCGCTTTGGTCTCTTCCTCGAGTGTCGCGTCCTCACTGGGGGGCTTGCTGAGCCGGCCGAAACTCAGGCCTCTGGTCCTTCGTAGGGTCAGGTGCGTCTTACGAGAGAAATAATTCCCATCATTACGGATAGACTGGAGCCTGTGAACAAGAAAAAAAATAATCCTATACGAAGTGGTAAAGTGGTGACCGGTCGTGAAAAGGGGAGAGGAAAGGAAAAAAGTTCAAAGTTCAACGTTGGGGTATGGATGGACTATCAAGTAGTTAAGAATGAATGAGTTAGTACAGTACCTTCATCCAGGAACTCTTATGTACATATGTACTCCCGTCTGGTACCTCATGGGTAGCGGCGGGAACAGAGATACATGGTGATCGCGTGTGGAGTGTGGATATTGGCATTGTTGGCCCCATCCCCCTGGTCTGGTCCCGGCCGACAAAAGTACGGCGACTCGGCGATACATACTGTAGTTGATAGTCGAGCGCCTGGAAGCATGGACTCCAGACTCTATCCACTGATCCATACCAACGAGCTGATGATTGGCAAAGATGGAGACATGGAGCCCGGACACTAACTACGGGGCCCACATCAAGCTGGGAGCAAAGGGAAAGAGAGACGAACAACGGCCCTGGCCCCGTTGGCAATGGGCTAGAACTGACTCCATACTTCTCCCGTACAATCGAACGCGCGGAGGCCGGAAATGGAATGAAATGCGATCAGTGTGTCAGGTGGCAAGGCATCGAGGGCTGCATGGATCGACGCGGTCGGGGATGACTACCCTAGTCGCCGATAGATGAAAGAGTCGACGGGGCGAAAAAAAAAAAAGGTGCAACAAGAGAGTCAAAAAGGTACTGGGCATCGCTCGTACATTTGCACACTACTGTGCCTTGTACGGAGTACCTCTTGCGCCTAGGCCTGGTGGTCGGTGCTCAGTACGAAGTACTCAATACTTAGTGCTCAGTGCTCAGTGGCCCAGCCTGTGGCGAGAATGAGGCACAAGTACAGGGGGAGGGGAGTGGAACAATCGGGCACCCGTCCCTACTGCGTGCATGCTCCGGGGACTAAGACTCGAACAGGTATCGATCTGAGGGTTCGTTGCTAAAATGCGGGGCCGCGCGAGTAGCGGTCCTCCCGAGGGTGGCTTGATCCTTTTTGGTCCTTTATCGGGGGTTGATCGTGCTTTTGTGTTCCAGCTTGGCAGCTACATGGGAAAGGTGATGATATGTACTGGGATGTGATCACTGATGAGGTGGACGAGTGGGAACAAGACACGGGCGCGCGCCCACGAAACCGAATCCACACAATGTGGATAGCGTAAACGGGAAGCAGGGGGGAGGGGGAACAGACAAAGAGGCTACCCGCTGGCGCGTGGGACCCTCACTCCTCCACATCCTACAACATCGTTCAGACGCCGACCGAAACCGCCGGAGAAATCTGCCACAGCCATGATGATAGGCCCACAGACCATCGTTCACCGGCTCGGATCGCATGCAGGTACTAGGATGTAGCGCGCAGACTGGATTAATTTATTAAAGGGAAAGAGAAGAAATCGTGGCAATGGCAGGCGCAATAACGCCGCTGCAGGAAGCGTCTCGGAAGTGGAGTCTTCGTCCTCCCGAGGAAGGCCAGATGCTCAGGCCAGATATGAATGGCAACGGCTTCCATGAGCCACGAGCAGGTGTGCTGCATCCAACCGGCAGATGACAGGAGGGGGTGGAAGATTGACAGTTATACTTCGTCGATCGAAGGTCAGATCAAGGACCAATAGGGCTTGGGTGGTGGATGAGATGCATGTCGTACTTGGGCAATAGCCACATAGTTCATCATCTCAAAAGTACCACGAAATGGGACTCCTCCCGAAATAGGCCATCGCAGAGACTGAGTCGTTTCGGACTATCTCGGGGGCTCAGCCTCTCAACTCTCAGCTCAAGTTGCTCAAATATTAGAACGAAAGGGGGCAAGAGGCAAAATGGAAGGGGGTTGGCTTGAATAGGACGACGATGCATGCAATTCTCACTGCATGACCCCCCTTGATTGAATTAGGGTCGCAGCCAGCCAGCATCTTCTTTCATGTTCGAGGCTTGGCGGGACTGGAAGACGTCTGCCGAGTCTGCTCCGCAGCTGCCACAGCCGCAGCGGCAACGGCCGCCGAATTACTAGAGCCTGCACTCGCAACGTTGCTAGCGTGTGCGAGCAGAAACTTGCAGCAGGTGAGGGTGTATTTGCAAGCCCGAGTCCACGTCTCGTCGTTTTGGTTAAATCCGAGCTTGATACTGGCATCGCCAATACGGTCCTTCTTGATCTCGTAGGGCAACCTCAAGCCAGGTGCAGTGGCGCCGCTGGTCTGGCCGCGACGGGTCGATGCTATTGGCACAGGAGTTGTAGCAACAAACTGACCCAGCTGGCGCAGGCAGTCTAAGAACGCCACCATCCCGTTATCAAATCGACGATGTAGCCAGGGCAGATTCAGTGGGAGGTCACCGGACGAGAATAGATCCAGTGGAGTGACTTTGGGGGCGCCACGCTCATTCACAGCCGTTCCGGACGGTTGTGGCGGGTACTCAACCTTGTCAATCCGTGAGGTGGAACCCAGTGGTCGAAGGCGATATCCTTGAAACTGAAACCCCAGCCTTTCTGCAATGGTAGCCAGGAGTAAACAGGTTTGCCCCCATGCGGCGTTGATCTCGGGCCACTCAACCGAGGGATTAGCCAACCGACCCAGCCGCAGCCCATTGATAGTACCAAAATATCCATCATGACCGATGCAAAACGCGTCATTGTAGACGTTCGTCCGCTGTAGTCGCTCCAACTGCTGCGAGTCGTGGTCGTAGCGCATGTTCAATGCATCCCGCTCGGTTTGAAACTCTCCCAGCGTCAGGGAAAAGCCGTTTCGCGCACGCCAGAACGTCTCCTCGTCTGCATCCAACTTCTGGGACTGCTCTTCCAAAGAGCCAATCTCTTCATCTAATTTGGCTTTCTCTCGCTCCAAAGCTTCGATTTCCGCCAACATTGTTTCCTCGGCTTTCAAACTTTCCTGGAGCGACTTCTCAGCCGTTTCCAACTCTTCTGTACTCGGAACCGCTGCATTCAAACTTCGAAGAAACGAGATATATGCGTCGCGCTCCTTCGTCGAACCTGCTAGACGTTTTTGCAACCCTTCAACCAGCAGATCCGTGCATTCCACGCAAATAGGATGGTCGATATCCGAACGTGAAGAGACAATCTCAAACAAGCGGCTGGTCTTGTCGACCTGGCTTGCAAATGCTCCGTCGCCTTCATTCCGGTCTGAACCCTGAGTTGTCTTTCCCTTGGGCCGAGCTGGCAGAGCATTTTCCATAGGCGGAGTCACAAACTGGGACTCTGTGAGCATCACGAAGGACATATTGCCGCTATCAGCTCGTGGAATTCCAGGCGGATGTGGCTGGTCGCCCGACCGTGGAGCAGGGATAGATCTCCTGTAAATTGGTCCCGTAGCATTTTGAGACGCCCGATCGTAGTGTTTCCGACGGTCTGCAGGGTAGGAAGCTCGTGGTGATGATGCAGTGCCATGGTCGGAGAGTGTCTTGCCCGTAGAGTCTGGACCAAGAGCTTGATTAGCGATCATCATGTGACTGGGCGCGAATAGGCACAACTTACTGACGAGTAGCTCAAAAGCAGCCGGGTTGAGCGACTCCAATGAGCCATCCAACTTGAGCGGCGTTCGACACTTCTGACAATACATGGCGGGTTGAGGTCGCGATCCGTTCGACCTCTCGCGGATGCGGTGTGGGGGTAAAGGTGAGGTTGAGGGGGGAAGCTCCGGGAGGCACGTCATGCCGTTTGTTTTTCAACTTTTTGTCTGGTTCACCGCGGCGCGTGGCACATGCCGGTTGTCCTGATTTTCTTATTTCTCTCCCCGCGCATTCATTTGTCTATGAGTCGACTACACGCGAGAGTCTCCAGGCTTCCATTGTATAGCTCATACGATGCTGCGCTCCTACTCGATTCCTTAGCCTCTCCCGCCGCGCTGAACCAGTTGACAGCGAATTCCGAGCCGTGCCTGAGCTAAGCAACACAAGCATAGACGCGAACATGGACGATCATGACCCCTTGAATGACACGATAGACCGTCCTACGAAGCGACCGCGCCTTTACTTCACCCCGGACTTGCCAGGAGAGGCCGAAGAAGTGCTAGAGCAGTGGGATCTACAAGCAGCGCGCGCCCAGAATGACTTGCGCTTGAAATCGATCTTCGAGGGAATCTTCGCAAAATACGGCAATGATTTTTCAGAAGTGGGCGATGAGATTGACTTGGAAACTGGGGAGATTGTGGTCAATAATGGTCACTTGCAGGGCATGCACGAGGAGACCGATATTGGGAACAAAGAAAAACCCTGGGAAACAGACCCCTTTGGCTCAGACGACGAGGCGCATGCTGAAGACGAGGATCTAGTCGAGTCCCACGATGTTGCTTCAGGGTGTAGCCCCCGAAACGAGCCATTGGACTTTGGCACGGACGGCGATGCAAGTGCTGCCCTTTGTGACTCTGTGCTGGCGTCCTCAGGACCTGGACCTGGGTCTGGAATTCCAGCATCCAGTCCGTCGGGGCTGAAAGAAAAACCTTCATCAGCACTGCACCACATCGAGAAGGACCCCGGCCCAAGAGACCCTCTCTGGCAAGCCCCTGACCTCCCACCGCTATTCGCGACGCCCAAGGTCGATAAGCGACACACCATCGTAACACCTCAGCTCCCAAACATCCCCCGACAACCCTCCCCACCAGGCTCCGGGTCACTATGGACAGTTCCGCGAAGACGTCTACCACGATCCAGTCAGGATGGGAAAGCCATAGCGACCCAAACCCCGAGCAAACGCCGGCCTCGGGCGAAGCGAAAGCACCAGTCAAGCCCCGTGGCGCGCGACTGGTCTTTTGCCAATGTTGCTGACAGTGACGAATCGGACGACCCGCTTCAGGAAGAGTGGCCATCGTCACCTTTACCTTTTCCACGCCAGATCAAAACCTCGAGCAAACGAGCTTTCGACAGTCATATTAAGCCAGTCGACGAAAATACTCACGCAGAATTATTAATTACTAGTCGGGGTGATACCAGCCATCAATCACCTCCCCAAGCGGATCCGTCTGTGCACGGCCAATCGGGTACCCAGCCTGACTGGGATGATCAGGGCAACCACTCGGAACAAAGCCATATATCGAGCGCTGTGGCCGTCGAATATAATAATTCACAAAGCGATTTACCTTCACCGGTATCGCCTCACTCCCAAGCCGCCGCTCCCTCGCCATTAAAATACTCGCCGACTAAGGCCAGTGCTAAATTCTCGCTTGACGAAATCAAGCTGATAGTCCGCATGCGATATGCACAAGGAAGAACTTGGAAAGAAGTTCTGGATGCCCTACCGGGTCACACATTGTCACAGATCTATCAGTGGAATCAGGTTCACTGGAGTGATCGCCGTGCGTGTCCACCCGAACTTTCAGCTCCCTGGTCACAGGCTGAGCTGAAGACCCTGGACTCATTGGCAGATCAATCAGGGCTCACTTGGGTTGAGATCATGACCCAGCTATCGGAACGCTCCCAGGCAGAGGTCGAGTGTGAACTACTCCGCCGTTGGGTAGGGAATGAAATTTGGAAGGGTGAGCAACGCGCTGTAGTGGCGACTACTGCTCCTGATCCCGAATCTTCTGTATCTGTACAATATGAGACGGAGAATAAGGTAATCATGCTTGATTCAGGTGACGAAGAGGAGAGCGGGTCTGAGACCTCCACGGCGGCCGCTGAAGAGTCTATGTTTGAGGAATCTACAACCGTGGAAGAGTATGATGTTGATCTACCTTCTCCACGCGTGCACCGCCAACCTGAATTCGAGGATCTAATGGACAGTGAAGATGATCATAATGGGAATGGAGATGACGAGGTCATGCTCGTCAGTGGGGCGTCTTCACCTTCCAAGCTGTCTGCGATTCATCTGGAAAGCCCAGTGCCGAGTCGTACAGGTCGTTACGACTCGGCAACCCCCAAGAAGGCACCAGTCAAATTCCGTATTTTGTTATGAATGGTGTATACAGAGCACTGGCTGCTCCCTCGCTGTTTGGCTTGAACAACTCTTGAAACATCATTCCCTCTGTACTATCATACATACATTAGACAACATCTATTGAAAGTCCTCATCACGGGCATTAAGCACATCTTCCAACTTTGTATCAACAGCTCCCCCAACGTCCCCGGCTTTGGCCCAGAACCGTGATAAGTGCCGCGATCCAGAGTCAGACAAGACTGTCACGATGCGATGGCCTGGACCAAGCTTCTGCGCCGTCTTTACCGCAGCGAAACCTATCAAAGTGAGTGTGTTAGCAGCCTGATCGCCAACTAAGAAGGTTTGAGAACTCACAATTGACCGCGCTGCTACTCCCAATAAAGATACCATCCTTCTCGACCAGCCATCGCGCCATAGCCAGTGCTTGAGCATCTGTCACACGCACCGCATCATCGACCAGCTCCTTCCCAGCCTCAAAGTTCGCAGTGACACGGTTGATACCAATACCCTCAACAATAGTATCGACCTGCGGCCGTCGGCGTGTCCCCTCCCGCTCCTTCAAGTCAAACATAACACCATACCGCACACGGTTATACAATCCACTTCCTTGCGGATCCGCAAGTACAATGGTGATATTAGGTAGAAGAGGCTTGAGATACCGCGCCACACCAGAGATAGTGCCGCCAGTGCCTGCACCGGCCACAAAAGCATCAATCTTCCCATTACACTGAGAAAAGATTTCCGGGCCAGTCCCGGCGTAGTGAGCGCGCCAATTAGCCTCGTTCTCAAATTGATCCGCGAAAAACCCGCGGCCACGGACCTTGAGTTCGTGGGTCTCAAGGTGGCCGTTTTCTTCGGACGTAAATGGGACAGTGGTTGATTCTGTGTGCGCTTGGGCGAGTGCCCGTGCGCGATTGACGAAGTTTTCTTTTTCGACGATGGGTGCTGGAGGCACACGGTCGACGATGGCGCCTAGCTTTAGGAGCAGGTTTGATTTTTCAATGGCCTGGTCTGAAGGCATGCAGCTGATTGACGGATTTAGTATTGATTGATGCAATGGTTTCGCGACACATACATATGGGCCAAGAACCCTTTAGCACGAGCAAGAGTTGCAAGTGAAATCCCTGTTGATCCTGATGTGCCCTCGTAGATCGTGTCCCCGGAGTATGGTGTGAGGATGCCTTTCTTCTCAGCCTAGCGCCAGGGCATTAGTATAAATGAACCCGATGACGTGAATCCAATTCAGGGTTCAACTCACAATTTCAATCATACTAAGTGCTACACGGTCCTTGGAGCTCTGGCCGGCTCCATTAAGGAACTGGACATACAATCGTCAGGTATATTTCACCGCGCCACGCAATATTCAGTTTACATACTTCAGCTTTGCCCAAGATCTCACACCCCGTTGCGTCCGATAAAGACTTGATGCGGAACAACGGTGTATTCCCAATACATCCTTGGATGCCCTCGACAATTGCCGGGGGCCCAGACCGCGCGACAAGTGCATCAGATGCCGGCTCGGAATCTACCGATTTCTCGGGATGTCCTCGCGGATATAGCACTTCTCTGCACACGAGTGCTAGAGAGACTCCGGCAATGAATGCCGTACCGATATAGACCGCAGATTGGTCCGGCATAGTGTGTGAACTTTCCCGTTTGCCCTCTATTCGAAAGTGAGTGAAATGAGCTTCTTGAAAGTCGGGATGAGGCGCTCGGACCACTTCCTTGACTCGATGGCGAGTTTGAACGGCCTCAAAATGAGAGCGTGGCGGTAAAGTGAGACTTGTTCTAAAACCGGAATTGAGGATCAATGCATTGAAATGGACATAAATTAAAGACTCAGTAGAGGACTTGGGCAGAAACCTGCTCGCGATGAATAAGGTGCAATTAGTTTGCCTCAGGCACGTGAACTGTTGCCTGAGGCCGCAAGAAAGCTCCTTGCTGACCCCATATTCTCCGATCTTCGTGCTTCCAACCTTTCACTTCAAGCATCATGGACTCGCCCGTCCTCAACCAGCTGTTCCGACAGCTCTTCCGGCATCCGGCCTGTCAGTCACTGCAACGGCCAACATCCTCAATCTCACGCCAAACGCGCACATTTCTCACCCGGCGCACACCCACGAAGCGCAAATCCCAGGGCGATGGCATGCTCTGGTCGAAGCGGGGAGACTACCCCAAGAACATTGACGAGGAGTACTGGTCGTATCCGACAGTGACAGCGAAAGACTTGCGGAATCGGCGCGAGCGCCCACGGCAGGTGAAGATGTTGACGCGCGAGTTTATCGACGGTAAGTCGGGAAGATCAAGCTCGTTCGGGAGACCTGGAAACAGCTTCTAATTCTCTGTTTGTAGACAGTCTATATAACCCGCATTACGGTTACTTCTCGAAACATGCGACCATCTTCAGTCCTGGTGAGCCATTCGACTTTAACAGCATCGAGGACGGACCTGCCTTCCACCGGCTCCTAGGCCAGCGATACACAGAGTTTGAGGACCTACTCGACGAGAAGAAGCCCGATATCGCGCGGCAACTGTGGCATACACCGACCGAATTGTTCAGACCGTATTATGGCGAGACGATTGCCCGGTATTTGGTCTCAAATTACAAACTCACGCTGTATCCATACCACGACCTGATAATCTACGAGATGGGCGCTGGAAACGGAACAATGATGTTGAACATTTTGGATTTCATCCGCGATACAGATTACGAGGTGTATCAGCGCACCAAGTACAAGATCATCGAAATTTCGCCTGCACTCGCAGATTTGCAGACGAAAAACTTGCTGGACACGCTCAATTCTAAGGGCCACCGGGACCGCGTGGAGATTATCAACCGGTCTATCTTTGATTGGGACACATATGTGCATTCTCCCTGTTTCTTCCTTGCTCTTGAGGTGTTTGATAATTTCGGCCACGACACCGTTCGCTTCAACACCCGTACCGAGCTCCCCCAGCAAGGTGGAGTGCTGATCGATGCGGATGGCGAGTTCCATGAATACTTCAACACGCAACTCGACCCTGTTGCTGCTCGCTTTTTGCGCGTGCGCCAGGCTGCATCCCGGCGCCCATTCCCCAGCCCTCTTGGTCCTTGGTACCTTCGTGGCATCCGCTCCGCACCACCTTTCCGCAAGGAGTTCTCCCTGCCGGAGTATATCCCCACGAGGCTGATGCAGTTCTTCGACGTGTTGAATCAGTACTTCCCAGCACATCGTCTCGTGGCTAGTGATTTCAGTTCCTTGCCTGACGCGGTACCGGGGTTGAATGCGCCCGTCGTGCAGACTCGATACCAGCGGCGCACCGTCCCGGTGACAACTCCATTTGTAAGTGTCGTTGGCTCCGCTGGTTTGTTTTCCGGGCTAAGCTAATGTTCTTTCTACAGGTTCACCAAGGTTACTTCGATATCTTCTTCCCCACTGACTTCAATGTCATTGAGGACGTGTATCGCGCAGTCACTGGTAAATTGACTCAGGTCATGAGCCACGAGGACTTTGTGGACCGCTGGGCTTATGTTGAGGATACGGAGACGCGAAATGGGGAGAACCCGTTATTGACTTGGTACAAGAATGCTAGCATGTTGATGACGGTGTAAATATGTACAATAGTTGGTCTAAACAGAATCATCATCCACCTGCTGGCACCTCCCACTCTATTACTGTTTAGTCGTCGCTAGAAGCGAGTCTCGCGCAAGCTTCATCTATTAATACACAGTACCGAATTCCACCCAGTCGGACTGCCATTGGGATGTCTGGCAAAGTCGTCCATCCTCACGCTCGCGCCACTCGTCAGATCCGACGTTGGTCTTGCCGTATAGGACGCTGTTGGGGTCATACTTGGCCTTGATTTTGCGAAGGGTATCGTAGTTGGCGCCGTAGAAGACCTTCTTGAAGTCTGGCTGGCGGAAGTCGCCCTCGTTCATGTAGGCACCGGAGTTTGGAGACAAAGCCTCCAACTTAGGAATGAAATCCTCAGTCATCTGGCGCTGTCTCTCCAGCATGAGAGCGGGATCATCCCAAGCCCAGGGGGTGGTCAGGGTGGTATCAATCAGGGCGTCACGCCAGGCAGGCAGAACCGCGTTGTAAACGTCTCCAGCGACCTTCTTGGAAACGTTCAAGCCGACACCAATGAAGGTACCGCCAGCCTCGGTGATCTCACGGTAAGCCTGGACCAAAGCGGTGTTGTTGTTCTGGACGACGGATCTGGGAACGAGCCAACCTCCATACTGCGCCGTGCCGACCTCGATGGTGCCTTGCATAGACTGGAATTGGTCATAGTAGGTCTCGTATTGGGAAGCAGACATGGTGTAGTTAATGTTGAGCTTGTCAAGATGGTCGGTGAAAGGCTTGACAAGAGCAACCAGTTTATCAACTGGAATATTGGGAGCCGTGATTGGGGAGATCATGAAGAAGGTGTTGGTGTAGTACCAAATCGCCATAGCCCCGGCATCAACGATGGAGGGCAGGTTGGTGTGGAAGACCTCGATAGTCTCGTAGAAGGTGTCCAGAGAGATATTGGTGGTGGTGTAGGTTAGATTAAGACCAGACACCGGGGTTGCAGGGTGAGCCTTGGATGTCATAGAGTAGACGACACCATAGGTGCCACCACCACCACCGCTGAGAGCCCAGAAGAGGTCCGAGTACTTGTTGTCACGAGTGGCAGTGATGATGTTTCCCTTACCATCGACAACGTCCCACTGGAGCACCTGGTCAGCTCCAAGACCATAGCGCGAAGCGAGCGCAGAGTGGCCACCACCCTGAGAGTATCCGCCAGCAAGACCGACGGTCGGGCACTCGCCACCAACAACCTGGTAGCCACTGGCATCTGCCAGCTCATATGCTTCAAAGCCCTGGACACCAGCACCCATAGTGATGGCCTTGCCTGTATAGTGCTTGTCCTTGTAATCGTGAATCTCAAGGTCCTTGAGATTGTGGGTCCAGATAGCCAAAGCACCAGCGCCAGTAGACCGGCCATTGTAGTCATGACCGGTGTTTCTAACAACCAGACGGATGTTGTACTTGGTCGCAAACTTGATTGCGGTCGAGATTTGTTCTGGGCAGCTCACATTGACGCTGTACCGAACGTAGTTGCCCAAGGTGCAGGGCTTAGAAACGTCATGGTACGGGTCACAGGTACCATTGGCAAAGAAGGGTGCCATGACTGATGACGAGGAATCATAACTAGAAGGATGTATCAGTTCCAAACCATCAGGAGTTCGAATATGTGAGCCACTAAACATACTGTTCCTCCGGAAGCAACCATCCTGCCTTCAATGTCGCACAAGTATCGGCGTTATAATTAGGCGCATGGCAAGGAGCTCCCAAGGGGACAGTCTTAATCAACCGCCCATCAATAGACTGATTGAACTGGTTCCATGCTGCCTGAGAGGGCCAGCACGCGTCACCAGGAAAGCAGCGACAAGCTGGTGAAGCCGCAGCTTGAGACGAAGCCGCCAACAGCGAAGCTGCAAGGAACTTCCAGAAAGCCATTGTGTTTGAATAAGGCAGCTTGTACCAGCATGGCGGGTTTGAAGTTCCCTGGCTTTTTATTCCGACGGGGCGGTCGAAATCAGGGGGTTTTGTCGACTTCGCTTAGAAGAGATTCATTTCCTCTGGATGATGGTCTCTGAGGCTTTGTAACTACTGCACGCTCTAAACTAGAGCATTTGCAACATTACCAAGTTATTCACTTCTCAGTCACAGATTGTGGTTGGGAGTGGATATGAAGGATTTTGGTTAAAGTCAACTCCCCGCCTCACGGAAGGCTTACCCTGGTAGGCAACAGGCTGCGCACTACTGTGGGGATCAATTAACCTTGTTTGATCCACTGAGAGTTTCTCTGGGAAATGAATCCACAAACTCAATCTATTGTGAACCACCAGCTCGTTGATCCCTGTCAAGGCTGCGTCCTACTGGCTAAGCGATGTTGGCTTTGGAAACTCTGCCCGTCGATCGCAAATGAGATCCCGATTCAGACTCTCGAGAACACTGTACAGATCGTGGAAGATCTGAACAGTAAGCAGCTACCGTTGCTACACTATTTGCTGGGAGCATGATGAGAACGCGCAAACTTGGTGCATAACAGATATATTTCCTTTCGAGACTCGGGACTAATTAAATCGAGATGTGCAGCATGCGATCTGACTTGGTGGAGTCAGACCAGGATCAGTCTGGGTCACTGGGGAGGTACCAGGTACCACTGGACATAGAATAGATAGCCTTCGAGATAATCTGTAAATCATCCACCAATCATGCTCTGAGTCCATCTACCGGGACTATGACCCGCTCGCGTGTGGGGCACATCATCCGCTTATTTTAACACGGGCACCGGGGCAATCCTGTTCCTAGATTGTCCTAGCGTACGCTGACGCGCTACATAAATTGGCTTCTGCACCTTTACTTCGCCTAATGCCAAAATAGATTAGCGATTAACTTAACCGCTCTCAGCACGGAGTTATTGGTTCTAGCCGAGGGGGCGCCAATTCTCGCCGCAGGAACGTGGCTGAATTCTGGCCAAAGTCATGACTTGAACAGAAAATATGGTCCCGGCATTATTGCACTTGATGCGTGCTATTACAGATCAACATCAAGATCCAATTGTAGAAGGAAAAATGAAAAATTGACCGTGAACCCTGGAAAGAGCGGAGAATTGTAATGAGAGAGTCGACAATGGAACAAGTACAACTCTATTGTTGCCAGGATCAGGGTTCTTTTGGAACAAAGTTTTAATCCCTGCAAGAATTCTTCTCAACTCTGCAAAATAACTCAAGGCCACGAACTTGGCCCGCCTCCTGAAATTGAAGGATCGGTGAGTAATAAGAACCACACTCCTCATGTTCAACAAGGGTCTCCTTTCTGTTTTTCAAAGGGAAGCCGTGAGTAGTGTGATGTCTACACTACAATGGGCTGGGTATACAATCTCCATCGGGAAGATCCTAACAGTGAGATCCCTCGAGTGATCACGATCTGCTTGGTCTTTTCCATCAGCGCCCTCCTAGCCATCTGTTTGCGCTTCTATGTGCGATTTTCGACACGCAGAACCCCATGGGTGGATGATTATGCAGCATTGGCTAGTTCAATATTTGCGCTAGCCTACGCAGCAATTGCGGTGGTTCGTGAGTAGATACATGCGATGAACAGTATGTCCATAAGGGCTCTCACTGACGATTTGGTACAGAAACAAGATGGGGACAAGGTCTTAGTGCTGCTTATTTTCCAGAGGAGAATGTCATTCCTTTCAGCAAGGTGAGTCTTGAAATATCGTCAGACTGGTCAAGATGAAGCTAACGTAAACTCACCTGCAGATCCAATACTTTGGTGGTCCAGTCTACTGTCTCGCACTTCTCGGGTTCAAGGTCGCTCTGTTGACTTCGTACCTGCGTATTGCAGGAGTGGTCAAACTGTATCGAAAAGTCATCCTTGCTGCCATCGTGGTGTGCGTCATCAATCAACTGGTCTTCGCCGTCATCATCTCAGTTTCATGCATACCAGTGAGCTTATTTCTTCTTCTCGACTTGCGAGATTCTAACCAGAGTTAGGTTGCAAGACAGTGGGACACCTCAATTGAAGGGAAATGTATCGACACAATCCCATTCTATTTCTCCCTCGCAGGCACAAGTATCGGGCTGGACCTAATCATTATCGCCCTGCCGCTGCCTGTGCTTTGGAAACTACAACTTCGCTTGAAGCAGAAGATAATCCTCGCCGCTCTCTTCGCACTCGGATTTTTCGTGACTATCATCCAAATCATCCGTATCTTCACAGTCAAGGACTTGAAAACGTACACTGATAGCAAGAATATCGTGATCTGGTCTTGTGTTGAAGTCAGCCTTGGAGTTAGGAAATACTGTTCTTGAATGAAGGTCAAACAATGTGAAACTAACCTGCCTACTAGGTCATCGTCTCTTGCATCCCAACCTACGGTCCCCTATTCAAAGCCTTCGCATCCACTGTCAACTCATACCGCGGTAACAACACGTCACGATCCTATCAACTTGGCTCGGTACACCCGACTTCCAAGTCAGCCACTTCTCGCAGAAGGAGCAATTTCGAACTTATATCCGAGTCAGAGGGAGCGCAAATAACAGTGACTACGGCAGTGACTGTGTCAGCCGGGGAACGGACAAATTACAGGAAGCAGTCACACGGCGGTGATAGCGAGGAACATATTCTGTTCCCCGGGAAGATTTAATAGATGCCGACGGAAAGGTTCACGACCAGACTGCGATTTTTTAATCGGTTCTTTATTTAAGGTAACTACTCATAATTATGATCAAGATGAAAAGTGTATGGTTTTTTTGGAAGTCTATGCAAGTCGGCCAAGAAGAATACTCCAATAATAAAACCCAAAAAACCCAAGCGAAGGACTTGAACAGACAAAGTGTCACGAACCCATCTCAAGCCCTATGTTGTAGTAGCTTCATTGAATCAAATGAAAAGGCGATTGATAGTACTAGCCAAGCGCTGCAACCCAGCTAGCTGAGCTGTGTCGCTTGCACTGGTGAATTTCTGGATTGCGATCGCAAGATTTGCGGTAAAACCCGTTGATGGGGGAACAATGTCCTGAGCAACAGAGTTACCACCAATCGCAATAGTCTTCCAAGAAACCTTCAGAATGAGCGCACACTTTCTGATGGCCCGATCCTCTTGCCGAAGTTTCCAAGACAGGAACTCGCCTTCGGTCGAATCCCCGGCATCTCGTTTATTCGCTTCAGCCTTCACAAACGGGACCAATCCGCGCACGACAGCTCGAACCAACCTTGCAGATTCGAAGTGACCAAGCATTACCCCTTCAGCTACAGAAAGAAGTTCTTGAAGCATAACCTCGCTTTCATCTGTGAGTTGAGAAGCGACTTTGTTGAGCAACGTGATTCGAGCCATTTGCCCAATTTCGTCACCCCCATGTCGCTTGAGCCAGCGAACCGATTCGAGACAATTTTCCTCCACTGCGCTCTCAAAAGGAGATTTTCCATCGAACCAGTGCTCATTGTTCTTTGGAAGCTCGGAGTTTTTATGAAGATAGTCCAAAAAATCTCGACCGTTGAAGATCGCAGCATGATATGCGTCCTCGAAGGCACAAAGATCTAGACCGACCCCCTTTAATTTCTCCGCCATGTAAGGAGATGCGAACCTACAGAGAGAGGACCTGTATTTAGACAGTTCGTAAGTGAAAGCGTTCAGCTCTGAAGTCTCCGAAATGCCATTCCTGACAGCCTCCGGGCAATTGATCTTGGTCAACCGAGGCTCCAGAAATTCCATGAGCTGCGCAATAAATTGCACTTTCCTCCCATGGATGAAAATGTTGATTGGCCGGTCAATAGTTGGAGACAAGTAGTTTGAGAAAGACCAGAGCAAAGGCAATGTCTCAGGCTGCTTTGTGAAGAAATATTTCAGCATGCTCAAGGACCCAGCTTGGATAGCGAGAGAGACAAAATTCCAACCATTTTCATTACACCCAGAGCATTCCAACCCATGAATTCGCTTTGAAACCCATTCAAAACAGGCGGGACAATCATCGCAAATAATTTCCGTCAGAAGGTTGGACTTTGTGTCGACATCTTCCTTAATGGAAAGAGGCTCGATGTATGGACGGCGTGAATTGTCCAGAGGCATAGGGCCCCAGATGGTATCTCTCCATGGATGCCATTTTACTTCTCCCAATTTCCCAGAGAGATATCTTAACGATTTCCTAGTTCGCAGATAATCGCTCATCTGCGCTGAGATTGATTTGTTGGTGGCACACGAGAGTTTCCGGATGGTACAGATTGCACTGTATGTTAAAGGCCCGTCGCCTATCATGATCTCATCAAGAATCATCCACATTACGTCCATAGGGAGTGTACCCAAGGCTCCTGGAAAACGCAGTGGATTGAAACCACTAGAAGACTTGCCATCATATGGATCAAGTGCAAGTGAATCAAGCGATCTGGAAATACCTTCCAACTTTGCTTTAGAGGGGTCATAGGGGGATTCTGGAGGTGCCATGATAATGTTGAAGGGCTCAATTCTAGGCAGTGGAAAGGCTAGTAGCTGGGATTACTTATTGTTCGAGACGGCTGGTAAGGTTGGCAGTTGATAGGAGTGGGTGAGACCGACGTGTCCGCAAGTTGCGACAGTGCTTGATGAGGCAAGATACAGATTGGGAGAGTCCTGTAGATATATATAATGAATTTGCCAATGCTGTTCAGGGTTATAGAAAGATTGTCTTTGTTAAGAATACCACTGTGTGCAAGCTAACTCAAGGCATGTTCTGCATTGTCTTTCGGGGCCAAAAATCGAAGGCTGCATTGTTAAAGAACCCAAGAGAAACATCATTTCCAAATCTAGAAACTTAAAGTAGGGAAAAGAAATAGAACAAAGAACCAAAAAAGAAAACCATCCGTTCAGGTTTCAAGAGAAATTATCTTTAGTGATAGTTTGCGCTTATTGTTAACCTGAAAGTCAAGGAACAATCATCCCAGTCAGCTTGGTACAGCTCTGATGGAGCCAACGGAACAAAGAGCGCGCACAAAGACTTGGACAGTCTGGGGTAAAATACAGGCTAGGCTTTGGCCTTTTCCCCCAAGGACTGTCTAATCAATGTGTGTGACTAGCTCGCCTAAAGTCACAAAAATACCAATGGTGTTGTCACAGCATGGAGTCAAGGTGAGGCTGGGGTGTGGTCCCTAAACGTAGAAAAACTGTCAGCAATAATCAACAAGTGCACGCACAACTTGCCTCTCTATGAGCTAGACTGATGCTGGAGTGCGTCAAGGATAGGGCGAAGATAAGGCTTACCGAACAGGGGGCGTGGTAGGGTCGAGGGTCGAAGACGAAAGAGGTCAGGGGAGGAGAAGATGAGAAGAGGTTTGCGAGAGACCGAGAGAGGAGGTAGGAGGAGAGAAGAGCGAGGCGGTTTACACTTTTCCTCATTCAGTACTGTTGCCTCCCAGGAACTTTTCTGTCACTCGCTGCGCCTTTCTACATTGACGTGGATCTGGGAGACTTCGGATGGACAGGCAAACAATGTAGATAGCTGGACGTTTATCTACGCGGTATTTCCCACTCCACAATTTTCTCTCCCGTTTCTTTTCTCGGTGTCGCTTCTTTGTGGCATAGCACCGACATTCCCATGTCGCTTGATCAGCGCTGCTCTTTTGACCGTCAAGTTCCAATAATCTCTTGATATATCATTTGAGAGTTATCCTATATCCGGATCACTCACAATCATGGCTAGTATCGACGCCCACTTCGTACCCGTCATACCGTGGCCTGTATAGAACTCTAAGAGTCTTGTGAAGAGTAAGTAACGACTAGGATACACGACAAAGCTAAGGTTGCTCGAATAAGCCGCATTTGCTGAACCTTTTGGCAAGGTGAAGGGTAAGCTTGATGCTGCTGACTATGGTGCAAGTTGTAAGTGGGAGGGTCACCAGAAATTGAATTCATGTCAAAGCTGTTCTTGATCTCGTGCAAGGCTCCCTTATGCATATAGATTCGGATGCCAGTTCGGCGTGAAACAGGTATCGCAGTCAATATTGAAAATCCTTTCATTTTTTTATCGAGAAAGTTTCCCCAGCAAATTTTTGCAGAAGAATCATATATAGGTCTTTGATTCAACCCATTCTCTAAAATGGCCGTGACTGGCGCTGTCTTTACTGTACTAAAGATCCCGGGCTATGAGCCCGTAATGCGGAAGCTTACCTCGGTAAGTCGAGCATGCATATTTCTTTCCGAGGAAAGAAGTCTTGGCAGAGCTAACGAAACCGTTTCGTAATTACAGTACTGGTAACTAGATTCCCTAACCAGGGGCAGTCCAGAAACTAGAGAAACAGACCAACCAAATATGCTTCGATCACTCTTATCTGAAAGATCTTTCTAAACCTCTTTCGAATCACCTTGTTTGGTCTTTCTTCTAACTCTTGGTTGGTAAGATGATTTTGAAAGTTTGTCGGGGTTTCATGTAACAATTGAACAGGCTTGAAACAAGAGCTAAGAAACGGCAATAGTAGGATTGATGACTTTAACTATACATTTCCATAACGCAGAGTTGCAATCAATGAAATCAAATGAAGGCAATCCCGGTGAAGGCCCGAGAGCTATCTGCATAGAGCAATGATTTCGACTCGTCAGTCAGGTCGCAGCGATAGATACTGCCACCGAGGTCTGTCACATAGACCGAGTTGTTTTCGACATCTAGTTTCAGTCCAATCGTTTCGTTGAAGTTGCGGGCCAAAACTTCAGGCTTCTGAGACACCGAGCAACGTCCAAACTTGTCAAGTCGCACACGATTCAGGGAATTGCCCAAAGGAATTTCACCACGGTCGGTCCAGTACAACCAGCAGTTCGACTCGTCAACTTCAAGATCAATGGGCTCTGGAAGCCCACTCTGGACACACTCGATATCAGACCGCGATGAAGGAAGCTGGCCCTCTGGGGTTGAGATATTGGCACAAAATATGCGACCTTGCCCGCCTTTGGACGGTCCTTTTTGTGTCCAGTAGAACTTGCCCAGTTCTGGAGCAACAGCAATACCGACGCACCAATTTCTAGCATCCTGGGCGTTCTCAGAGTTCTGCGGGTTTCCAGCCTGCACGATCTTTTCCAGTTCAGTACCATCAATGTTACAACGGTAAACACAAAGGCCTTCACGATCGGAGAAGTAGAGCTTGTTCGAGGTAGTGTCGAGGGCCAGCTGCTTTGGTGTGTTGATTGTACCCGTCGGTACGACCGTGTCGACAACCTTGGTCTCAGGGTCGTAGGAAAGTACACTCCCATCTTCTTTACCGGGGATTCCCATATTGGTCCAAAACAGCCGACCGGTCTGGGGGTCAACGGCTAGGCCATCAGGCAAAGACTGATTCTCGACGAGAGTGTGCTGGAATTTTCCATTTGCAGAGAATTCGACAATAGAGCCTGACTTCATCGATGGTGTGGCGGAAGACAAGCCAATGTCCAACACGACAAGTCGACGATCTTTAGAAAGGCATTTTTCCTCAGATGGTAGGGGCGGGTAGAGTCCACCTAGTGGACTTTTTGTGCCCAGTTTCCCGTCGTTGATATAGCGTGCTTGAAGGTAGTCAACAGTCTTCTCCGGGGAAAGGCCGCGCTCCTCAACATAATGAGACTCGATAAAAGCGACCGTATCGAGACCAACATCTAACAAGAAATATCAGCAAACCATTAATGTATCTCATCGACACAGTAAAACTCACCATCCATGGTCCTGCAGGGGGTTGCACCTCCTTTGACGAACATTTCTGTCCACAAAGAGTCGATCTCTTCAGGGGCCGAGACACCTTCCGCCAAAATAGTCAAGGTCTCTCGCTTGACAGCCGCCCAAAGCCGGTTGAAGATGAATCCGGTAGACTGCTTCCTGGCGACGTAAGGCAAAGTTGCCGCTTCCTTACAGCGATCAGTCATGAAGGAGAAAATTTTCTCCTCGGTATGACCATCAGTCATGAGCTCTACAACCATGTTTTGTGGAGGCATATAGTAGTGCATGTTCAAGACCCGTCTCTTGCCAACCTCTGAAACTTTCTCGAGCATCTCAGAAGACTTGTAAGAGGACGAATTCGAAGCCAAGATGCAGTCTGCTGGTGCCAGTGTGTCAAGTTCCCCGAAGGTATCAATCTTCAGTTGAATCTTCTCGGGCACAGCCTCAATCACAAGCCAGCAATTGGACACAGCTTCCTCAAGGCTCTCAACCGCGTGCACGGCGCCGGCTTTCTTGCCGGTCTTCTGAGCATAGATGGAGACATTCTCCTTAATGTAGGCAATTCCATCCTCCCGTTGTTGCGGACTTGGATCCCGCAGCCGCACATCAAAGCCAGCAGAGGCCCAGATGCATCCTATATGATGTGGTCAGCGGTCTTTGTCCATTTACCAAGCTTTTGGTAGAATTACCAATCCGTCTTCCTAGAACACCAGCTCCAAGAATGGCCACAGGCCGGTTCCGGTAATCATTGGGGGGTGTCCACGAGGCTAACATCATGAAAGGTTGGGAATTGCTATAGAAGCAAGTTGAAGTTTGGAATAACAGAGAATAAGAAGGCAAAGATCTTGTTCTAATACTCAATAATGCATGAACAACTGACAAGACTACCAGGCGGATTCCCAAGTGATTAATATATCCATCGTGATGACATCGCTGTATGCTTGTTTCGAGATGGCCGGCAAGTACGCAATATCCTCCGAGTTATCCGCGGCTCGTCAATCAAGGAAGTGGGTGCTCTCGATTGCCTCGGAACGATATTAGGAGGAGAGAGTGCCCGATGCCGAGATAAAACGATGAGGTTTAAGCTTTCTTACCGTCCGATCCGTCCGATCCCGTTGTCGTCGGGTTGCCGATATCCTCGGCGTCGTACCGAACCTGGAGCTGATTTGGGATCCACAATGACGGCGTTTCTGACTTATCTCGGGATCAGAACCTCGATAATTCTGACATCAAAAATATTTGAATATCAAAGCATAATGTGTCATTTTTATCGTCAACTATTCTCGTTCATACCTGATCTCATCGTCAGCAAAATAACGCGATATACTGTAAGCTCGTTGTTTGCTAAGTGGTCTTGGGTTCTGCGCAAGAGAAACATTTGAGTAGTGCATCGTCAGAAATATGATTAATTAAAAATGAGCAAAACAAGATATAGGTTTATGAATCTGTGGGAAATGATTGATCTGCATATTATACAAGCAATAATTCTATAAAATCCAGCAAAGACAAAGAAAGCAAAAAGCGAGGACTAGAACTCTATGAGAGACCAATGCCCACAATCAAAAACAAAAGATCTGATCCGTCATCTTCGATACGGAACCAGGGGCTTGGAATCCCAGAGAGCATAATGCCTTTTTCGAGGCATTGATCATCCCAGGGGGACCACACAGCATGATCTTCGTGTCATCAGAAGGCGCCGGCAGTCTTTCCGCCATGACCTGTGATGTTACATAGCCTTTCCCATACTTCCATTTCTGTGGAGGTTGGTCCAGCATGTACCAAATCTTCAGGTTCTTGGGGTATCTGCGGGCAAACTTCTCTAGCTCCTCGCGCAAGAGGATATCTTCCTCCGTGCGGTTGGCGTAAACAAGACTGATCTCCGTGGTATCAGTTTCGTCTTCGCAGATGGCACGAATGAGCTGGTACATTGGGGTAATGCCGGTCCCACCAGCGATCATCCCAATACGTTGACAGAGCCCCTTTCGGTATTTCATGGCACCCTTTGGGCCTCGGAAGAGAACCTTGTCACCAACTTGCAGATTGGCAAGATACTGGCCTGTGAGCAGGCCATCCGGGTAGCACTTGATCACCAATTCCAGAACGCCAAGATCCAGGTTGTTCGAAGTCGGTGTATACGATCGAGAAACTGACTGGCCTTTGATGGTGGCTTTGATAGCCACATGCTGACCGATGGGAAGACCAATGACGTCCGTAGATTGAGGAAGTGCAAAGGTGAATCGGTATACGTTTGGTGCAAGTTGCATTTTCGTGATAAGCGGGAGCTCTTTGAAATCCTTAGGCTCGAGGAAACCTTTGATGAGGTGAGGATCGGTTTCAGCCAGTCTCTTGCTCTTGAGGTGTGATGGGTAGCGAGTGAAGCCAGACTCAATTTGAGTGAGTTTCATTAATTTAGACCCGGCAAAAGCAGCGATAGCTGTAGAGAGGCCCGCAGCAGTAAGGAAACCATTGGAGAAACCCCCTTTCCCAAGGCTCAGTTTCGGAATCGGAATCGTGTGCATCCAGTTGGGGAAATTCTTGGAGAACCAGGCAGCAAGCTTGCCAGGAGAAAGATGACCACGAGAATGGAGGAAGGCTAAGCATGTGAGGCCGCCCACCGAGAGAAGAGTTATGGTAAGCTTGCCGCTGGTGAGAGTCGATGGCTTTTCCGTGACCTGTTGTGGCTGTTGCTGGATGACTCGAACGGGGGTTGGTCTTTTGAATTCATGGACACCTTGGAGAGTGCCAATCAAATAAGTCTTCAAGATCTCATCGGCATCTTCAGAATGCCCGACATCCTCGTACGCGTCGGTCGCGTCTGTTCCAGCGACATCGCAGAGTACATCCGCTCCACCAGGATGATCCCGGACGTAATTGGTAACGTCATAAACTACGTTATAAACGTCAAAATAAAATCCAGCTTATCAGGTGGTCTTCACAAATTGGACTCACCTTTTCCGTGCACAGCGATCCATAGATCAGTCTTTTTCTTGTGCAATGCAACATCTGCTAAGGTATACTCCTTCAAGAGAGACATTCTGAGGGGCAAAGTTCTAATTTTTAGAGCAAAGCCAGGCAACCTGTTCTTTGTCTCAGGCAAATTAACGAAATTTCTCGAAGAATGAAAGAAATAACGAAGGTTGACCGATTTTAGACCGGCATCCGTGTTCTGCTATATAATACAATCCAAGACCGAGGTTATAAAACTTTGATATCTGTGCACTGCACTACTCTTGAAACAGCACCAAATCAAACTATCGATATGCATCCTGTTTCCAAATTTATCTCATGAGGCAATTTTTGCACGGGGATCATCTCCGTGGCCCGACATTCCTCGGGAAGCCGATGGCCGACTGCCGGTGACGTAGTTGTTCCCGAGATAGACACCGTTCCGAGGTAAGCCTTTCCTCGGTAAGGATGAATTAGGACGGGGTTGTGTGCTTTTCATTCCGTCATCAAGCAGGACTCTAAGAATAAAATTAAAGAAGTAAACCCATTCTAGAGTACTTAAGTTGTGGATTCTTCCTCCAGCGGGAAATCAACTTTCAGACAAAGATCGGGCCTTTTCTTTACGATGACTATACAGCAGTTCTACTTGTTGGGAGATGACCCTTCATCTTCAAGGCCCATCGAGGCCGACGCGACACTTGATATCGATGGCCTCAAGAGCCTTATCGCAGCTCATTTTGCCATTGTTGAACCAACTGGTAAATAAAATGTCCATCTTGTTCCTAACGTCAATTACTGACTATTGAATAGGGGTTGCCTTCCTCAGCCAAGACAAGGCCGTGACTGATATCGCTGATGTGATTTCAGCGACAGGGCCGATTGCAATTACAATTGATGGTCACGAAGTTCGTGATCCTCCTGGGCCTACCGGCTTGCCATGGGTTGGAAACTACTTTGAAGTTTACCCCGACCACCTCGGTAACCACCAACGCCTTTTCGAGCAGTTTGGACCTTTGATAAAGACAACAAACATGGGCCGAACTATTTATCAGACCAACAACCCAGAGCTTTCTGCCATTGTGTTTGCCGAGTCTGACTTCTTCACCAAGAAGATCAACGAAGCACACCCGCTCTACGCTTTGAAGACTCCGGCCGCTGGAGTTTTTCTTGGGGACACCGATACTCCCGAGTGGAAGGTCGCGCATAAGTTTCTTCCTCCTGCGCTTGGTCCAAAGGCAGTGCGTCACTATGCTCCAACAATGCAGAAGACAGTTGAGGATTCCTTCCGTGTCTTCGACGCTTTTGATCAGCAAGGCGAGGCCTGGAACGTCTACCAATACATGTTGAAGCTGGGCTCACAAGCTGTTGGAAAATTGACGCTTGGTCTAGATTTTGAACATTTCAATGAGCCTGACACTTCATTGCATGAAATGGTCCATCTTATCGCCGAAGTTCTTTCCTTGAACAAGAAAGTCACCTCCAAAGGTGATTGGTATGGCAGGATGCCATTCGGAGACCCTCAGAGACTTAAACGTGCAAGGGCACGAATTGAGCAGCTAGTGGAAGAATCGATCCAGCAGGCTCAAAAAGGCGGAGTTGAGGATCTTCCACTTCAGGATGCAGCTCTCAAAGCTTCTAACATGGTTGGTAAGTTTTTCGCATTGAGGGCTGTGACATATAGGTTTACTAACCTAGACAGATTATGCCATTCGTGCGACCGATAACAAGGGCGAGAAATTGCCAAAGTCAAGCTTGGTGTGGGCGCTCACTGTCGCAACTGGTGCTGGATTCACAACAACAAGCTCTCTTCTCTCGTGGCTTATATATGGGCTTGTTACCTACCCAGGCATGCAGGAAAGACTTCTGCAAGAGCTGGTCGATCACGGTTTTGAAGAGAATACTGAAATTACAGCCGATATGACGGATCAACTTGATTTCCTGGACAAGTATATCAAGGAGACTCAACGTCGACACAATCCTTCGTTCCAGCCTGGCCGAACCGCTAAGCTTGATTTGGTTCTGCCTGGGGGTTACAGATTGCCAAAAGATTCCGTTGTGATCCCGGCACTGCATCATATCCACAACAATCCGGCTCTTTGGGATAATCCGCAGAGATTTGACCCGGATAGATGGGATACAGACGCAGTGAAGTCCAGGCATAAGGCCGCGTATATCCCATTCGCGACGGGCCAAAGGATGTGTATTGGGTTCAACTTTGCGCTCCAGGAAATCAAGGTCTTCCTTCCAAAATTGATTTATCGATACAAGTTCACTCGCGAGGGAGATGGGCCTATCGAGTATGATCCTATGTTCCAGCTGATCCGACCAAACAATCTGTTCGTTCGCGCGGAGCGACGAGTTAAGTGGCCTCCAAGAACGGAAACAGCTTGAACTCAGGAGGCAGTATGACAGTTTGATCGTCAAGCTTTTTCAACAAGGTATGAACATTCTCAATCATAGCAGACTTGTGCGATTTCCATTATAGAGGTTCGGATTAATAGTGGATGTTATAGAATACATTTCAGTTTTCAACACTTGAAGTCTTTATTGAATAGTCAGACGGTGCTGAATCATTGTCACTCAAATTCTAAGGTTTTCACGAAATTTCACTCTTTCTACCAGTCCGATATCTGCTGTCTCAACTACCGAAGTCGAGTGGCTATCGTTTTGACTTTGCTTGGATTCTTATTCCTTTTATACGAGCATCACTTAGCTTCAAGATACTTAGAATTGCGAACAGACATCTCTGTGTATTCATAGAGCAAAGTAAGATCCAAATCAGAACCAAGTACAAGTTCAGAGCCGCCACATAACTTGCATAGGATCGTATAATGTGGAGCAGATCAGACGCGCTGTAAAGCTAAACGAAGAGGGGATGTCTTCAGCAGGATCTCGCGAAGTCAAAAATAGAAAGGAGTATGGGGGCAATTCCCAGTCACCTGTGAACATTGCAAGAGACTGGGACAACTTCAGGAATAGAAAAAACTTAAATTTTGAAGTCAGACGTCACAGTTGATTGCAAGCCTGCCAAAAATCAAATACAGAGGCATTATCCATCAGAGCAGCCATTAAATCATCCCCACCTAAATCTCCAAAGTCAGAATCCCCGAGCTGATCACCAGCAATTAAACTTTCAGGATTGTTGAGTGAATTCCTGGTAGGTCCCTCATTCCGAGGAATAGTGATAGATGTTGGTGAACAACTTGTATGCATCACGTGACCAGGATAATCCGGGAAGATCTGCTGTATAGCCTTGGTGAAAATTCCCCGATACACAGAAGCGACGGTATAAGTTTTCTGAAGTTCTTCCATGACCAGCATGCACACTTCAAGTTTATTTAGCCGAATGCGTTTGGCAAGGGAATCACCAAATTTGCATTGAAGTAGATGTGTTTGCATCGCTGGGACCAGCAGTGGGGGTCTGTAAGATTAAAATCCAATTTAGCTCATCTTTCCAGCTGCGAAACACGACACATAATACAGGCGTTACTCACGTCATGGGTCCTGCCAATCCAAGCAATTCATCTTGGACAAGCCTATCCAGAATCTCATTTGTTTGAGCGGCAGCGTGATCAGCCTTGAGTCTCATTCGGTGTTGCCAGTCTTCTTTCGCACCGGCATCACCTTCTGGAAACTCCATTCCCCAAGGCCGGTAAAAAGTGATCAACATCGCCCTGCAGTGTAATGTCTGTCAATGGGGCCATTAAAGCAGAACAACGCCAATGGGAACATACTGGTAGTGTAGGTGAACATGATTTGAGTAGAATTTCGAAATGCGCGTTAAACCACCTTCATACAGATCTGGGAGTCTGCATTGCAGAAGACGTCTCTCAAGCATTGCCACATCATCGAGTGTCCCCTTAGGTCGAGCGGCTTGGTAATTCATAACCAAAACATCGCCTAGCTGACGACTCATTTCGATGAGCATCACCCAGTACTCACTCAATCTTGGCATCTCACTTGGTAAATGATTAGCAAGACCAACTTCGCTCAAGCCATCGATGTCAAAAAGCATATCCCCGGTCAACGGCATAGGAACGTCAGAATCATTGAGATTGATCCGCAGAGGTCTGCCTAAGGTGAGACCAAGCCAGCGGTCACGGAAAAAACAGCACCACCAAAGGCGACGCCAAAGCGATCGCTGTCTGTCAGTAATATGCGGGTTGTATGCCGAGGTTCCTGGATCCCGATGGAGGCCCAGAATTTGACAGTGGCTTATCGCGGAGCCCGTCCAGTACCAAGGCTGTGCGTGTTCGTCAATTTCGGAGTGCCAAAATCCCATCATGAGCGAAGCTTGCAATAGCACGATTTTGTTGCGTTCGTTTCCGTTCTCGTACATACACTGCTCGAACATGAACAGATAATGATTAGTTGACAAATCTTGCACAGATGGGGCGGGGGAAATTTTTCTTGCCTTGGCTCGGGAGTACATCGCAAACTTCATTGCCCTTCTTGAAGTGAAGCCCTCCTGCTCACATATTTGTGCGGGAACAAACTGGAAATTTCGTCAGCCTTCGAAGGATGAGTAGCCGTCTTGGCGACATACATTGACAGCGACGAAAAATATACTCCATAGAAGCAAGATGTTGTACCTCTCAAGCTGCCCAGATTGATAGTGATGTAAAAGCACGTCCGCTTCTATCACCGGCAGTATTGGATGGACATTGAGAAGATATGCCTCGATCAAACTTTCACATGCATTGCTCCCCGGAAGTGTGTATACCCCTTTCCTGCGAAGAAATTCCTTGTTCTCTTCCGATAGACTTGTCCTGTGAAGAGGGATGAGAAAGTGTCTCGGTAACGACTGCTCGGTAGAGCAAATATCCAGCGCTGAAGTCGGCCCTGTCTGCCCTCCTGTTCAGATTATCAGTTAGTGCACTTGTTCCATTCTGCCATTCTTCTCTTTCTTACCGGCATAGAAGTGTATTTCTCCCATTTTCTCCGGTCTCCCCAACGCCGCGGAGGCTATTTCCAGTCCATTGCGCTCTTCGTCCTCGGGGTTATCAGGTAAGGAAGCTTCTTCGGCTCCTACAGATCGCGATCTGGGGAGCTCTGAACCCATCCGTGACGCAGCAGCACTCGTATGATGAGGGGAGGAGATCTCGGGTATAATATTTGATTCCTGTGCCCCGGAAATTCTTTGACTGGTTTGAGAAGCAACCGGCTGATTAATTTGTCTCGTTCTAAGGGGACGTCGTGAGTTTAGACAAATTCAGAATGGACCATCTAGGCCAAGAAGACTCTTACACTTTCCCATTCTTGGCGTTGACAACACACTGCGAGCCGTCCTGGACACACCCGATGCAGGGAACCCCAGTTACCGTGATGCTGCATCGAACTTTCCGCTGGCGACAGCCCTGACAAGCAACGGCAGATCTGTGGCGGCGTGTCCGGGGAGTTTGATTGGTCGGGGACATGATTCTAGTGGATTTCAAACTCCGGCTGTAGCTCCGAGTGTCAAAGGTTTTTTTGATCAGGCAACGAGTGCCCAGGATCCGGTAAGAGAAATGCTGATTTGAGGAGCTTGATGTCAAAGTGTGATCATCCGCGGTAAGATGCGGCCACGGACATTCCCCCACTTAGTTACCTCGGCAAAGGTATTGATGAATAAGCACCGTATAATTACCGTAAATACGGTAGTTAGTTGGGAGTTATTTCTTACGATAAGACATACAAATCAAGTTATGCTATGTTCTCATTGACGACATACAGTGAGCTAGAGGTCGCATTTAATATGATGTTCTGGGTGTGCAGCCCACGTGCTACATAGTTAGGTTATTTTACTTGTTGGTTATAGCGACGGATTGCCTATCTGACAACTTTAAGCTTCTCTTTTGACAGCTGCTGTGTAAAAATCCTTGACGTGTGACATTCCCATTCATTGAACATTCTAGCGACCTTTGAACACTCCAGACATCAATTCCTCAGATATGCGTTCATCCTATCTCCACTACCGCTACATCTTGAAGAGAACCCCCGCATACGCATACGAAGCCAACACTTTCGAATTGCCTCTACAGTTCAACTACCAGCTTCATAGCACTGACTCCCGCCTTGGACTTTTCCAATGCGGTTTGAATGTGCTCCAATCCTTTGCCGACAATAAATGGGGGTGGGAGGCACTGGAGCTTCCCAGATTGCAACGCAGGCGTAATATAATCCTTCCAAACAGGCGTCACAACATCGTTGACAGCGAATATCATACCAGCTCTAACATTTGCAGGTAGATCAGTAGTGGGTGGAGGTGGATGCACGCAAGCGAGATGGCCCCCATTCAGCTGCTCAAGTATTTTGATGTCATTGGCGTAAGTCTCGGGGGTAGATATGGCATCGAAGATACCAATGAGCTCGCTGCCGCTCTCTCGGACTGCCGCGATAACCTTCCCAACAAGCGAAGTATCTTTGTGATCGAAAACTCGATCTGCTCCGCATCGCTTGGAGAAGTCAAAATTGTGCGCACCAGAAATAGAAATAACGTGGATACCGGCGGCAGTGGCAACCTGGGTTGCCATCGAGCCGACAGAAGATGAGCCACCGTACACGATAAGTGTCTTGCCTGAGTACGGCACATCATGTAGCGAGGGGTACGGAATACCCAGAGCGGGTGTAGCAACACCAGGCATGGCGATGCCGGGCTCCTTGAGGGAAAGCGCGCAAACAGCCGCTTCCAGTGCGAAGGGAACGACGACACCATCCGTGAAGGAGATTTCCGCTGGGAGTATGGCCGCTTTGTCTGCAGGAATTACAGTATACAGAGCGAAAGCGCCATCTTGAGGGCGGCCACTAGTCAGATTGATGGCATGCCTGTTGAAAAGATGGAACTTTAGCTTGGGATAATTTGTTCTCAAAATTTCAATGCTCAAGCAACATACCCAATGACACGGTCTCCTCTCTTGAACCTTGCCACATTGTTTCCAACTTCATACACCTCACCGGCGATGTCGCAGCCGAATATGGCAGGCCATTGCTGTATAAAAACACCGGAGTCTTGCATATGGAAGTCAAGAGGGTTGATTGCGATGGCGGCATTCCTGATGACTAGTTCGCCTGGGCCAGCTGTGGGCAGCGGGGCATCTCCCAACTCTAGGGGAGAACCCGCTTTACGGAGCCATGCAGCTTGATTTTTGGGAACGGACATTTCGATAGAGACGATGGGTGAGGAGAGATTTGACTGAGCTGGAGTGTGACAAAAAGAACACGATACCGATCAATTGTTTGGTTGATGTTAAAGAAAGTAATACCAGTTGAGCGAAGCCTGCCGACTTATATATACTTTCGCATGTCAGAACACAGCTAAAGGTGAATGATAGTCACCAGTCAAGATAAGCAATTGATTTCAAATGATTGAAATCATTATTTCAAAGCAACTTGCTACTAAAAGGCTATTACACAACAATATATACAAACGTTAGAGTATGTCGGGATTATCTGAAGCCGAGATTAGACAGCCGTTGAGAACCACATATGCCGTTCCCACTTGGAACCACATACCGCGTTCTACGATTAAACGCGAGTTAGTTCCGTCCTCAATAACTCAGCCGTATCAGGGTTTCACCTTGTCTCCGTTATCTGTAATAAGAATTCTCTCCCCCGAATAGGTTTCACAAAACTAGAAGGCCGATGATGATCATAATACCGTTGGAACGGCAGCATGTGGCATTTCGGCCCCCACATTGTCTACACGTCCTCACGTTACCGTTCGCAACCTTCCAACGTCTAGCTTATCCCTAGCTTATCCTCGGCTCGTGCTAGCCACTATGCGACTGGGTCCACGCAATTTGCTCGAGTATAATGCAAGATACAGAGTGCTAATCTGCCGAGATTGTCACTACGCCATTCAGAAAAATGCGCTGGGAAGCCATTTGCTCCGCCACAAAATTTACCGTGAGGAAAGGCAACGCTTACTGTCCACCATTAACGACCTTGACATCGTTGAACCGGATGATCTTCCTCTGCCAAGTGCAGATACACCACCGATTACTGCTCTACCTGTGGTGCCTGGGCATTGCTGTATTGTTACTGGATGTGGATATCTCTGTGCCAGCTCTAAACGCATGAAACGCCACTTGAGTGACGCCCACGGAGTCAATGGATCGGATGATTTTTCCTCTCTTGCATGCTCAGTAAAGCTTCAGACATTCTTCCGTGGTACGAAGCTCAAGTATTTTGAGGTCTCGACGACAAGCAGCAATATAGAGACACGGCTTTCTGATGATGAGAGTGGGCACGATAGAGGGGGCTTTAGGCAGAATGCAGCGCCATCACCAGCACAGTCCTCGCCAAACCCCGGGCCGTACCCTGCGGTGGACCTAGAAACATTAACATATTTTCATCATTTCATCACTACGGCAAGTCTGTCACTTCCTGGAGCCGAGGATTCTTCGTCGCCGCCACAATACTGGCAGAAAGATATCGTCTCACTGGCTCTGCAACGACAGTGGCTAATGTGCGGATTACTGGCCATTTCTGCGTATCATTCAGCCGCATTTGAAGATGAGACAAAGGCACGAAATACACACTGTGAGCGGGCGACAAAGCTCTATTCCGAATTTTCGGCCGGGTTTGAGATAACCAAGGATGATACAAATATAAAGTCCACCGAGTCGTTCCAGAAAGCGAAAAAGGCGGGATTAAAAATCAGGAGCTTCGTGAACTGCGCACAATGGACTGTCAATGCATTCACTATGAGCCAAGAGAATACCTTGACTTCTACAACCTTTCCTCAGCTAGAGTCCTTACTACGAAATATTCGAAGTTGTGTGTCTCCTGAATCGGCAACGTCTTCATACATGTATCAGGACAGTGATCATGGACCTCAGGGAGCCTTGAGCAATAATCGCTCTTTAGAAAACGACAATGCGCGGGCTATGCTACTCAACCATATTCATATGCTACCATATCGCATGGCAGAGATATTTGGGAAACCAGATGATGGGCAAGATGCTGCAGCCATTCTACTTGCCATAAAAGCCTTGTCTGAATGCTGTATTAGCAGTTTTGAATCTGATGATTTTTCCGGGGCGTGGCAATGTATGGCCGGGTGGCTGATCAAGACAACGGATCATTTCAACCGTATGTTGTCTCTTCAAAGCCCAGCCGCGCTTGTTGTGCTAGCCTATTGGGCTATCATTTTAGTTGAACGGGCGGAAAATTGTGGGATTTGGTTTATACATGGCCTTTCCAGGGCAATATTGTTGCAGATTCGAGACCATTTCTCTACAGATGAAGCGGTATGGGCTTTGGTTCAAGAAGTGACAAACTAAGCTAGAAACCCCGACGCTTGGAGAAGAATTCTCAATAGACGATAGACCCTTTGTTCAGGGTTTGCGTAGTAATAGTATTACTGGCTTCTAGAACATGGTTTCGTCTTTTAAATCATGGTCGTCTTTTCATGATAGGTATGCCTAGTTACGGTATAGAAAGGTCAAGCATAAGGGGCTTCAGGCAACCCAACAAGTTCTACTTAATCAACAAAAGAGCAAAGAAAAAAACATACAACAGCCAAAAGTATGGCCGACCTCACCAAGCGCCCATCATTCGGAGGTCGAGGTCAGCTAACAGATCGAACTCGTATACTTCGTATAACTCAGCGGAGTAATATCACTCACTGTACTGTTTGCGTTTACAAGAAAAGGAGAAGAACATGAGGCCACCGCACAACGAGCTAGAGCGTGAAGGGCTAAAACGCGACTTAAATTCAGCCTGAGTAGGCCACATGCTATTTATCACGTAACATGCCAAAAGGAAAGAAATCCGTGTATTCCACGAAGGCAATGAAGCCGAGGAAAGAAGAAGTAAGAAGTGAGAACCAATTATCTGGTAGACGTGTTGATATACAAATCCGATCAGCACGCATCTTTCTCATCAATGCGATCTGGTTAGTCCGGCTTTGTCCTCCAAGGTTGTCAAATATCTCAAGTTCTCTTTCGCAACACATAAGAAGCTTGGAGAAGAGAAGGAGCGCAACAAGCAGACTCACAATAGAGGTAGCACGTTGGGCTGTGGCAGAACCGGAATATGCGCGAAATGGCTATATGGCAAGGCCAAAGGTATTATAGGGGGAAGTGGATCTTATCCGTTACATAGAGCACGGGAGAACCTGGCAAATGAGTTCGATAAAGCAGTAGAAGCACATATGATAGTAGCTTATCATAAGGTGTACATAATATCTTCCGTACATAGAGCGGAATATATACTGACTTTAGTTTTTTACCTTCGGGCCGCCTCTCGTCAAAAACGGTACCCGGCACTGGCCACACCCTTGCAGTTGCCATAGGAAAGCTGGTCTTGAAGACAGCGCCCGAATTTGGTAGACCTCGTAGCACGCACACTTTGCGACCGCGCGAAAAAAAAAAAAAAAAAGTACGCAGGCTTGTACAACCAGTAAATAATTTGATAGGGCATTGATTGGGGCCCGGAGAAAGCTTGGACTGAGTGGGCATGTCATGAGAGATCCAGGCGGAGAAGAGCGGATTACTATCCCTTTATTATACTTGACGGAAGAACGTGGTTTGAGATACCGTGGCGCGTTTAATGTTCAACGTCGATAAATGGGGCTTCTGACCTAGCCGCGGCAAATCCCAGAAGATAGCCAGAGGGCCTACGACGCCAGTATCTGGTCCTCCTGAATCGGAATACGGAAGGAATCTTTATTATCATATACGTATTCCCATACTGGCTCATATGCGCGTCATCCGCGCCTAAATTATTTGCCCATACCGTTTACGTCGATTCATAAATATCGCCTTGGTGAATGTTCGAGTGCCCTTTTCCAATTGTCACTCCAAAACTATGACCAACCCTACCCGTAGGTACCTGACATGGATAGCCCATTGCAATGCGGTCGCCTTGTTCTAGCTTGACGTGGTCATCCACTTCCGTCCGCTCCCATTGATGGCCAGAGACCCCTGAGGTAATGGCTTCCCTCACTGCCTGCTGCAAATGAGTGTCGTTATTGGCACAAGAAGCGTCTTTCAGGAGATCTATGACCGCCTCCGACTGGCCGCTTTGAACACTGTCAACCTCTATACGGCACAAATCCTGTAACGATCTTGCAACAGACAGTGGGAGCAACTTCTCTAGATGACCTAGATTTTCAGTAATGTCATCTAGGAGCCTATCGAAGTGCTTCTTCTCGTAAATTGCCCACTTTGCTTTCCTGACGAATGACACCCCTTGGACACGATTTGAAACAATGGCATTTGCTTGCGAGTTCAACGTCCAAGTCGGTGCGGCCATATCGTTAGGGCCGATGGTAGCCAAATCTACCCGACCCGTCGAGGATAACTGGACTCTAATGTTCTGCGACTTCTTCTCCACTTCGAGAATATCGTCTTGAATTGCTGAGAGAAGTCGCACTGCGGTGGCAGCAACGTCAATTTCGACCTCCAGGGTTCGGTATCTTCCCGTTCGTGGGTCAGGCAACGCGCCAGTTGAGACTCCCCATCTTGTAATTTGCAATTTCAACGCTGCAAGTCGAGCCTGAGACTTATCGAAATCCTTGCCGAAATGGCGGCCAAGCTCCACGTACTCGACGCATTCGACCACAGATACGAAAATCCCCGAGAGCGCAGTTGCAAGAGATACAGCGCCGAGAGTCGCTCCAACGGGCTCAACCATTGCCGAGGGCGTGCGAACCAATGCCTAAAGATGGTCGAGGGAGGAAACAGAAAAGGAGAAGCAGAAGAGGAGAAGCAGAAAAAGGTAAGCTGAGAGGGGAAGCTCAGAGCTTTCATTTCCGCATCTCCAGGGGTCCAGAAAAAAGGGCGGGATCTCATCCGCAGGCCGCGGGGTATTTACTCCGTACAACATGTACTTTGGACCCCTGTAGATGCGAGGCAAGCCCCATCCAATCATATCAAATCTTCCACGGGCCCCCAAAAATACTACAGCATCTACAGGGGGGTCCCGAAACAAAAATTCATCGCGCAGTTCATCGGGCGGTAAGGTGTATCTCTGCCACCTTTCTCCCGTCTACTTGATATAGATAGTGATGACCACATTATGAAATATGGGTCATTCTCGTAGTGAGCATAAGAGCATCATGTGCTGTCATGTGCTGTATAACCTATCAAAAAAAGGGGCAGAAAGCCTCGGGCTTGTGAGGGGGGGATTTTTTTTTCTTGGGACCCCAGGGCTGTACGCAGCGCGTTTCACGTTTCATTGGAGTAATGACTTCTTTACACATAGCGCGGGAAATATTTTCTTAAAACTGGATGGCTGCTGCCACATTCCCGTCTGTCGAGATGAGGAGGTTATTTGAGTGACCAGGATTGGACAACCAAGCCCCACCTTTTGTATGGCAATTCTACGTACATATCGCCGGGTAATACGATCGTATATGGGTACCTCGGAGAACTGTATCAGGAACACTCGGCTACACCGCCTGCGGACAACTCAACATGTCCACAGCATCAAAGTGTATCGAATAGTTTCTTCTTCAATCAATTGATTCAGTATTACATGTCCAATTGTTTCCAATTCACCTATTCATCTAAATGCACCAATAGCTGATTCTGATACCGATCCAGTCAGCACTTACGCTAGATCGCCCCAGGATTCTGATTAGAGATGGAGCCCAACATCGAGCCCAACAGCATCCTCAGCGTACGGGGACACCAATATCCTGCTACCACTAATTTTGGCAACCTTCACCAAGGAGATCATTATGAAACTGTGAATCATATTTGTAAGTAATATTTCAATTTCGGCAACAGCCCTGTGCTCTCCACGAGATATCGAGTTCACCTAAATGATTGATTAAAATCTCCACCCCGCAATCATGTTTCTCATCGCTTCAAACTGCTGACCCACATTGTGCCAGACAACACCCAGAATCCTCCAGGTTTGTATAATCGGAAATTCTCTTTTCATCCATGGGTGGGCTTTGATGATATCTACAAAACAATAACTGGCGGATGTATTAAACCAGAACCAGGAGCTGACCTTTGTCTGTAAGATCCTGGACTACGGTTTTTCAGAACATCCGTTTACCAAGGACACAAAAACATTAACCGTGCACGGGTTCCTGGCACGTGTCAATGGTTTCTGGATGATCCGACCTTTCAAAAATGGAGGAACAGCAGCCAGGTCGATCTTTTGTGGCTGTCCGCATACCCCGGTTGTGGCAAATCTGTGCTCGCGAAAACGCTGATCGACGAAAGGCTTGTTGACGATGGATCAGCTACCGTCTGCTACTTTTTCTTCAAAGATAACCAAGAGCAAGATCATGCAGCAGCGGCAATCTGCGCTGTTCTGCATCAGTTGTTTTGCGCCCGAGAGGACCTGTTCCAGAAGCACGCCAAAAAAGTGGTGGAGCAGCACGGGGATTACCTGAAAGCTGATTTTGATGCTTTGTGGCAGCTTCTTCTTTCGGTGGTCTCGGATCCTTCAGCCGGCAAAGTCATTTGTATTCTTGATGCACTTGACGAATGCCGAGAGCCAGACCGTGGTCGACTTATACAAGGATTAGAGCTATTCTATAGTAAGTCTCAAGAAAGACAGGCTATAGCATGCTACACGAAGTTCCTTGTCACAAGTCGTCCATACGTCGATATTGAAAGAAGATTTGCTAAACTGGTTACTCGATTCGGAAATATCCGCCTCAGAGGAGAGAAAAATTTGAGAGCTATCAGCATCGAAATCAATATAGTAATGAGCACTGAAGTCGATGAGATTGCAAGGGACAACAACCTTTCAGAGGAGATTCGAGAAGCGCTAAAACGTCGTTTCTCTGAAATTGAGAAACACAACTTACCTTTGGCTAGAATTGACCTTAAAATTGGTCAGAAACAACCTAGGCCAGACGAAAAAGAAATTGCTGAAGCAAATCAATGACCTACCTCAGGATGTCAATACTGCCTATGAAAGGATCCTTGAACGCTGCAATGGAAGAAATAAGCAAGCAGGGAGACGGCTCCTGAAGATCATTGTCGCGGCTCGACGGCCATTGAGATTGTCCGAGATCGATGTCATGTTGGAGATTGACACTGATTCAAAATATTGTTCTGACCTAGATCTTGAGGGCCCAAGCAAAAGAGAAGTTTGGATATGTGATGCCTGCGGCTTATTCGTCAAAATATTGGACTCTCGTGTGTATCTCATTCACCAGACGGCGCGAGATTTTCTTCTTCGACGGGAAGGGGAAATGGTCACACAAGGAAAATGGCAACACTCTATTGATTTGCAGGATGCTCATTTGACTCTCGCCAAGTTATGCATAGTCTATCTTCTTCTCGATGATTTCCGGAGAGACTATCGATCTCGGCGCGAGGACTCAAAGGCGGAGCATGGTTTTTTGCTTTACTCTGCAAACTATTGGGTTTCCCACACTCAACAGGCTGGCCTCATTGAGCTTGATTGGGTCGAAAAGATTGCCAAGCTTTGTGAGATCAATGATGGTTCAGTTTCGTTTTGGCTCGGATATCATTCTGATAGACTGTCCTGGGAGAAGGGCATACACGAACAACAGCCGCCTTTATTCTGGGCAGCGCAATGGGGTTTGGTACAGATCGTGGCATTTTTCCTGGACAATCATGAAATGAAAATTACTGAGGACGTTATCAAGACTGCGGTTAGCAATCACGAAAATGGGAAAGCCATTTTGGAACTTCTGCTCGGACAAAAGGGGGCGGGGTTTCAGATCACAGACGGAGTCCTTCAAGCAGCCGCAGCTAACCGGGGAGATGCATCGCATATGATGAAGAGCCTCCTTGCACGAGAATCGCCTAACAAAATTACGAAGGAAGTGATTCGAACTGCAATAAGGAACGCACGGTGTGGCCAGGAGGTCTTGAAGATCCTTCTTGGCTATCCAGAGGCGAATACTGAGATCACCGATAAGATCATCATGGCAGTCGCATATAATCAGGAAAATGGCATACATATGCTCGAGATGTTACTTGATAGATCGAGTATCAAGATCACTGATGACGGACTCAAGGCGGCTGCGTCAAGTGGGCATGCCGGGAAAATTATGATGAAGCTTCTGCTTGAGAAGCGAAGCCCCGATATACAATTGATCCATGAGCTATTCAAGATAGCCATGGAAAACTCTGGAAGTGGAGATGGTGTGATAAAAGTTCTTCTTGACCATCGAGGAGCGGATATCTTTGTCACCTCCGAAATGATTCAAGCCATCGTGACAAATGAGCAAAACGGAGCAGCTACGCTCAAGGTTCTCCTTGACGAAAGAGGAGCCAGTGTCAAAATTACCGACGAAGTGGTGAATATGGCATTGGAAAATCGATGTAATGGAGTTCTCCTGATCAAGCTTCTGCTCAAGTACAGAGGACCAGGTATTATCAAGGATGATATGATTCATGCTATCGCTGCAAGTGACCGAAGCGAAGTCGCTATGATCAACCTGCTTCTTGAACAGAGGCAGGACTTCAAGATCACTGACGACTTGATCTCAGAGGCCTTGAGAAATGAGCGATGCGGAGGCGCTGTTGTGAAGGTCCTCCTTGCGAAAAGAGGAGCACCTCTCCATATCGACGATCAGATAATTCAAGCGGTCTCCGCAAATGAGCTAGCTCGGTGTGATCTGATCGACATTCTGCTCCAGCAAGGAGACGTGATAATCAAGTGTACTGAGAACATTATAAGAATGGCCGTGGAAGATGAAGCCATTCAATATGCAGTGGAGAGACTACTTTTCGAAAGTGGAACAGAATTGAGCTTCAGGGTAACTGATGAAATGCTGGAAATGGCCATGCCAATTCCAACTTTGCAAGCAGAGCTGCGGGTGGCTCGAATGGAGCAGGACATGAAACGATACGTTGAATCTCGTGGCGGTTTGCCTGCGGTGGGTATGGGAAGTATGAGAATTCCACGTGCTGGTCAACCTGCACACCCTGCACACCCTGAAAATCCTCGATATTTTGAACTGTTTGGCGGTTTTGCCGGGTTTGGAGCTTTCGAGGATTCTGAACGGTTTGAATGGTTTGAAGGTTCTGACGGTTCTGAAGGTTTCGAGGATTTCGAGGATTCTGAAGATGCTGAAGAAACCTGAGTCTGTTTATGTCTAAATTACATGGATAGCCAAGTTGTTTAGCTTATCGCATTGACCATTCCTATACTACTATACAAACAAGTTGAATTTGACAGCTAGCAGCATTAAGGGTTGCAGTCCAGGGCCATAACAACACCCTTAAAAGAAAAAGACATGACTCTATGACACTGTCCCAAAACCGTTTCTAACCGTTTCTACTATGAACAGGAATATTCCTGAATCTCATCCAAAGTACCGTGAAGCTTAACACTACAACATATCAGTGCCTTTCAGCGGCCCCCAACACCGCTTTGCTTAGTGGGTGCACCAAAACCGCCGTTCTCAACCGGAATTGCCAAATTCGGAAACCCATCATCCCCCACACCTTTTGGAGCTACCCACGTCATCCACCATGCCGAGATATCGATAACCTTTGAGTCTTTTGTTATTGAAGCTTTTGAAGCCTGTCAAACTGCGGGAAGAAGAAATCTCTCAAAATTGCGCGGAATACGTCCTTGCTCACGAGACTCGTCGCGACCGCAGGAACGCGCGAATTCTACGGTTAAAACGGTTAACCACGTACTTGAGGAGTATCAAGAGGAATCTTTCATACAGCGAGTAACAAAAATATTTTGGTTTGGAATATGTCTATTACTCCTGGTCTGTTAGAGTCCTGGGCGAATCGAACGCTCGAGCGCTATAAGCCTGACTAACAGGTCAGCAAAATGTGGCCCTATCGCTTCATAAAGAACTTCCAAAAGAGCCTGAATGTATGGCCCATTGAAACAGAAGATAAGCAAATACAGGCAGAGGATGGTGGTTTTCTAGCCCACTAATACAATCTTCTAGCGAACCTTCTCAAAGCTGTCCCCGTGCGGCTAGTATATAATATGGATACATGTAGTTTTTGTCCTGGCGAGGGTTAATGGAATAAAGTAATCAGTTGTAAAGGTAAGCATTGCTCTTATCATGCTGAATTCCCAAAAACCGAGACTATCACTGTGCCTGAATGCATATCTACCGATGGTTGGCAAATGGACCCGATGATTATCTTCACAAGCCAAGGCGCTATCATGGAAACCTGGTTTCACGGCAGCGAGAATCTTCCGCTGAATGCAATAATTCTTGTCCCTCTATCTGGCCAAGTCAATGAAGTATTAGCCCTGATGGCTATATGGTTTTATTTCTATTTTTTTTTTTTGGTCAGTCCAACCGTCCAAAAAGGGACGAAGAAATTGCCACTTTTATTGGATGGGCACCGTATCCCTCTTGCCCTCGAGTTCCTACAAGTTTGGGAGGATAGCGGCCTTATCCCATTCGCATTTCCGCCTCGTATAACGCATCTTTGCCAGTCCTCGATGGTATGCCATTTCTGATCTATAAGTAGCACTTTAGGAGCTTCAAGAGCGGCCAGGTCTTATGGAGGTCTGGTTCGACAGTAGCGAAAATCTACCTCCGAATACTATGGTTGGCACTTCGCTAAATAATGTGGTCCACAATCGAGCTGTACACACTCTTGAGCCGGCTTCAGGGTGTTCAGGTGAAGGGCCCTGAAGGGGCTGAAGAGGTAAAGCGGCAAAAATACCAAGCCGACGAATTCAGTACAAATTGCAAAGCAAAAAAAACATACAACAGCCCAAAGTACGGCCGAGCTCACCTAGCGCCCATCCCTCGGTGCTGGGTGACTCGCCGCTTTATTCAGGCGGGCTTCAGGCGGCAGTTCACCCACCTAAATATTCTTTACCTAGAGGGGTGAAGCCCTGCCCCAAAATGTGCTATTGTACAATTTGATCAAGAGAAAGATTTTGCGATACGGGAGCAGACACCATGTTCTTACCTTTCAGGCAGTTGCCGCGAGTTGCCGCCAGTTGCCCTCGCCCTTTTCCACTTCCCTTCCACTTCACTCCCATCCCTCTACCGTTTCGCTCTTACTTCAAGTTGAAGGCAATCATGACGAAGAAATATATGCTAGCCTATACCTGTAGCGTGGTAAATTTGAGCGACTTCGATAACTCCGAAATTACGGGGGTAGTCCTGCCGCGTACAGAGAGCGAGTATGGGCGTGCACTCAGCTTCAAGTTTGTAGACCGTTTCGCAATCCCCAGAGTTGTTCAAGCTCAGAGGAGCATCAACAGACGGACTGTGGACGGGGGGTTTGGATGCAACAAGATGGTGTATAAATATCGCTAACCATCCATTCCTTGGTCTACAGATCTTTCATCTTATAAGGAAATATCTAGATGATTGATTTCCTTATTTAATATGTCAGAGAAACATCACTAATAACGCTGTACGACCAAGAAATCAACCTGTACAAGGGATCTGTTGAAGAACCCTAAGGCTTTACAACGGAGTGTTGAAACCACCGTACACACCAGAAACTCCGACAAACAAGATGAGGCGAAGTCATAATTAGATCCAAACTCTTTTGAGTTTCTGCTTTTCCCTCGTATTAGGAAATCCGGATATCCCCTCAGCTCTTGCCAGTTGATGCGCTAAAAGCGCCTTTATCCAAAACTTTTCGGGCAATTCTCGCAGCTGTCTCCAACTTTGAGCCATTATCCTTCAATTCATTAGGGCCTCTTGCAAAGACATTGGCCACCTCAATTAGCTTCCCAGTCATACCAATCCTCGAAAAAGCCTTCATCATCCCTTCTTTTGTCCTAATGAACGTACAATCATTCTCGGTGACTCTAAGGTCGGGATCACGAACATCGCAAGAAACACTATAAGCATGTCCCAGTCTGACACACTCTAAGATCAAAGCAGCTAACCCAGCAGCTAGGGCAGTTGCGACCGAAGATCCGGTGTGTGATTCGAGTCTGAAATCGTTCCCCTGTGGAAGATCTTGCTTCATTAGGACGTCGTGTCCTGGCAGGCCAATATCCAGCTTTTCTGGTTCCGGGACCCACTCCCATATTTGCCCAGAGGCTTTGACAGCGCCCACTCGGAAAGTGTCATTCGGGGAACAATTATGGGGATAGTTGATGTCTCTTCCTGTCCCTTTGTCGCTTGCGGCACAGAACACCAGGATTTTCGCCTTAATTGCTCGGTCAAGGGCGGCTTTGAAGGCTTGCCGATTATTACTATTGACTGTCCATGACATAGAGATCACGTCCACGTTCATTGAAACTGCGTCCTCGATAGCCTTCAGGCAAGCATGTTAGCAAGGGTCAATTAGCAGGACATTGATTGAGTTTCATTACCTTAATTGCACTGCTTTCTACGATTTGCACCTTGGACAGATTTGCTGTGGGCCGAGTCTGGAGCTTGAGCACCTTTATCATTGCCTTAGGGCAAATGCGATGAATAAGTTGGGCCATCAGTGTACCATGTCCCGTCTCTGAAATCCAAAATGGGCTGACACGCTGGTCACCATCATAAGTCTGGAAGCTAGTTCCATCGAAAAGCCGTGAGTCCGCACCCTCGTGCGGCAACGTCACCCCATCATCAAGCAACGCAACGACGATCGGCTTGCCCGAAATGTTGTCTGGATCTGCCACCGTGCGGAATTTTTTCACAAAGACATCCATACATTCCAACCAGGCATGAGAATCTGGGATCCCGTGTTTGGTCTCTCTTATAGTGGTTTGGGATGGGAATTTCTGCCGAAATTGCCACTCTTTAAAGTCGTCATCAACAGAAAATTTGTCTTTCCTGTTCGTCATGCGAGAACATAGACTTTGCTTGAATTCCTCGATATTTGATGCTGTCCGATCTTCTGAGTCTAAAATCTGGAAACCTGTCAGTAGATCACCCGAGTAGTTGCCCCACAAAGATGGGTAGCATACATCGTGAACGTGAAGATAAACCCTTTGTAAACGCTTCAATCTCGCTAGGCCGTTAGCCTCACACCAGCCTCGCAATACCGAGTTTCGCCCCGACCAGTAGAGATGGAGTGTGTGAATGTGAGAGCCAATTCGACAGATAGTTTGAGGGCACATATCAACCTTACGCCAGTCCAAGATCTCAGTTTTGAAAGTTTCCAATGCCTTTTCCACCACCTCATCACTATGAGAGGGTTGCTTGAGATCGTCCACGATGACAGTTAGAATGCGATCCACATGTTTATGTTTCTCCAGCCACCTGGAAAAGAATAGCATATCCGCTCGTCCGCTGGTTTCGGCAGAAGACTTTTCTCCACCGTCGCTGGAAATCACTGAGACTTGCGGGAATGCCACATATTGAAGCGTTGAGTTGAGCCGGTAATGGCTAAAATCCTTTTCAAAGTCCTTCTCAAATACTTTGGATTTCGGACCCAGATCGAACCAAAAATGTATCACTGTAGATGTCAGTATGAACTTAAGATATGGCTCGAATTGAGACCCACGTGATTCTCCAGGGAGAGAAAGGCATCGCGAAGCAGAGCCTGGGTCGAGTTTGCGCAGATAGTTAAGCTCCAGTATCTCCCGGATTTCATTTGCACTTGATTCATTTGCACTTGATTCATTTGCACTTGAACTTCGTTCGCCCTGATCGTGTGACATTTGGCGAGTATACCCATGATACTGATACGCCGAAAGGTTATTTTTGACAGAAGAACCAGGGTTATGCGTTTTCTTGGTCAGAGCTTCCATGACCAGGTCATGGGGAATAACATCAAATAGGTGCCTGATGACATCCACCTGCTCAGTTGAGCAGCGGTTGAAATCGACCGCCAGGTGTAGGGGTGTTAAACCTGATGGGTTTAGCACATGTATCATCTCCGCTGGCGCTCGCTCAATAATAGTTTTCCTTGACTGCGACGAAATCTCAGATACCATAGCCAAGTGTAGACATGTTTCAGATGGGATTGCGGAGGATGTCTCGAATTCCCTTTTGAGCTCTTCTCGTATTTTTTCCCAATAAGATGTGCCGACTTCGCCATAAGCTCGAATGAAAAGATCATGTCTCTCTGTTATAGCAAGAGACAATGGAGTCCGGTTTTGATCGTCAACTTGTCCCATCAGTTCAGGGTAGTACGCCATTATTCGCGAAGCAACCCATTTCAGGGAAATTTGATTCCTGAGAAGCCTGTCATCCTTTGCCAAGAAATGTAGAATGTTCTGATTCCCTCTGGCAACTTGCATGAAATCCTGCTTCCTGTCATTTACAAATCTCCTCTCAGCCTCGGTCTTCTTCTCTCCGAGTTCCAAACCAGACAAAGATAGATCAATCGTTAAATCAATCATTGCAGCTGACAGCCGACCAGTTTCTGATGCCGGGGTACCAGATCTATTCCGTAGTTTTCTTGGTCTGGCATCAGCTATGTCTTGATCGAAAGACTTTGTAAGGCGGAAGGCCAGTTCCAAGATATCATTGAACTTGTCTCGGACCGGATCTTCAGTAGCTGAAATGACATCCTTGTCGTCATCCTTACCCTTCCTCACGATAGACATATGTTTTTTAGGGCCTACCATACTTGCTCATACGTGATGTCAAAAGAATTGGTTGCGTTGCTTGAATCGTTGAATGAGGTGAAAGAAATTGGCGAACTCAACAAGAGAACTCGCAAGCAGGGGTTTTACTCAGCTTAAGTGCATTCCATTATTAGCCCGACAAGAGCGACCGATATATCTTCGTGAAACTGACCAACCAGGGCTTGACGGGACGAGTGAAATATTGGGCGCCTAGACGGATAGGCTAATTGGTTGGGTCGACCGTCGTCCTGCAGCCACGTATGTCTTGGTCTCAGCGAACCCGTCAGCATGCATGCGTTAGCGCATGCGAAATGAGTATTTAAAAGAGACTATTCTTTTCAGCGCTCCCGTTCTGTGAACTTACATTTGTTGATCGTCATAAAATTCCATCATGGCGCAAGATCCACAACAGAGTGAATTGTGGCAGGTGGAAATGCCAATGATTTTGGGGACGACTGAGGACACAGACAACGCCTTCCGCACGCAAAACAAGTCCCCAACTGACTGGGAACGAAACAATGTGGTCCAGAGAAAAGGTCCAGTGAATGTCAACTGCTCCCTGTTAGATGTTGTGCACGGCAAGCTCGGGGACGATCCAGACATTAACTCTGACGATGATGGAGCGCTTGCAACGCTGCTCGTCTTTCATTTTCGCTTCGTCCCCCAGAAACATTCCCGACGGATTATTCGAGCATATATTCACGTCGAGTTCTCAGGAGTTGACGCGCAGTCAACCCCTCCCGCGGTCTGGGCGATTGCCCCTTATGACACCTGGACAGTTGTACCGACAACGGACCATGAAGAAAAGAAGCACGCAATGGACGGCACAATTGGTTCACCTGCGGCCGGGCCTTTGCATCTCGGTCTCACAACTAAATTTGAGAAGTTGAGGATACGAGATGTGAGCGATGCCACGACAGTGAGTGGCTCGATCGAATTTTCCGACGATGTCAACAATGGTGAATGCAACTGTGCTGCTTGGTCACTATTAGAGAATCAAACCAGAAAGACAGGGGTCCCTTCGTCAATTCGCACCGGCATTCTTCTTAAACGAGAAAACAATGCGATTTTCCATGGGATAGTCAAGATAGCATGCGTTGCGGATTGGAAGTCTCAGTTCGAGTCGATGTTTGTCAGACTCCCAGTGGATGATCCTGTTTTGTTCAACCCAGAACTGAAACCTGCTAGACCTCAGAAGAAGATGAAGTACAATCCAGAGTCTCTTCTTCGAACTGATGTTACATCAGTAGCGGATGTCACTATGCAGACCATCTTCAAGGAGGCAATTAAGGAGGCAACCAAATAGTTCTAGATGACTGATGAATTTATCATGTTCAATGTATATTAAAAAACGACCATGAACGATATGGCGTGAGCTCCGTGCTTGATAGAAAGATATGGTATTCAATTAGTAGATGTTTCTTAGTAGAAAATTTCACAAGCCAGGCGAAAAGAGAGATCCGTTTCGGTGCTATAGATGAAAGTGTCGAAGCTAAAGAGAGAAGGAAGGAGAGATCAGAATCGTGAGGGAATTTCTGTTGAAGTGTTGCCCACAATTGCCATGTTTATTTCCCTGCCAAACTTCATCTTGCATCAAACCTCTCATTGCCAAGTTCCACAGCCACGCCTCGCCAGATCGTCACAGAAACCCCCAGAAGTTCCTGCAACAGAATTTGAGATATGTTTTGTCGCCATACAACATCTCAAACAAGACTTTGAGCACCACCAAGAGAGCTACGACAGAAGTCTGTTGAGGTTTTAGCAGTCTTCAATGCTGCCGAGGCCTTGATGGCTATCCTGCTACCCTGAGACGCACAGAGCCTTGTATTGTAAAGTAGACATTTGGGAAGCGTGTAAAGCATGCTTCCACTCAGGGCTTATCTTAATTTAAGACATCTTCAATAATAATCAATTGCAGGCTATCGCTGTCGCTCCTCATAGATCCTATCATCATCTCAAAAAATTCCAGAGGCGCAAGAGATATTCTATGATCTCTAGCCGGAGATCTGAGCTCCACCAAAGATATTCAGGTTACACGGAAGCCAACAAAATGACAGGAGGTCAATACATAGGTTTAATTTTTCGAACTATCGCGAAAGAATAGAATAAAGCTCAAACGCCCCGTTTGGGGATGCCACTTGAGAGTCCTGGTGTTGTCATCTGGCCGGTTTATAGATCTGGACTAATAGCGAAAATGCATCTCAAACACAGCGCGCATAGGTCCTGCAGGCACGCAAATCAGTCATGGTCCATTAAAGTGATTGAGGTTGTTGTTACACTTTGTAGAATAGTCAGCGACACTTCTATTCGACCTATTTCTCCCGAAGACCTTATGTTTTCCCTGGAAATGTAGCTCCGTCCTCAGCCATTGAATTTCACTACGCCGTCTCCAAATCAGAAACTTCAATGCCTGGCGAATTGTTGATTCAGGTGAAAGGCTCTACAGTGTACAAAGACAATCTGGAGTGGAAAGAGCTGTACTTACCCGGCCATGTCACTTTGGGAAATGATATTTCCGGCACAGTCATTATCATACACGGCAGCGAGCAAAATTTCAGCATCGGTGATCATGTGTATAGTAGGACACATGCGAATCGGGAAGATGCATGGGCAGATTAGGCCATCGTCACGACAAAAATAGCAGTTAAGAAGTCAGATAGCCTAACTTGGGTGGAAGCTGCTGCGATTCCAGGGAGTACCCTCACCGCAGACTAGGCCCTGCTCAGGTATGTTGAGCTGGACACCACCATACAAAACAATAAGAAGAGGGTTCTGATCATTGGGGCTGGTGGTGGCATTGGCATGCTTCTCGTGCAGTTCGCTGAGCTGGCTGGACACCAGGTTGTGGAAGCATCTAGCTCGAACGAGCGGAAGGAATCGTTCCAGCGCTCAATTGGCGCCAATGAAGTGGTGGAATGCAGACAATCAGGCATTGTTGGGTTTGCTTCGTATGATCCCTTCCATACAGGTCATTGGAAACAGAGGCACCATGACTCCAGAATCGATATGCTCGATTGTATTCGGAATTGTGACGGCGATACTCGCTCTGTTCGGAATTATGCAAAACTTCCTTCAACGACCAACACGAGGTTAGCTTGCCCGCATCTTCTCGTAAAGACTAAAGCTTAATGTTAGGGGCAGGCTTAGACATTGGGGCCCACAGAAATTGAGACCATCAAGCCTCTGTACATATCTATAGAAGGTTTGTCGAGACGATCGCCATCTACGGTCGGAGTGTTGGCCAGGCCTAGGACGCTGCCAGGAGATAGTGGAAAAAAGCCCAGCAGGCTTACCCGCCTTAGACCCTGCCTCCATCAAGACAAACTGGAGCTGACAGCAGTGGCTGGATTCTGAGTTGTGGCTGCGTAAATTGTTCTTGAATGCGATTTTGTTCGGATGGTTTCGGCATGGAGAATCAGGCCCGGGGCAAAACTGCTAAAGAGGGCAGGGGTTATGAATACGGAAACCACTCGACAGATATTTTTCTCTTCTTCATCTCAGTTGTGGTTACTTCGTGAAATGGTACATTTAGGTGTCGATTATTCTCTTGGCAGTTACATGGGATCTCAGAAATCTAGCAATAGACAAGGACATAGAGCAAAATATTATATCAGAACATCATTATGCAGTTATGCAGTCTCACATCATCGCCGGCGATGTGGGAGGCAACTCTTGGCATTGATCAGCCCCAAAAATGTCGTCCAGCCAGCAAGGGGGTTCTTAGTGTTATAGGTAATTGAAAGATCCTGGATTAAACTTTACCATTCAACGAAAGTATCAGGACTGGAGAGGAAAAGGAAGAAGAGAGAACAAAAGAGGAACTAAATACATGTGGCAGAATCCCGCTCCTTTATCAAGAATTGCGCCAAGTTTCCCGGAGAGTTATTGCGCGGTGCCTACTGGCCACTGTGAGTAAGTGCAGATAGGGTAACTATAGTTACCTTAGCTGTTAGAGGGTAAAACAACTATAGTTATGTGCTGAGACGGCTGATTCCGGCCCTGTCGGCACAGACTTTAATCCCAAGCGTATCTCGCAACCGTACCATCGCTATGGTAAACCTTACACGGGCTCGGGTCCTATTGAGTATCTTGCAGGATGTGCCAAAGTGCGCGCCAATTAAGTCAGTCACTGAGTGTTGCCACGAAGTGAGCTCCCCTACTTCAATCAATCAATCAATCAACACTCTATTAACCTGTTGCAGCCTAACTAGTGGCGTAATGGCTATGCAGGCGCTCCCTCCGGCGGAAGCAAGAGTGATCCGAACGCCAGACCCGCGCATGAAACAGTAGATACATAGGAAAACGGCGTATTGCCATAGAAAATCAGCCCCAAAACAGCCCAAAAACAGTATCAACACGCCCGCAATGCCCTCAATCCCACGATATATCTCTCATCTTGCCCTCACATTGGCCTGCTGCTTCCTCTGTATCTCCATCCCTGCTATCCCTCTCTGGTATCCATATCCTCCTGCTTCGTTCTCGATTAGTGGCGTTCGTTGTCGACTGGTATGTTGATATATTAGATGTAGTCTTCCACGACCTCTCGGTTGGCTGTGGGTTTAGCGTTCCTCCTACCCAGCGTCTTTACCCCCTATGCCTGCTAGTCTCTCCTAGTGTGTTGTTGCATCGCCTGTTGGTTCTGGTTCAATCTCGACGTGTCGGAACTGCCCCAGGAGGCCTGTTTGAAGCATAAATTCGGCCACGTAGCGGGTGGCCTGCGAGTGCGATATAATCGTATCGTAATCCGTCGAATCCCTAAGATCGGTTATCCGGATCTTGTTAAGGAAGGTCTGCCTTAAATTAGCGTACAACGGGTACTGTATTAAGATATGTCTCGGTGTTTGAGACCCCTTACTGCAGTAATACTTATCTGATTCGACTGCCTTGATTTTAAACAGAAAGTGATTTAGTGCGATACGTATTAACTGTATCTGAATTAATACTAAGGTATAGGGCTTCGAAAGGGATTCGAATAGCCGAAGTACCTTCTTATCTGGAGCTTTGACTAACTGCTGATTCAGCTTACTAGTTCGCTCCTTTGCCTACTCTTGTGCCTATCTCTCTTTGATACGCTGCTATACTCGACGCTTCGCGGTCGCTGCTAGAAGGACTCGACCTGCGGACCCTTCGGGGTAGGGTTGTTCCGCTCTGTTCTCTATACCCCCTCCCGTTGCCGCTAACTTTGCTTTAACGTCGGTAGTCTTATTGCTAGGAACGCCTATGTGTACAGGGATCTAACGGATCTCGATAGGAATCTGATCGAACGTAGGCGTTTACTATAGCGATTAAAGGGTCCGAACGTAGTTGTAAATAGAGGTTAGTACGAACTAGCCCGACGATCGCTTTAGGTTTCGTACTGCCTAGATAGCGGCCTAGTAGTTAGAGAAAATCACTATCTTCGTAGGCCTTCGGCCTTCTAGTCGGTTAGAGAGGTTAGTAATCGCTATTTTAATACTGTTAAGCTTAGTAACGTACACTATAGATTCCTTACTAGTTCTAAGATATCGCCGTTAAAAGACGCTCTTACGCAGGGTAACAGCTAAAGCGCTAACCTAGCCTTTATACCTACTTCTATCTGTGAAGAATAAGACCGTCGGGGTTCGGTCTAGTGCGGCTTACTAGAGAGATTCTTTCTCGATTTTATTATACGAGGCCCGCGTAGCCTCTGCGTTATACTCGATAATGTATAGGATCCGTGCCTCCTATAGCGCTAGAACAAACGCTTTACGTGATTCCTATACGCTGCCTTTAGGGTCTAAAATGCTATCTTTCTTCTATCTGAGGGCTTTAAGAGGGCTCTATCTACCTTTCTTACGCTCCTATAAGGATCGGGGGGTACAGCGAAGGGAGTCTAGCTAAGCCTACGCGGCTCCTGTTTAGATCTATATTACTGTTTCCTAGATGATTTAGTCTATAAGTAGGTATATTAGTGTGATAAAGAGCTCTACGTTAAGAGCTGCTGCACTAGTAGATTTGAAGGCACCGCTGATAAGAATCGCCGTACGCCGCTAAACCTTAGTAAATTCGTTAATTGTACGCTTTATCTCCTACGCGGGTATAGATCTAGCTGCAGGACAGTACCACGCAGATACTCCGTAGAGTATTTATAGTACTACTACTGCCTAGTAGACCTTCTATATCGCTGCGAGTAAGGCACCCTATACCGAACCTGTTATCGCCTGAAGGGCTTCGAGGGTGCCGTTAGCCTTCGTGAGTAGCTTTTGACAGTAGGTAGTGAAATCGAGGTGTTTATCGAGCTAAACACCTAGATATTTCGCGGCTTCTTTTAGTTGTATGAGTAATTCG